GCCCGCGACGCTTCGCTAAATTATAGTAACAAAACATCCGTTTTGACGAATATATTTTTTAGACGAAATTATATTATAACCTAACAATTATATATTTCACAATTACTCGTTTAATGAGCATATAATTTAATTATAATGGCAACAAAACGCAGAAAAGTTGATGCTAAGTGCAATGGGTTCAATGGCGCTGAAAATATTCAAATGGAATTTTATGAGATGCAATAAGGAAATAAATCTATATTTCATTTGAGAGATGTATCACTGCTTGATTTTTATTATAAAAAATACCATCCGTTCGGTTTTTCAACTTTCTAAAAATATGGGCGGCCCGCCAATGACTTGCAACCTTAATTTTGGCCCGTGAGCGACAAAAGGTTGCCGACCCCTGCTCTATAGTCTATCTATGCAGTGATTCCCAAAGTGGGCGATAACGCTACAGAGGGGGGCGAAAAAGTCGAAGGGGGCGATTTATAGAAACCTGTTTTTGTTCGGCGCATCGTGCACTTGATCACTGTACTCTTCGTGCTTTCGTATGTTTGAATCACGTAGGCGATTATCACACGCGAAGTGATTGCTGGACTCGTCTTCGCAGTAAGATACGGTCGTTTCCGTATCCCAGTGGTCGGCAAAATACGGCGGCCGAAGTGAAATAATCAGGCCCGGGACGCTCCACTCAATGGACCGTTCCCCGACCTTTGACCCCGGAAAACTTTTCCCATACTATACCATTTTAAAATTTTTGGTGCTTATTTTAAGAGTGGTTTTGCGAGTTGTTGTCTATAAAACGGGGTATTTGTTTCAAACTATAATTCTAATTCATACCATTCACCAATCTGTTTTTTAAAAATACCAGTAAAGAATTTTAGCCTAGTCTATCAAAGATATTTCTACACCAAATTTTTGCCTACTGTAAATAAACTGAAACTTCTGGGGAGACAAAGTGATCATTGACTTATTTTATATATATTTAAATTTTCGAAAAACAACTAAAAACTAACGAATATAATTCAAAAACGCCAAAATGAGGTAATTTTCACGACCACGCCTGAAAATCTGTCTGAGTGAGAAATGTGTCTGAGCGGATGCAAAAGGGGGCATTGTTACGTTTATTTTTGCATCTTGCTGAATGGCCAATGTCACGAAGTAAACAAGGAAGTCTATGCCCGGGGAAACATCCAAACGGCGGTTTTGGCGATGAATTAATTTAATTTACAATCTACGCTCGAGGAGTAAATTACATTTTTTTATGTAACAGAATTTATCGTGAGGCACGTTTAGACAAAATTTTATTATATCCTTAAAATTATATTAATTAAAAAGCTTCTCGTTTAACGAGCCTACAATTCAATTATAATTAGACAATAGGAAACACGCAGAAAAGTTGATGCTGAGTGCAGATGTTCAATAGCGCAGTAAATATTAGAATATATTGCAATGCAATAAGGAAATAAAATTCATATTGTATTCGAGGGATTCATCCCTGCTTAATTTTTGTAAGAGTGTATCTTCAAGAAAATCTTTATCAAAATTTGACAAACCATGCGATAACATTCATTTCGATGTTTGGAAGTATATATATATATATGTGTGCGAACAATTATTTTCGAAAATGAACATTACAAAGAACAAGCTAGAACTAGGATTAGTGATGCCCATTTAGAAAATCTTCCAATCTTGGCGTCGTAAAGCTATCAAGCGTGATGCAGCAACAAGACAGTGTCACATTAAATGTCATTGTAATAATTTTTTATTAACACGACTGAGTTGAGTTCACAAATTGTCGCGGTTTATGCCCGCTGTTCCGTTTTTAACTTTCAAAAAATATATGCGACGCGCAAAAGATTAGCAACCCTAAATGTAAAATGGGATGAATTTAGGGAGTTAAATGCTATAAGGCAAGAGTACACGGCGGTTTTTGAGGAGGTAGAACCCTAGATTCTTTCATTTCCGACCGCTAATATGATGAGGGGTTTTCAGCTGTGCTACTATTGCTATCAAAACAACGAAATCGCCTTTCCATCAGTAAACAGGGTAATTTTAGATATTATAAAAAAAACTCGCTGAAGAACACCAAGCTCATCCATCTCATTAAAAATACTATAAACTATGATTTGTCTCGTTATTCGGTCTGTAATATATTCGTTTCAGACCTTACATTTTTTTCGCAGTGCCGGGGGGCGATGAACTTGTATAAACTACTGTAGGGGGGCGATGGTACAAAAAGTTTGGGAACCACTGGTCTATAGTATTCACGAATCGAGATAGTTTCATGATCACTCTGCTGCAGGAGATATACAGCGTCCTTCGGACATATGGGAGTATTTCAGTACAACCCGATTTCATAACTAAATGCCATTTATGTACAAATATTCAGTGTTCGATGTGCAAATTCTACATTGAGAGATCATAAATAAAACAGCATCAATTGCGCATTTGTTGGATTTATTGGGTCCTTACCGATACAATTAGTGATATTCATTTGAATCAAACGCCACAGGAGATAAATTTGCGATGAGCAATCATTTTTGAAAGAAATTGTATATTATAAAGATGATTTATGCCTGAGATGTCAGTTAACGGTTAAAATTACTCGTAACCGTTCAGTTGGTGGGAAAATGCTCCTTGTTATTGTTGATGCGTTTACCAAATGGCCTGCTGCATGGATTATACCTTCAGTTTGTAGTGTCTTACAACGCTGGTTGTTTTGCAGGAGATGAATTTGCAACATTTCTAAAGGAAAGTGTAGTGAAGCACTTTTCACCACCGAGACATCCGGCTTCTAGTGACCAAGCTGAATCAATCGTAAAACAAGTCAAATGAGAATGAGTGAGTGAATGTCAGCTGCAATTCTAACAGGAATACCATATGTTGACGTGGGAGATAGAAATTTAACTCCTACCTCTACTGATGAATCTTAAAAAGACAGAAACAATATAGACCCAGTTCCTAATTTTCCAGAATCGCTCAGTACTTCAAACTCACCTTATAAAACAAGATCTGGCAGAATATCAAATTTAAACTCTTTAAAGAAACAACATGATTGCGCTGAACTGCACGCTAATGTTTTGTAATCATTTTTCTACTATTTCTTGTCGTGCGAATCTGTCAGGGTGCAATGTAGCACAATTGTCGTCTTGACTACATTGAATTTTCCTATTTGACGTTTTATATTTAAGCTATAGATACCGAGTATTATGTATAGCCAAATCAGACTGACACATTCTGTGTAGCCGCCACAAAAATCCAGACCACTAGTTAGTAGTTAGCATAATACCCTACTTCGAACTGGACCATTCAGATGTCCACGGCGCTAATCATCACATCCATATAAAATACAACGTTGCTGCTATATGCAAAATGTCTATATGTTTTTGAAAATGTCAATAATTTTTCACCTCGAACGATTTGCCTTGATTGTTTTCTCGGGAAAGATTTGGCGCTATTTTCTATAGTGAGATGCCATAAGAGAAATTGGATCAAAATTGGGCAGCGCTCCTGAAAAACCCAATTTTTTTGCTTTAATGTCAAAGACTTCCTTTTTTATCGATACACAGCACATTGTCGATTTTCTCTACTTCGGCAGTAGCTAACTGCTGGTACAAGGCCATGTAGAAAACATTAATCATCAAAACAATCTGTAGCAAAGTATTTTAATAAATTACCAACCCAGTCATAAAAAACACCTCAAATCTCGGGATCGTACTTACATTCATGAATAATATATTTTAACTTAAACCTTCGGAAGATCCAGATATAACATTCAATGTTAAGCTGCCAAATGTCCACCCATACATTGTATACTTCGCTTGCGATGTATACATAATGTCCAAGACCCGGAATAGGAAAGTTGGATCTCTTTATTGTGCTTGCCGACATGCGTCCGCCATCCATTGGCCCGTACTTAACTTGAACAAATCACTGACACCTCATTGCGAGGAGACACTATATTTAGGCAATTTTCTATACAGAATCAATGAAAAATGTAAAACCTGACTGGCTCACAGTGGGCGTTCGAACAGCAAACTCTTCCTCGCCGACAAAATGTTGCCTCGTTGGGATTATTTTATTTATATTATTAGGCTTCCCGCTGCTTGTCAGCAGGGAACCTATTGTATTACTGTGTTTTATTATTATTATTACTTATCGATCTTAAGATCGGTAAGTATATTGATAGGTATTTGTCTCTGTCTGTCTGTGTGTCTGTTAGATGCACGCGATATCTCACGAAAGCGAGATTGAATCTGCTCCAGATTTTGCATGTGCATTCATCTTATCTCGGACCAGAAGCCTATTGATTTTGGGCGAATTATGTCGTATAATTAGCGAGTTATCAATCAATTATTGATATAGTGATCTAGATTTTTGTAAAGCGAGAGAATTTTGAAACCCGCCGAGTGTGTGTGTGCGATGCGCAGTGCGCAAGTTACAAGAGCGGATGAATCGAAACTGCAGTTTCTGTTTTGGGGATCCCCTAACTATCGATCGATAAGTCTTCGGTTTCCAACCGATATTCTCGTTTATTTATTATTATTTATTTTTTTTTCAAATTGGTCCTACAAACTTGAAATTCACCTCAAATGTGCAGAAGTTCTCCGCTAGCAATAAAATGCAAATTTTATGCATGACTGATCACGCTTCAGTGAGCAAAACGCGTCTTCAGTTTTTTTGCGATTTCTCAAAATTGAAATATGCTATTGGGTTGAAATTCATAACAATGATTAATGGACATGTTACGGATACGTTATGTCAAGGATACGCATGAGTGACCTCGGCGATACGCTCCAGTGAGCAATATAGGACTTTACATTTTCATCTTCTTCTCGAGAACGACACTACTTAGAGACTTGAAATTTACATCACATGCAGATAATAAGTCCCCCATCATAAATCGCAAATTTTATGCATGACTGACCACGCTTTCACGCTCCAGTGAGCAAAACGCGTCTTCAGTTTTTTTTACGCGGGAAGCCTGTTAAAGCTGCACGCAGCTCTAGTTTTTTATTGTTTTTTCTTTCACTCTTTAGAAATGTCTCAGCCGCACATTCGGATGCGGTTGGCTGTGAGATCTCATTCCTTTAACAGTGAGTGACGAGTGTACCGACCATGCAGTTGAAAAAAATCGTTTCAAATATACACAACAGAGCATAATAACAGAAAAATAGTACACTCAAATCGTTCTACCTATTACGTTTAAATATTTTAGCAATCCAAGTTATAATTTAGGTTTCATGTTCCTATTTTTTTCGACAAGCTCCATGGTCTTTCTGATGATAGCGCGTGACGTAATATGCTCTGGAACAAGCATGATTAACCATCGTGAAATTGTGTGCGGCCAGTAGCCATTCGTCCAATCGGACTTTCCAATAGTTCTAATCATATGATGGACGTATGTTGTCGCCGTGGGAAAAAATAAATTTGCAGATGACCCTAAAGGTTCAGTCATATTAGTTAGCACAAATCCTGGTTGAATACTTTGGATAATGATGCCATGTTTTTTGCATTCCTGCGCAAGAGAAACCGACAAGGTATCATCGAAGCGCTTTGTTGCTGCATATGTTGTGATAATGGGACTGACAAGAGCAGCCGACATAGAAGAGATGTTAATAATCAAACCTTTTTTTCTGGTGATCATACTGGAAAGAACAAGTTCCATCATTTTAACTCTGGATGATGCGTTGCAGTGTATCACATTAGATACTGATTTCGATTGATCTTCGCCAGATTTTTGAGATTTATGAAATACATTTGCACCTCCTGCAGCCATACCAACGTTATTAACCATAATTCCAACATCTAAATCTTTCATTGCTTCTGATATTACGTTATATGGATCACCAGAGCCTAGTGAATGATCAAAGTTGGTGAAGTCGAACACTAATATCTTTGTCTCAACATTGTAAGCACGTTCAACTTCGGCTGCAACCTTTGATAATTTTTCCAAATTCCTGCTGATGAGAAAAATATTGATTCCCCGGTTTGCGAGCTCGTGCGCTATTGCTTTCCCAATTTCATCCGTTGATCCTGTAATAATCGCCCATTTTCCAAATTTTACTAAATCCACGGGCGAATCAAAGAAGTATATGGCGCAGAACTTGTACAACTTATTCAAAGCTTCGACTACCAGTGCCATCGCCGTGATGATCCCGAGTATATGTAAAAATAAACTATCAGTTATAACATCGTTAAAAGCCATTACTATGTTTATGCTTGAATGAATCTGAAGTTGTGAATGCGAAATATTACGTACGTTTGGTAGATCAGTATATATGTAATGAGATTTACCTTAAGCAAAGACTCTAATCTACATTATTCACCTTCCCAAACAAGTTAACATATGAAGCAAACGATGCAATAATTTTCCACCTGCAAAATACTACTTACTATCAATGAAACTTCTATTTTTTCTTTGTTATTTGGACACGTAGTGGACATAACGATCGTTTCAATATTATGTTGTTGTTGTTGTTGTTGTTGTTCTTGTTCTTTGACACGTTTTTAAAAAGTCGCTTTTCTCTTCGAATACTGGACCAATTGCTTTGAAATTTTCAGTTGTTGAAGATAAAAATTTTCTTCAGAAGGCTATTACTTTTTTTTCGCTATGACGTCATCAAAATTATGTGACTCTACGTGTCCATATATTTGAGCATAGCTCTCTTGTTTCTTATGTAACTACCCTCGATCCAATATACAGTGACTAGATAAATTTAATTGATGTCTCGAGATAAGATTGGCGGTGAGCGTACATTTGAACCCACGTACATTTGAACCCATGTGTATATTCGCGGGTTCAATCTATATGCGGGTGCTAAAACCCATGGGTTAAGGTTAGTATGGGTTAAAATAACCGTAAAACAAAAACAAATTCCATAGGTGCAATAGTATACAGGTGCAATTGTCATGGGTTCAAATATACGTGGGTTCAAATGTAATGGAACCAAGATTGACTAAAGTGTTAATAAGTGAACGAAATCTGAAATCGCAGAGTGACCTTCAAGTAACCAGCTTTAATATTATAACAAAGGTTTCTATTTAATTCAGACTTACGAGGTCGCCATCTGTACTCAACTATTCCTGAAGTAGGAAATTTATACCTGTGGCGCTGCATGAGCTTCAACACTATTCGCAATGTGTTACATTGTGTTTCTTAGTACATGCTACGCTATAAGCAACTCATTAATACAATGTCAACATTTATTTTTCAACACAGTTATCATATACTTTACTGGCAAGTATATTTTCGGCCCAGCTCTATTCCCAGACAACTCTGAAGCTAAAGTATGGTATAAAGATATCCCAGTTTATTCAGTGATACATATCAGCCGCGCAACAGAAAAAGCATATCAGAAAACGGGAAGGGTTCGGAGGTCAACACTCTTGCCGGGCAATTTGTAAGAGCGTAGCAAAAAATACGGTAGCTTGCAAAATAAACAATGAAACCGGTGATCATCGGGTCACAAATATTATAAAGAGAAATTTGTCATGTTTACAGAAAAAATGCAATGAGACTTCCAAATAATGACATCAATATATGCAGCAAGTAAGTCATAGTACTGTTTTCAAAGCAAGTTTCATGAATGAAAAAGTATAATAGAATATATATGCGATATATGTGTCGTTGGAGTATGCAATACGTAAGTAAGGTGGTAATAATTCAATTGCGGGTGTCATTAGAACAAAGAAAAAGTGACGCTATTGAATTACCTTAACATAAACGTTTCTCGCAACTTGGTTACAGCCGTCCCATTTGGAGGTGCGCGAACCAAGAGGGAGGGAGAACATTTTTGGGGTAGCCTATGCGAGAACTGGATGCTACTCTTCTTTTCCACAATAAAAATATTGTTTTTGACCCATTCATTAAAAATTCAATTCTTACCTGCAATACAAGGTACAAAGCATGCCATGGTCTTTAAAGCAAATCTCAATACCTGATTGTTATTGTTCAGCACGGCAGGCTTCATCATGTGGATATGCTGGCACTCTTCCGGGAAGCGTAGTGGACTAGTGGGGGCTCCCGAAGTATGCGAACCAAGATGGCGGACATCGGAGTTTAACGAATTTCAAAATCGGAAATTCGCCGCAATTACGCGTTCATTAAAAGAGCCGACTTTTTCAGTGTATAATGGACTTTACTGTCGCACAATATTCAATACACGATAACGACGAGAATTCTTTTCATTGTAATTTAATAGTGTTCAACACGCGGTTGTGTCGACTTACGACAAGATAAAAGCATCTGCTATACATTTCCAGAAGATACAACTTGATTTAGTACTTATTAAAAATATATTTGAAGTATATTAGTAAATCAAAAATACATATTCATCGCCTTGCTTGTTATTAATTTAATTGTGATCATGTCTATTTGAGGTTGCGTTAACGAAATAAAAGTAATATAATATACTACTCAGAAAATATCATGACAATCCGCAGACGCAAAAATGCGTGGTAAAGTGCCCAATTATTTTTCTTCTGATTCGTATTTTTGTCAATTCGACAAATCTGAGCCGTTCGTACAACACTTACGGCACTTTAGTACTGTACGTACCAATGTAGAGGCAGCAAAGCAAAGAATCTTGAGGGATAATGCCCTGGTTCTTATAGTACGTAGCACCCGAAATTTTGAGATTTGCATGTCCAAAAACCCGTTTTTAATCGGTCGCGGGCCATCATAAAACAAAACTTATGGTGTTCTCGTTTTAATTTTAGTATTCTATATTGCCGCTTTTCAATTTAGAAAAATTGTGGTTGGCACCATTGACATCTACCAGAAAAAAAACATTTATTCTTCGTTGTTTGAATTCGCGAGAAAATCTATAGACGCGTGTGCCGTCGTGTTTTGGTCGGAAATCCGCAAGTGAATTGTGAAATCTAATCGTTTGATTAGGCGACGCGCAAGTGACCCGTCGCGCCACCTGTTACTAAAGATTCCAATTGTAAATTGCTATTCTAATAGTTGAATATTCAATTATATGCCCAGCCCTACTCAGTAACCAGTAATTATTGACTCGATTAATGTTATGTGAATAAACTTGCTTTTTATGTTTTATGTAAATTCTAACGTAAATCGTAACTTGGCTGATAGTTAATTTCTGGCACGTGCGGGCGGACTCATTCAAACGCTCCGCGGACTCATTTGAGACCGCGGACTCGGGTTGGGAAACACTGGTCTATACAAATAGTCGTCCCTACAATACCACGGAAAAAAGCACGGCTTCTAAAGCAAGGAATATAAGGACATATATACTTGTTACAGCCGACATGAACATCAATCAGGCGCATTCCATAATACTACATTCACATATAAAATACAAAACTGCGGTTATATGCAAAATGTCGATGTATTATTGAAAATTCAAAAATCTTTCTATCGCAAACGATCTGCCTTGATTGTTTGCTCTGGAATAGGGGTCTCAAACTCGATTTACCTGGGGGCCGCCGAGACGGAGCCTTAGTGAGTGAAAAAGTTAAATTTTTTTCACTGTTTTTCTATACGCAAAACATGTTAAAAACATAAATGTAAGTAATTCCGCGATGGACCTTTCCCCGATCATCTACTTCCTTGTTTATTCCGTAACATGAGCTAATCAGCAAGACGCAACAAGTGACGTAACAATAGACTTTTTCGCAAATGCTCAGATACTTGTCACTCAGAAATATTTTCAGGCATGTTTGTAAACATTACCCCGTTTTTGCATGCTATTTGTTAGTTTTGGGTTGTGTTTCAGAAATTCAAGTATGGATCAAAGAACTCAATGATCATTCTGATTGCTTGGGCGTCGTAGCTTAATTGCCGTAATCAAAAATTAGTCTAGAAATAGCTGTGATAGGCTAGGCTAAACTTCTCTACCGGTACTGTTAAAAACAGGTTGTTGAATGTTTCGAATCAAAATGATGACGTGAAACATATACCCCAGTTTATAGGCTTCAACTCGCGAAGCCACCTCTATAATAAGCATCAAGAATTTGCAATGGTAAAGTATAAAAAAATTTTCTTCAGGGTCAAAGGTCCATCGAATACCATGCCTACAGGTACGGTACTAGTAGGTTACCGTATCGCATATTCCTTTCGGGGGATAGATATTTTGATTTGCTCTACTCAAATGCATCAATCATTCTAACTGTGCTGAGTGACTTACGGGCCGCACTAACAATAAACTTTCATACCAAGGCGGGGGCCACAAACTATCGTTCTGCAACCTCTCTCTTGCAACGCGAAAGTCTTTGGCCGTACCGTACACTAGAGCAGCTGGGGTCGGTACTGTTTCTCTCTGGCTTTCGTTGCGATATATTTGAGTGTCGCTGTCTTTTTTTTATCTAAGTAACAACAAATCTAGGAATTATTATATTTTTCTATTTCTGGACATTCTTGTCATAGAACCGTACAAAAAATGGAAGGATAATTTTATCTATCAATAGTGTTTTGTCTATCAGTAATGTTCTTAAATTCAACTTACCATCCAATCTAATTGAATGGTTAGAGTACATCTCTAACTACAATTTCGAATTACATGCAACTCAACATTTTATTTATAACGCCGTGTCACATTTATCATATTTTTAAATAAATATTCATTTATCATTCCATGAAGATTTAGTGATTTTAAGATGCGATAAGATATAGAAAACATGGAATTTTATTTTTTGCAGCTATAGCGAAACCTGATTATGAATGTCATTTCCACACTTTTTGTTATTGACTGCAATCTTTGTTGATGTGCAACGTAATTGATCAGTCACCTTGGCAATATTCAGGAGAAAAGAAAGATTTGAACAAATAGGTTGTTTTATCATAGTAAGGGAATGTGAAGGTTTGGAAACTTCTTTCTTTTGCATCTTTTGAGCCATATAGCATTCATTTGACATTAAGAAGGGCGTACATGTAGTTTTTATTCAGCGACTAAGAAATTCTGAGCGACACACATTTTACCACCAAAATGCTTTAAAAATACGTTTGTCAAGTGTCCCACTGCACCTCACTAGTGGGGCACATTTAGACACACCCTAGTGCACAATGAGTATTCTATTAAATTCAACCATATATGCCGTTAAAAATTAGCAAGCAATCAGAACCATCATCTAAAGAAGTCTGGGACTTCAAATTTGGAGATTTAATATTTTTGAAATCGATTTTTAACCAAAAATTTGAATTCTCTCTCTAAATAATTCCAATTCCTAAAAAAAAAAATTTCCGCATTGACAACCAAAAACCTCTTTGGCGACATACGTATCTAAAGAGCCTGCCATTGTGAACTCGGTGAATATTTTTATACTTAAATCTGGAATTCATTATTTTACTTTTGTATTATGTCTAATTTCGTTCAATTGAAAATAAGTTCTGAAACTTTCAAAACGGACAGTGGTTTGTCCTGTTGAAAAAAGAAAAGATTGAGATGGCGACATTTTAGTTTCAAAACGAATTCCATTCATAGTTGCGTCGCTCTACACGGCCGCTGCCAGTTTGCGGGAACGTCGTACCTCACCAAAATGCGGCGTCGAACATCAACACGCATCCTGATTCCGAATAGAGTATGAGTGCTGATTTTCCACTGTGTTCCACGTATCACGTACCCTAATAAGTTGGACAAAAAAAACATTTTGCTGCACCTTTTAGCGACAGTAGCTTGGCTTTTCCAATTGCCAGCGATTTTTTCATAATTTCACTGAGCGTGAGCTCGAAATTTGTTTTCAAATTATAAGACTTGGAACTCGTAAAATATTTATAAAATATTAAGCAAGTGGGTCCATCTTTTATTTGACAAAAAATGCTTTCAATACAAATTTTCAAATGTTTTAGGGCTGCCTAATTTCACCGTCAAGCGTCCACTATTGTCGACCCAGACATAATAGAACAAAACCTGTTTCTGTCGCATCAAGCTTATAACACGCTTCTGATAGCGTGATTTTGATGTAACATTGCGTTGCGATAGTACACCACACAAGATGATTTTAATCTGAAATATACACAGCCTAAGGTTTACTTTTAAATTTTATTGTGAACAGCTGTTTGAGATTTCGTGGTAAGGTTTCCCGTGCTTTGTACATCGCTGTTCCTAACGAAGGCAATATTTGAAAGAAAGAAAAAAACACTCCAACTCTGAAGTAACACTTGATTACAGAAGCATAATGGGGTGGGATTCCTACGCCCTTCCCTCTCTGTACGAGGTTAATTTTCATATTTAGAAATATTGATTAAAACAAAGGCCATTAAGATTTTTGCTAACAGGGACCAATGTTTAGTTTTGCGTGTCTAAATGGCAGGATAGTCAACATGTTATCCAGTCTGGATACCCTTCATTTCGATTCGCACACATTCTTAGCTAGACTTAATTAACGCGTTTTGCTGTTTGTTTGCAACTGGAAATAAAGCGTTTTATCCGTTATAATTGATTAATTACACATTGATTACGCAGAATGTTGTGTTCACACCAGACGCCTTAAACGCATCGTATCTAAGTAATCACCAATGATGATCGCCCACACGATAGCAATAATATATAAGCATAGATGTTTTGAAGCTACTTAAAATGTACATTTCGTATGAATTCAACTATCTTAGACTCGATGAATTTCTTGGCTCAATTATATCTCTTGTCAACGTCAGTAGAAATTTCATAAGTATTTTTATTGGATTTGTTGCAGCCCACTGTCTAAAGTCGGTGACGACGTTTTGTTTTGTCATTCTCCAAAAGCCTTGAACGTACGTCTCAAACTTCGTGCCAAATTTCCTCCCGGCAAACTCGTATAAAACCAACGAACAATGGTATGTACCCAATAGCCTGACGTCACATCTGCCTTTCCCAGAGTTTTCATCATATGTCGGGCAAACGTAGCAGCATTCGGCACCGCCAAATTTGCATTTTTTATGACTACTTTTGTTAAATTGGTGAACACAAATCCCGGTTGAATACTCTGAATCACGATTCCATATTTTCGATACTCGTATCGTCAAAACGTTTCGATGCCGCGTAAGTTGAAACAATGGGATGAGGGTGAGACGCCGACATTGACGAGATGTTGACAACCAATCCTCGCTTGCGTGACACCATCCCAGAAAGAATTATTTCAGTCATTTTTGCCCTGGAAGACGCCTTGCAATAGATTTGATTGTTTTTTGCTATGGAAAGAGTTTGATTAGGTCCATGTGATAGATGAAACTCTTTCACATCTCCTGCTGGCATTCCAACATTATTCACGAGTATTCAAACATCAAGATTTTGAACAGCTTGTGATATGGAATCACATGGTGAAACATTATTGATGGTATCAAACAGAATGAAGTTGAAAAACTTAGTTTCAACATTATATAATTCCTCAATTTCTCTGGCAACACTTTTCAATTTTTCTTGATTTTTACTTATCAGAAAAATATTGATTCCCCGATGGGCAAGTTGATCTGCGATTGCTCTTCCGAATCCGTCAGTTGCACCTGTAATAACTGCCCATTTGCCAAGTTTCTTGAAATTTATTGGCGAATCTGTAACATACGTTACCAAAAACGTGTAGGCCTATAGTCCATAACAACTTTTAACAGTTAAGTACAGCAAAGAAAGGTATCCAAATGCATGCAGGCCCAACATGCAACTTTTGTTAACCATGGATTCACAATTTACATACATAACGGTAATATAATGATATAATACTCAGCTATACATGCCAATACAAATGACAGTCGTCAATTGCAAAGAAAAATTTCATATTTAAATTGGGCCTGTTACATATCATTTATTTCAAGACTAGGAGGAAAGTTTATACAATTTTTAGGAAAACCACACATGTTATTTGATAGAAAGTCAAGTGATTTTCTCAAACCTGATCAACTTCTACCGAAGTTTAACCCTCGGTGAATAAGCTAGGGTGTTTTCAGCGGTGACTATACCATATTGATATAGAGGTGTTTTGTGGGTTTGTTTCTGAGGAAAATATGTTATGGTTTTGGTCGTTCAATGTTAACGTTGTCCTCTCAATCTCAAACAAATACATTAACACGAGAAGTTTAGTTTCGACCAATGATACATATGCCTTTCAATGGATAGAAGCGACTAGAATGTATTGAACTAGAATACATGTATTTGTATTACAATCGAATTGATTAATAATAATAATTGCTGCTGCTTAATTTGTCTTAAATCAATTAACGTATGGAATCACTGTGTTTAACAACAACACTCGCGCAAAACCGCCAGAGAAGATAGTCAAGTGCTAAAATTTTTGTTAGCAATGTGGTCATGCTGGTTAGCAATAGGAGGAGACAAGCGTTAGTGTAGTTATATCCTGTGTAGTGGGCCTTACAACAAATACATTCGCCAACAGCCGCCTCCATTGAAGTGCATCTAAAACCTTCATTGCAGCGAGGCCTCAATTGAATTAAATAAAGATTAAAAACTGTCTAAAATCCTGGGCGTTATTGGCGATTCTGGCAACTTTCTAGCTAACATTGGACCGCTTACCAATTTTACGTTGAGGATAGCTGGAATGAAACGATTGCATGCTTTGTTACGCCAACAAAAACAGTTAGGAAACGCATTGTTAATCAAATGCGTTCATAGCTTGCGAGGCGCACACACGCGAATTTGCAGCGACCTCGAGTGACCTCGTGAGAGGGTTTGAGAAAAGTCATGCGGGCCATGATGCGAAATCTCATCTGCCGCAATGACGCACTCCAAGATATCACAGGATTGTAAACATTTTACAGAATGGCCTCACTAAAATGACATCACGTTTATAACAGTCTCGTTCTACCGTGTTTCCATGATCATAAGACGGTGTCTTATTTCAATTTCTATTTGAAAAATACCACTAGGGCTTATTTTGGGGTGATGTGTTTTATTTTCATTTATCAAAAACAAAATTACAAAGTAGAGAATTATGAGATTTTCAACTATACAAAGTATGAAAACCGATATTCATTTATTTATGAATAACACGTTTTCATTTAAAATAACTGCTAAACATAGATTATTAATTCTTTGAAACGAGTAGAAAATATTTTTTGCTATTAACTAGGTCTTATTTTAAGGGTAGGTCGTATTTTCGAGGAAACATGGTATTTGACAGCTGGTTCTATTTTTAGGTCAGCTACACGTGACTTGTACTGCCTACCAACTGCATTTTTAATGTGAATACTTGCTTTTTTCTTTTATATATGTGCTCAAATATCCATATCTACAGTGGAGTAGTACGAAAAGAATTCAAAGCAGCCATGTTGTTACTATATTGCTCAAAATGCAAATTTAGAGCTTATATCTATCATTGAGTGTCTGTCGAGCAAATTCAAAAACGACATGTTAGTTGAGTTGTAGATTAACTTAACTACCTTCTGAAGAAAGATGAATCGTCGCCATTAGGCGTACAAAATTATATATATGATATTGATTTTTTATGTTATTATAGAAAGGTCGCTGACTAATACAATGGCCGAAAGAAAAGACTCTTAAATATCAAATGGTTTGAAGACTTCTTGCAGTTTTTATAAGAACGTTTTTCGTTTACAAAATAAACTTTGGTTTGCTCATCAGTGTGTATTGCAAAAAATATTTTAAATTGATCCGTTAATTTATTTTTTTTTTCTGTGGGAAAAATAATACGATACAATACGTCGATTTGAGTCTGCAGTCTTCACAATCTTGATGCTGAATTTGGCGCTTCCGAAGTATGTGCACCAAGATGGCGCACAACCTGAACACTAACCTGGTACACATACTAGGTTCAGGTTGTGCGCCATTTTAGTGCACACACTTCTGGAGGTCCCTGCATTTTAATGAATGCATGGGCCTACGACGTAATCAATCTTGAATTACTTCTAATTATAGCTGCGTAAGGCAAGATTATTCCGTTATTTGAAGTTAGAAAATCATTGATAACTTGTGGCCCATCATAATGACACCGGTAATTTTTTCTGACGCAAGGCCAGGAACTCTTCATATTCATACTCAACATCTAGGCTAGGCAGATAGTACTCCCACTAAACCAAAAATCTTAAAGATTCAGCATATAATTTGCTAACCCCAACAGTGACACGAGAACTATAGCACGTAGCGCGGCATAAAATTAGATTAGATAAGCAGACCGTTACACAGTGCAGCCACATTATGTTGATGAACAAGCTTAGCATGTTAAAATCCTATTTTAGACCACTGTTCAATCAACCACTGTTTAAATTTGGCCAAGGAGTTTTGAACAGCCGGTACATCATCAATCCAAATATGACAGCATTACGCCAACTGCGTACAAGAATTAATTTCGACAGCTGAAGTATGCATTTGGTGGTTGTTAATACGGTCGATTATGAGCATGATGCCGTGACTATGCAGACTGTTTATAGCTTTCTTGACAGCAGATTCAATTTACTTCTTATATTATTTATTTTTTGGGTAACCAGCTATCAAGTCAAATCCAACGTATGAGAATTGCTAGTGTTGTTGTTTGCTAGAGTTACTAGTCAATCTGAGGAATTGTATAAAATGTGGTCCATTTATTACCACATAAGTTCCAGTTGGAGTTTTTGAGTACATGGATTTTTTTTTAGTCCAAAATATGCAGATGTACTTTTTTGTGTTTAATACATATATATGTATAGTAATTGATTGTAAGCTAAACCATGAAACTTTATTTAGACGCATTAATGAATTATACAATTTTAGTAAATGTCGAAAAAATCAGGGAGTAGGGATATGCGTACCTTCTTATTTTATATGGCTTTTGCAAATGCAGTTTTTCACTCCAATAGCCAAGAACTGTCGTCTGACAGAGTGACACTGACAAGTGAAAAGGGTGCTCATACAGTTGTTAATTTTCAATGTGGGGTTCGTCAACAGGCGACAACTGAATCTGATACAGCAAGACAGACCCAGGGTCGACCAGGAAAGAAAGGTCCGATTGGGCCTATGGGTCAAAAGGGAGAAAGAGGTTTTAAAGTAAGACACTAACTTACCGAATCATCCTCGTACCATTTTTTTTTAAGTTACATTGCATTTTGTATTTCTAGTATGTATTCAGTTCATTTCAACTGATGGTGCAAATGCAAATGCGATCTTTAATACAGTAGAACCTACGATGCAATCTACAACGAAACCCGCTTTTTTCGAAAAAGTAAAACTTGGCTTATGCTTGGCAAAAGAAAATATTTGTATCAAAGAATGATGTTTTGCACATTATCGAATGTGATCAAATTGGAAGACTGACTTTCGGCAATAATATATTTAAATGAGATAGTATTGAATATTCAATATTCGGTGACCTTAACATTTGAACCCATGTGTATATCCGCGGGTTCAATCTATATGCGGGTGCTAAAACCCATGGGTTAGGGTTAGTATGGGTTCAAATAACTGTAAAACAAAAAAAATTTTCATAGGTGCAATAGTATGCAGGTGCAATTGACATGGGTTCGAGTGTACGTGGGCTCAAATGTAATGAAACCCCAATATTCACATCTGATAACATATAGTTGCCTGTAGCCCCATATTTTGCAAAATACGCAAATGCCTAATGTAAGATTTTATGTATACGTTTCTTTGCCTAATTTTCTTGAAGATGAAATATTTTTTCACGTTGGACAACGTATTTTCCAAGTGAAAATGTTAATAACATTTTTTCTAAATAGGTCTCTGACTTCATCAAGTATTGCAATGTAATATTGAATATTCTTGATCTAATTAGTCATTGTTATTCATAGTTCTGCAGTGTGACTTTTGTCTTATTGGTGCAAAATATTTGAAAAAAATATAATTAGGAATCAGTTATGAGAATTTCACAGCTTGCTTTTAGTCAAATGTTAAACTCATTACCTGTATCTTGTCGTTGTGATTTTGCACACTTGTCAGGTTGAACATATTTCAAATGCAAAACATGATGTAATGCATTCAGGGAGAACAAGGCATGAAAGGAGAACCGGGGAATGACGCAGATTTACAGCGAGTTCGACAGGAAATAGGATCAATGGGTTGGTATCTCACGAAAACAAGTCGGTAATTTTCAAACTGTTTATCTTATGTTTCTGTAAAATGTTCGGTATTTAAGTAGATGTTACTTTTGAGTGTTTGTTGAAGCTCTGTGCGTACACTTTTTCATGAGTTTTAACATTGGAAAAAAATAATATAAATATTAATATGCAAAATATTAGGACGCTTTGATAAGTAAATCACGCAATCACTGCCAAGAATAAATCGTGAAAATATCGATAGTTTCTTTCCGTAGGCATGATTGAACATAAGCGTTCTTGGCGCATTAGCAGAAATACATTAGCAGACATGATTCTGGTAATGTAATTTCTCTGAACTGGACTCAGAGTAAACATAAAATGTTAATTAAACTATTTTTGTCATAAGAGCGTTATTTTGTTTCCTTCGAAACAATGTTTTAGAAATGTATTTGTTTTCCGGTTTGTAGCTTATGCCTGAATGCTTGACCTAATAAAAAAGTTTGACCTGACTTAGAACTGAAGACTTGGAAGGGTTGCAGAAACGTTTCGTTATGAATACGAGAGATCACGTAAAATTTTCCACAGATATAGAATGCCATGATTACAGGACATGCATTATATTCAATATATTTACTGCGCACGACATAAAAGTTCGATTCGTGATGGCAAATCGCATATTTTAATTGATTGCGTTAGCGCGCTGGTAGTGGGCATAGTTTATGTTAAAAAATTATGAAATGTTTATTTTTACTGTTCAGCTGTATCGAACTGTGGTGAACTCAAAGAATATGGAATTACAAAAACAGGTTATTATTTGATGAGGGATCCAGAAAGTTTAAATGCAATATATGCATACTGTGATTTTCAGCCCAAAAATGGTAAGATATAAAAAATATAAATATGTTGTTTCATTCTCCATTGAAATTTTTCATCGCACAATACATTTCACTTTCCAGGCGTTTCTACGTGTGAGCAGCTTAAAAACAAGTTTCACATAACTGAATCAGGATTTTACACTTTCTTGGCATCGAATTCAACCCAAACATTTCAAGTATACTGCAATTTTTCCAACTTCAAAGGTATATTAGGATTACCCAGCAAAACCTGTTATTATTTGATGCTTGCTTTTGTTGAAACCGAACTATTGAGCGCTCCCATTTTGACGCCTCCTTGTGGGCACACTCGTTTGAGAGCTGACAGTTGATAACAGCTGTGCGGTGGCCACTTGATTTGGCGTCAGACAAATGTCGAAATGGAAAGCATAAAAAAAATTCTGTGTGAAGAAATATAGATATGAAATATCCGATAAAGCCTATATAATTTATTTAAATTTTGTCTTTTTGAGACAAATTTGTCTGGCGCCAAACCTCGTCGCTAAATAGATTGTCCCAAACAGAAGCTTAAACTTACTTCTATACCTATACTCTATTGCTATAATTATATATGAATTTTTCAACGACAATCCTAATATAATCATTATACACGCGTATAATGGATCATCTTGGTTATTTTTACACCACTGACGATTTACTAATGTGATTTACATCCCAAAGATCGTTCGAGAATTAAAAAGTGTTGCAATTATCTCCCATTAAAACATTTCAAAATTGAAACAACTGTAAGTTATAAGCTTGGCTAACGAAAGCGTGCATTTCAATATACAGTAATTATAATTAGATTTGTAGTTTGTTAATTAATCGCACGGTCGCACAAAACATTTTTTGTTTGATATCGAATTTGTGCCTTGCCCAAATATAATAATTATGTTGTTATATCTATATTTTCCTTAGCCGTGACAGAAATTTGGCATGATTTAATGCGAGAGAAAAATATAAAGAACTGCGAGGGTAAAGGCTGTTATTCCACCACGCCGACGTACAGCATTTCCATCAAACATATTATTCAAATCATCAAAAATTCTGTGGAATGTAAGCAGTACATAAAGGTACTCATAACTATGTTCATCTCATTTGTGGAGTTGAAACAAATTGGAATTAATATGTCATAGGTAAATGTGACTTGAATGGATTACTTCGAATACGTCCGCAGATGAGAAAATGTTGAATTCTATTTATATTTATATATTTAGTCGATAAAAACATACAAAAATTGTTGTCAGGACGGGTGACACGAAATTTTGCTAAACCAGTTTATATTGCTGACGAATTATTATTGATGTTCCATTAGTACAAAAGAATCAATTATATAAACATGAAATGTAACAAAATCCTATTTCCACGAACAACCTTGTCTACAAAACGTCAGGTGCATTCTGCGGAAATTATTCCAAGTTATGTGAGGAAATAATGATAAATGAAACATACCAAGAAAACCCTTTTTTTTTATAGTGGACGCTTCATCTAACCTTATCATTATACCGAAATTTAGTTTCGATGTCGCGGCGCTGTCATCGCCCACACGAATCCAGCCTCTCCTTTCGCATGGTGGACATCACGGGATGGGGAAAAAATGCTTTACTGGGGAGGTTCAACTTCAAGACAAAACGGATATTGTGCATGTGGAGAAACAGGTCAGTAATCATAGTGGGCTACAAAATTTCAGCTCCACTTCACCTCATCTAATAAATTGTTACAGAATAATTTTATTGAAAAGTAATTATATTCAGGCACGTGCGTCAACAACCAATATAAATGTAATTGTGATAACAACGGTAACGTGATGACACAAGATGAAGAATACTTGACGGATATGGAAAAATTGCCCGTCAGTAAAATGTCTTTCGGCGATGCAGGAGATCCTTCTGAATACGGTTGGCACACATTGGGAAAGCTTGAATGCATGTAGTAACAATTATATATCTACGCTGGAATTGTTTACATAATATGCTTGCATTTGCTCCTAAAAATAGAAAACTTTAAAATTAATTTTAAAATTAACTTTAATTCTAATAAAATTAATGCATAGACTTAATGTGTATTCAGTACAAACAAGATAGATAGATAATAAATTCTGTGTGCAGTATTGTCGTCACAGACAATTTTGCTAAGACGTTACTGAGTAAGTTTACATGTATGATTTAATTAAATATTGAACGCCAAAACCTTCAAGATATGCTATTGCAAGGGCATGCAACTGAAATGAGGATACGTGCCGAAGTTTGAGAATTAATCTTGGCGCGTACCACCCCATCTTCGAATTATCGGTTATGATTCAACTCCAGCGTTCCAGGGAACAGGGTCGCCGTTGTCTTAACTGCCGATCAATTCAATTTCCCCTCTCTAGTCGACTGGAGCATCCTACACTCTCATATTCAAAACTTCGTCTAAAATATGTATACTGTATTTCATTTTAGCAAATAAAATATATTTGAAAATTTTACTTAAATCACTCCTACTCGCTTTAGCTGTGGCTGGATGACCTGTGTTAATTTTGACATGTTCACCTGCCACGTTTTTTGTCAAACTTATTTCACACTTGTATTTGCTTTTGTTTATTTCCTATATTTCCATCCATGTGTTTCACCCTTTTGTCTTACACACAATTTTATGTAACAAATGCACAGAACACAATGTATTATACCGATATAGTTGGAAGGCAATTCTTCATATAAACGATACTGCTGTGCACATGGGTTACAACGAAAGAACACAAAAACATGGCAATATGATCCGAAGTGTTCAGATTGACTTTGTGTATACAACTATTACAAAAGCTTTGATCAAAAAAGCTAATTTCCTGAGAAAGAAAATTGGCAATCATATTGGGATATTATCTTTAGAGTTACCTTAGAGCTTGGATAGAAATTTTCTAAATATTGCAATTGGCGAACTTTGTTGATCTTTTGCCATAACGATGAATTTTTCTAACATTGAAGGCGCACTATATATAGATAGTAAGTAGACATAATTTGACGCACATTTCTTCATTTAACATAGGCTTTCTATTAGTTGCAGGAACAAAAGAGTGTCTTTTTGTTATTGATCTCATGTCGTCATCATTAGGGGTTCTTGCAGAAAGCGCATAAATTTCCTAAAACTGTGATTCAAATATATTGTCCCACTCAATTTAAACGAATTCAGTGAGAGCTTTGCTGCTGGATTCTTTCTCCGAATACTTTCATCCAAATTTGCTATGGAAGTGCTAGCAATTCGATATGACCCCCATTTTAGAAAAAAATATGTAACCGAAAAGTGCCATATTTGGAGCCATGACTTTTTTCAAATGTGAAAAGTTATCTTAGTTGAGATGTTTTCGGTATAATACGCCAGGATTCATTTCCAAATACTTTGGTGTCAAATCTTATTCTAGATTAGATTTAAACAAAATCAACTGATAGGCTGAAACCAAAAATCATTTAGCTTTTGTATCTCTTAATATTAGATTTTTTCAAACTGCTTTCCATTTGCTTTAATCTTCAATTGCCCGTTCTTACAAACTCATTAGCGTCTGCTCCGCATTTTCCTTTCAATTGTTCGCTGCTCGGTAAGTGACAGCTTTGTGAATCGCGTTGTTCACTCCGCTGTTAGGACGCTGTAACGTCATAGGCAAAATGATAAATTGGACTCGAATATAAGCGTTGCAACAAAAAGGGAACCAGATCAAACTAAATTAAAAACTAGTTCAGCTGGCCGCACATCATTCAAAATTGGCACTTCTCCGCGGGCCGCACAATATTCCCTCGCGGGCCGCATTTGGCCCGCACTTTTGCACACTCCTGCTCTATAGTATACTATAGTACCAAAATCATCATAGGTATTCATTGTTTTGTGACGTGAACAGCGCATAATCAGAATATAAATTTCCTCAATTTGCCAGTGTGGGTCAATAACTAGCTCCTGGTACTTGTTGAAAATTATTCGTCGAAACTTAAGTTGATAGCTGGCGTAAAACGGGTTAAGTATGTGAATGACCGCAAAAAATACTTCACAAATGTTTATTGGTGTTTCGACATAAAGAAAAATTGTAATCTTCATCCGTTTCGTCTTCCTGCTGTTCAGCTTCTTCTATAGTATTTGGTATTATTTTCCCTCTTGTTTCTGGCAGGAAAGCAGCAAAAACACTACTTGCAAAACTGACAACACCAAATGCTAGAAACGGAGTATTTAATCCAGAAAACATCTGAAAATAATACATATATGTCAAACAAGTTTTTAAAATATCACCTTTTTTGTATAGCGCACTCAGAACATCATTCTTCTAGAAAGCACAATAGAGACAGACTCAACCCACCCACCTCAAATATTCTAGTCTTTGTTGGTCTATTAATATTTTTTAACAGACCATTGACTTATACCATTAGCCAGCAATATCTCATTTTATCTGAAGAAGTTAGACTATGATCTAACGAAAGCTTATAAATAGACTTACTATTTCGTGGAAAGAGATCATGTTATTCATATTTATATAAAATAGGCGCAAGAATATTCGTAAATTTTTGTACAGCGATGAGTGTTTAAAATGAAGAACCAGTATGTCTCTGGTTGAATTTCAAAAACATTAATTAATACAACGTTAATGAATGACCATGTGAAATATTGTTCGACGACCTCAAAATTTACTGAACTTATCACTTAGCCTTAGAGTTTGTATGTGTTAATTGGCCATACTTTGTAGTTTGAGAATTGTATAATGTGACAATATTGTGTTATTCCGCAAGTCGACTGGATGATTTATCAATTTCACTTTATATTACATATAATTACATTTCAACCCTTTTCAAGGTATAATGAAAAAAATAGGGTACATGCGCTTAATATTATGCATTGACTTATTATTATACCAAATAGGAAAACAGCTATATGCGTTTTAAACTTGCGCATATATAGACAATACAAAGGAAATCTACTCACCGCTAGATTTGCTAAAAAGGGAGCAATCACTCCTCCGACTCTTGCCCAGAATGACATTGAACCCAGTCCAACGTTCCGCACAACAGTAGGAAATAGTTCCGCAGTATATATATAAAGAAGATCAAATGCTCCGCTAATTCCTATTTTTCCGAAGAACAGTAACGCCAGTTTATAGTTGGAATGCTCACCTAATATAAAATAATGAAATTTTCCAAATAGAATTGAAGGAGATCGCGCTGTAATTTTCATTAAAAAGAGCTATTACTCTGACACAAGAAAAAATTCAATCTATTCAATAAGTTAAATTTAATTAAGTTCTAACCCCGAGATCTTGATATGCACATGAAAGCTGAATTTGTAATATAAATAGAATTTACCTTCTTCAAATGGTACGATATACATCACAAACATACATATTGCACCAAGAGCCATAAACCATATGAGCGTTCGTCTACGACCAGCCCTATAAAATATATATATATTATACTTTATGCCTCACAGTGTTTAACTAAGGTTAGGTTGATGGTTTATACAAATTCAGACTTTAGCCATGTTTAATATATGATAGCATAGTTCATCTAAAATTATATATTATGTTTGGCAATTTACTATTTTCCATGAAAGCAATTTATGTGTTTGGATTCAGCTATTTTTGTTATAGGTGATGAAAAAAAATGTATTTTATTAAATGTTTTGGAACCAAGCGTTGAAAGAGCTGCGCAGCACATTCCATCAATATTGCTAGGCCATGTTTCATTAAAAATGTCAATGAAGTTATTGCACTTGTAAAATTGTATTTCCTGCCATTTTCAATGTATGCAACGACTCACCATTTTCGTTCCATGAGGTAAATAAAGAGTGGAACAGCCGGAATCTGACTTATTCCTGATATAATGAATGCAACATAAAAATTTGAACTAAATGATCCTGATCCAAGCGTGATACCATAAAACACAAAACTTGCAGTAAACCTGAGAATGAAAGTGAAGTAAATATACTTATGTATAACATGAAATGTATTGACATGAATGAGGCATTGGCGATATAGTGTCGATAACTTATATGACATGTTAAGTACATAACTGCATGTTAGCACCATAACCCACAAACTTCGTAATTGAATACTGTTGCTATATTCAAATATTGTCTGCTTTGTTTGAGGCCACAATTTGTCACAGTGAAACTGCAATAAATTTACTGTTTCTACTGTAAGTCGTCGTAATTCAGTCGAGACAAAGTGGCGAACGACCACGTGTTGATCTGTTATTCACATTACCACACTGTTTACTCTGAAATAATTTTCATGAATGCAGTCACCTAAAACATTGGTTCTCAAAGTGGGGTCCGCCAATGATTTTTTGGGGGAGGGGGAAAGGGGTGGGGACCTAGACACCGACACAAAAGCACTGCTGTGACGTTTTTTTTTATAAGGGATAGTGCTGAAAAGATTTTAGTATTTATTTGTAACACATGAGACACGATACGAGAGTAATGGCCCAAACAGAACCCCCAAATAGATTAACAGGTGGAAGCCAAGCAATTGCGCCCATCACATTAAAAACAAGAGAGCTATGCTCAAATATATGGACACGTAGAGTCACATAATTTTGATGACGTTATAGCGAAAAAAAAAGTAATAGCCTTCTGGAGAAAATTTTTATCTTTAACCACTAAAAATTTCAAAGCAATTGGTCCAGTATTCGAAGAGAAAAGCGACTTTTTAAAAACGTGTCAAAGAACAAGAACAACAACAACATAATATTGAAACGATCGTTATGTCCACTACGTGTCCAAAAACTGTACTAACGACATGCAATAAATCAATGCTCGATATAACATGTTCCTATTCTGAATTTTTAGTGGACCGCGAGTTCTCATAAAAAATGCAGGGAGACCGTTACGCAAAATTTTCCAAAAAGTTCGAGAACCACTGACTTAAAAGAAAGCTTCGAAGTTCCAAAAGAAACGTATTTTGAGCCAATGCTCATTGGGGTCATTGTCTGTAAATTAAGCATTGGGAGAGTCTCGAATAATAAGCTTCGTTTTGTCATGTCATCAAAGCTTTTCAGACCTGACCAAGTGTGTCCAATAGTATTGATATTATATCTTATCCAGGATTTCAGTCGATGCCCAATAGTCCTCTTTGAAGGAGCCTGTTCTATTGTCAAAACTTATTATATCGACTCTAATTCTTTACTAAGGATTTAAACAATATTTTTTTGTAAAATAGGTTTTCTCAAAGGCACCAACCATTGCAAACTCAGAATGAGAGATCTGTAACGAAGAGTAGGATGCTTGATTAAATCAATAATAGATCTCGTTTTCTTAATCTCTGGTTCGGATGTTAATAGTCTGGCAGTTGATATTTCTCTGGAATTGCTGTGCCCTGTTTCAAAAATGAATATCGAGGGTATATCACATGCTATAACAGAGTGTCATCCGGTGTAATGCAAAACGAAGATATATTTTTCCGACTTGTTAGCAAAGATAGATATTCAAAACGTCGTTAAAAAATTTCATCATATTAATAACCATGAGTTTCCTCTTTGGCAACAATTTGTCAACGTCGTTTCTGGAACTTGGCAAAAAAAGTGATTCCGCTCATTTATTCATATACTACTTACCTGTATCACCGGTCTGGCGATCACTTGAAATCGTTCCGGCATCGTCATCTAATAGTAGATCGTAGTCTGAATTTAGAATATAAGAACTTAGATGGTATGTAGTTTCCACAAGGTAACATTTATTTAGTAGCGTATTAATTCTACCCTCAAATGTGCGGCGTATATAACTTGGGTAACCATTATATATATGAAATGTAACATGATCGATGAGAAATGAACTCTACGTAATTGTCACAGGCAGAATTATTTTCCTTCAATTGTTACCGTTGTGGTATTGAACATAGTTCCCAAATTGGAATTTTTTCAAAACTGTTTTTACCATTTGGTTTTGAATCATCTAACTAAAAATCACTTTTTTCCCAATTTTGAGATAGTATTCTACACCCATTTTAACCAAATGATTGGTTGGGTAACAAAAATCCTGTAAAATCATATTGACATTCCAATAACGACGTACTCCATAGTAAAGAAAACCAAAACTGTCAATAACCATTAAGATTACTCAACTGTGATAAAATAGAAAAAAGTATGTGAGAAATAGAAAAAAGAATTGGTGGGAATAATCGTACATAGGAATCTCCAGATATACACTCGACAGAGATTTACTGCAGAAATTCACTAATCGAAGATTTCAGCATGTTCCTTTTACTCGAAAACATTTAACCGCTAGCATAGTGTTTGTTGAAAAAAAAATCTACACTGGTGAGGCACGAGATTGGAATACGTAGTTGAAAAGGGAGTATGTATGAAAAAAATCCACACCTGAAGATGATTGAAATATTGTTGTTGTCGGTTATGCTTAAGTTTTCTTAATATTTACCTTCTTCATTTGACTTATTCCATTTTGATATTTTTTCAACGACTTCTTGAGCACTGATAATTTTTCCACGGGACAGTAACCAACGTGGTGATTCCGGGACGATGCTGAAGTCAAATAGAATATAAAGTTATTAAACCAGGACCGACATACTCAATAACAATTAATTATATTATTATTTTGTGTAAATAACTTTAAATATCTACACTCGCATTATAGATAAATTGAACCAATAAAATGAACTAATAAACACAAATGAGCAAATGTCCTGGATCTGGTTACTGGATGCGGTTGAAACCAGAAAATATGTTGAAACACCAAATGACTATCGTATAGTTATATGATATTTATATGAATGTGTTATAAATAAAGTGATTCAGCGAACCTAGTCCAGTCGCTTGAGAACCCCTTCGCTATAATTCCATATGTGTATATATTGTGAGTATTTGTAACTTACTAAAAATAGATGAAAACGAGTATCCCAGGAATCGTAGTGATGAAATACATCTGTCGCCAACTTGGAAACAGATAAGCAATCCACAAGAAAGCAAGCATGTTAGCTGTGTATCCTATTTCAGCAAGAGCGCCTGAAAATGCGATCATGTTTTGAAATTGCTTAAAAAATTAAACGTAATAAATTTGATGTGTTATGGTTAATCTATTATTTCTGACAATAAAATATGTATACCAACCAATATAAAAGTTCGATTTGGCTTGCGTCAAACTGACATTGTGTATAAGCTTCCGATGGAACAGTTACGCAAAAGAACAAAAGTGAGCCGGTCACTGTTTACAAATTACAACCAATCTGAACTCGTCACGTCGCATGGGAAAATTAATTATGTACGAAGAATCGGATAAAACCTAAACTCGCTATATAATGGACAACAAATGATTGAGTTATGATAAGTTAAATACACAAAGCATTGCAATATTGCATTAACTCTGTAATCTCAACAATATTCTCAATCTGGTATTAAAAACCTAACAGAATATACATCACTGATTCCAATATACTCGGTGACAAATCAGAAACTGGGATTCTTTTCACAGTTACTGAGTGTTCTTCGAAGCCAACATGACGAAATGCGTTTTTAAAGTCTTCCGGAATATCTCAAATCGCTTGTACTTATGTAGTGAATGCAGTTTATATTGTTATTAAAAATATAATTGAAGTATCTTACCATTTACCACCCACAGCTTCGACCCGGTACTTTCTTGAGTTAGAATGGTCTGAACCACACCAAGTCCGCCTATGAGAAAACCCGATATTGCTCTACATGCAGCAAATTGTTGCCAGTTCTGACAGAATCCGGTGAGAATTTGAAAAACCAGGCTGAGTGCGTAGACTGTGAAATTGTTAGCATAGAGTTCAGTTGATTTCCTAATAAAATTTCACCCTGCGGTCATACAAAATGACATATGAAGATGAATTTGTTAGGTTTAATTACCCTCAAATATGGGTCAAATACTTGTACTTGACATACCAGGCAAATGGACTAGACATCTACAAACAGATCTTGAATAGACCAAGCAAATAATTCTTGTACGATATTCGATTTGAAGTTGGTGATTTCCTCAGGAGTTTTGACGAAATGTTTTTCTTGAACAATTATACCAGGTTGCATAAAACAAGTAACCATACAACTAGTTTTGAGTAAACACATACCTATCCAAGAAACTCGTTTTCTGCCGTAAAGATCAGAAAGCTGTCCCATTATTATTGCACCAGGCATATACCCAACATAAAACATTGACTGCAGAAACCCAGGAATCCAATTTCGAGAATCTGTTAAATTCCACTAAAATAGAACAAAGTAGACAGCTGATTCTAGAATGTATCCTCAGCAGCATGTGCTTCTGGTGTAGCGTATACATCAGTATGGCAGCTTTCATTGAAAACTCAGTGGGAAAATATACATATAGTATTGCTATGGGGCGTGTACTTAGAAAACGAACATTCATTTAACACGATTTAGGTTTCAACCCGTTGTGGGGACATTCCAATTGCTATCTATCCTTACAGTGCCCGTAAATGCTTGTCAGTTCAATCTGTTTTGCTTTTCGTGGAATGTAACCGCAAATACAAATATCAACATGGTGCAAAAGTTGACTTGTTCAAACAAATGGAACTAACAATACAACTTGATTGATGCTGTTACATCACTTAAAATCTAGATTAATAACCGCAATAAATCTGAAAAATCTTTTCTGACATTATTTAGTCTAAAAGACTCTAAGTCTAAGGGATCAGGTCTCAAAACAAGCAAAGCTAAATTATGTCACATTTCATCAATACCTCAGTAACGATTGTCTGCACATTACGAGCATGCGGGTTATCTACAAATGCTGACGAAGGGGCTGAAGAAAATACCATCAGTATGAGATCTGGAGGTTTCGCAAGCTGAAAAAATATTTCAGAATTAAGGTTAAGTTATTTCCAGTTTTCAAACTTATTCTCTGTGTGCAATGAAATTTCACCTGGTTGATATGTAAAAAAAACTACATTGGTATGCATACAAACGGAGTCATTTTTTTTTTTTTTGATTAAACATGAAATCTTGTCTTAATGTGTTTTGTCACTTTCACTGCAATTTGCGAACAATGAACATATATATACGAAGTTAACCTACCGAAAATAGAAAACCCAGCAACGATAAAATGACATAAGCCCTTTTGTAAACAGATCCAACTTGTACATTCAGAATTTTGTCTATACTTCCCATTTTATTTCCGACAACCGATCGAGGTACCTTCCAAGAATTGCTGTTTTGGTTTCTGAGTCGTCGTCTACCTCCTGGCATTACGTTATGTTAATGGTTGTTCAACCATACTATTCAGTGCAATTATGCATAGTTTACTGGAATACGTGTTGAAGGCACAGACAACGATATTTCAGGATTGAGTTACAAAACCTGTCAACAGCCTCGTCTATTATCATCTGTTTTATTATTATTATCTGGTATTCTCAGCTAGTTCAATCTGAACTCTAGAGCTTGTTGGAAAGTAATCAAACGACCGCGTTAGTGTGGATTTATGAAAATGCCTTTAATGCAGCAGATAAAATCAATCAATGAGACCGGAAACTACGCACACCATGTCAGCATCATGTCTACCGTGAGTTGCATTGCGTGACATGAAAATCTGCTTTCTTGCGTGATGCCGCTAGAGCGCTCAAATTCTGTGATATCAATTCTGTGTTCGGGATAATTTGCAAACAGTCTTACGTTCACTTTCCTAGGCATTATCAACAGATTACGAGCGTACCGCTGCAAAATATATTTCTGGAATTCCCCGTATAGTAATATAACGTACAAAGTTATATGCCGTAAAAACGCCCAAGGCAAATTACAGAAAATTTATTAAAAAGAATTTGCTGGCTGTATGATAATCAAATCAAGACGAGGTAGCAAATGATAAACTATGCAAATATTTTAAACCTCCAAAATATTGAATGTGTTGAATAGAAATAATAATAGTAATAATATGAATAAAACGGAAAATTACAAAAAGTAGTTCAAACAACATTTCCAAGTTCAGGCCAGGTCATGGCTGCTATTGCTATGCCGCTATCCGTCGAAGTGGCGGATACCAAACGTTGTAGTGTGCTAGGCCACCTGCTCCCATGAAATGAAAGTTTCGTCCCAAAATCATCTCAACGTTTTCGGCAGAGCTTGATACCCACACCATAATCAAGAAGTGACAAAGATTTTTACATCTCGTCTAGGGTAGATGCCACTCGACGCATTCTGCAATCGCAGTTGCTTTTTTTCTTTTATATTTATCCATCAACGTGACATCTAAATTTGATAACTCCCTCCCGTGTACCCCTTGAATGGAGATGACGTACTGAGATTCTTACTTAATCTTTGTGCCTGCGTTTCCCATTGCTCTGCTCTACATTGTTCATATTCTTGCTAACGGTCGTTTCCAAACTGTTAATTGATTTACGAAATTTCCGACTAGGTGAATAGGGTCCTTATTTACTGACCCTCTGACAAATTTTTAAAATTTGGAAATTTTAATGTCCACCATACCACCTGCTTGAACCTAAATTTAATTGGCGGTACTTTACCATATGACTTTTCACAAATTGTCGCATTCCCAACTTGATATTAGGATACCCCATTACTTTCGCATTTAGTTCGCTTTATGTCGGATTCTGGTTCCGTCTCCTCAATTTTCCCTTAAATTCTTCCAGATATTTCTGACCCTGTTTTGTTGCAGCTTCATTTTGAAACAAATTCCACGAGTCTTCGTTCCGCCGATCTTTTTTTTCTGGCTATAAGAAAGATGCTGATTGGGACGATATATATATTCGCTACTCGCTTTGGAGATCAGATTGGCGAACTGGTATTGCACAGGTATTTCCCAATAGACGGTACCATAATGGAACCATATTCTTCGCCACGGTATTCTTTGGAATGGACTGCGAAGATTGCGCAACAAAATAGATCAATTATTTGAGAAGGCCAGAAACAAATGCTTGATAAAACTAAAAAGAAATATTTATTTTCATGCAATTCAGCAAAAAGCCGTATTGCTCCACAGAATCATGTCCTAAACAACGGCTGTCACTCCATCCCCCCAAAACATCCCCAAATAATCCCCCCCAATCTAAGACCAAAGCGGTATTGTTTGCTAATTTATTTCCAAAGCCCTGCAGTCCCGATTCAAAACAGTTAATTCTTTCTGAAATTTTCAGAACTTGACAATATTAGTTGAAGTTTTGATAAAACTTTGAATAGTCACCCGCGCAATTGCCAGGCTCAGATCCTCAACTGCTTCCGGCTCAAACGATATAGCCTACCCGCCGTGGTGTTGAAGTAATGTTCTCCTGAAATTTTATCAAAATTACTTAATCAATGTTTATGTAATCCTTACTTTCAGAGTGCTGGAAATTAGATACCGCTGTTGCCGATTTTAAAACAGTTGGGTTTTGACCAATTCTGGTTAATATCTCCCAATCAATCTTTTGCTGATCATAAGCAAAGTATTTGACTTACTTACATCAACACAGTTATTGCTGACCGAATAAAATTATATAACCTTTTAATCGACAAATAATTTGTTTTCGTCGAAAACGTTCTAGCGCCGATATGATAACTGAAAGAACATACCGTGTACTGGGTCGAAGTGGTGAAGCTTAATTAATTGCCTTGGATATTCCAGCAGCTTTTGATAGTTTGGCACTCCGGAATCGTGTACAAAATTCGATTATATTGTATACCTGGTTAGATTTTTACCATCATCAAATCATTTTCCTCTAAATGCAAAATCAACGTTATTCTTGAAGACGAGATCTAATGCGGTTTCCCAGGGCTCAATTCTTGGACCTACATTGTTCCCAATATTTACTAATGGGGAATCAATTTATCAATGAATTATAATTAAACGTAGATAAGTGAAAATTGAGAACGAGAATGCCCTACGTCACAATAGTGCCTTTCGTTGCGAGATGTTTTTCACTTTCTTCCAGGACTTGATCCAAATGAATCGCGTACGGGTTTGCAATGAGTTCGTATTCATTACTAGATACAACACAACAGGCCATATCCTATGACATATCATATCACGAAGGCCAAAACGAAGTAGCACCAGTACGGGTATACAATTTAGTCTTCTGACTACCGGTACTTTACACGATTAACGCGAACTCGGAACCCGCCACAAATTGCACAATTTTTTATGAGGCCATCGCACATGGAAAACGAATTCCAAAGCAGTTGGTCCAGTAGTTTTTGAGAAGAGCGATTTTTTCATAACAATAAGAAGAAAAAAAATACTAACAAGAACACAACAACATAATAACAGAACGATCCATGCACACTTCGTGTCAAATGATATATTCATGGTAAAATGACCATGGGTGAAAATTCAGCGTGTGCAAATATTCGTGGAATCAAATGTCTATGGGTGCAAATGTCTGTGGTACATGAGTGCAAGTGGCGCGACCCTTTTACGACCTTAATATTATGGCCTATATTAAAAAATTCCCAACAATTTCGCATATATAAAATTCACTATATATGTGTTTTTCTTCTAAATTGACTTCAACTGTCCAAAGTATTGAACGAATCGGCATTTACTGTCGGGTGATGCACAACGGTAATTCTATGAAGTTGCAGTAGCTCTTGGCATTTCAATAATAACTCATAACTTTGCTGAGATGTAAGTCCACTGTACATTCACTGAGCAAATACCATAAAAAAAAACGATTTCTATATATGCAAAGTGCTTCCTTCCATTGTGTTCTATGGTTGGGCCAATTTGGTGATTTGGATTGATTTGATTTTATTAAGAACTTTTTCACCATTAATTCTTTTCTGCGTGTTTCATATGTAAGGGAAAACGGAACCCCATCGCTTTTTCTACCTGTCAATGACGCGAAGGCACGTTGCGGGAATCGGGAACTTTTGCTTGGTTTCTTTGGATATCTGGTAAAAAGATACGACCTTATAAAAACCTATTTTCTGTTACGACTCCACGTTGTACGCCACAGGTTGCATCCTGAATTTTGGTTTATACAAAATGAGATACTTCTATTGCGTTATATTTTCTGCCTTGGTATGTTTTGGAGAATCTTCTGTGCCATTAGAAGAAGGTATGATATGTATAATTTCATATGCTGTAATTGTTGAAGGCAAAAACAGTCTGAACACGTGAAGAAACTTTCTTGTTCCATTCATATTTGAAGTTCGCTCAATAAGAAATTAAATGCAGCTATCTATGTATAGTTGTTGAATATTTCAGTATGGAAGTTGTGGTCAGTCTGTATCTCAACAATCTATACCTCAGGTTGCCGCATAATGATGGTATCACACGTAAGCAAGTGGTCCTTACTAAAGGAGAATCTTTGAAATTGGAATGTGAATTTATTCCATCTGCTGGATCCTGGTCTTATATTCAATGGTAGCATTTTCATTACTTGGTGATGTTAAGCATTTACATAAACATACATGTTTTGCTATATTAGTTTCGGGTTCGATCAGGATCAGTGTGCTTCAGAGCAGGGGTCCGCAAATACAGGGTCGCAGCTAGGGCTGGGCATATTCGAATACCTGATGATTTCAGAATCGAATCGAATATTTTTTTCGAATCGAGTCTCGAATACTTGGGAGATATAATTGTATGCGATTTTTTTATTGTAATTGGTCCTTTCAAAATATGAATTACTGAAAACGTAGAATACATCACTCAGACAGATTGCTGAGCGTTTAAATACAATAAGAAACACGTTTTATCAATAACTCACTACAGAAAATAGTCATATGTCAGAAATGCATTGAAAAAATATGATTCCGATAAAAATAAATTAAGGAATTCATGTCGACCATTGGCGGTAAAAAAAAACAATATGGCGGCGATTCGAAATATTGCTCTGAACCGATTCGAATAATTCACTTTTTTCATGGATCCGAATATTGCAAGAGTGGAGTAAGTAGTGTTTATTTCGATTTTCCGTTACAAAAAAACAAACCAATATACGAAAAATTAGGAAATTGGGCAAAATCTAAAAAAGATTCAAGACGTGCTGATGCACGTGCCCACTTACCCCAAACAGCAAACAACACAATTGAAGTAAGTTTAAAATAAATACACGGAAGACAATCCGGTCGTAAATACTTGGGTGTGGATGTGGAATTTGAACATAGACTGCAGTTTCTACTATATCTGCACAAGAAAATAACGAGAAGTGTAGAATACAGCAAATAAACAAGCGGTACGCAATATGTGATAATTAATGTGATTATGTGATTACAAAAGCATTCCACGCTCTGTCGTTCCAACTTCAGTTTTGATCAAAATCCGTGTGCTTTGTGTATTGTGTCTTTTTTATGGAACCCATCATCAAATATCTGTTACATTTGATGTTTGACTGTTCATGTTATCCTCAGCTTCGATCAGGTTTCCATGATAAACTTCAGCCATGCTAAAAGCCAGCATGATCTGATGCGAACTGATCCATATCGTATCGGTACTGCATCTGAAGAAGAACATATACTGTAATTTCGTGTTTTTTCTGATAATTGTTTTTATAGGTGCCCGTGCACAGAATTCATCAATCACCAGCATTGTTTTGATTTAGGTTTGTAATATCTTCTCAGGATGATTTATATTTGTCTGGTTTTCCAAGAAAATCGCCGTTTCAATGCAACCGGATGGGCGGATGGGCGAATTTCCTCGTTTTCGCGTGCTATTTGTTAGTTTTTAGCTGTGTTTTGGTAAATATACATCTGAATCAAATAACTCAATGATCATTTTGTCTTCGTAGAAGTTTTATTTCAATTGCAGTAAACAAAAATTAATCTAGAAATAGCTGTGATGGAATAGGCTAAATTTTCTACCGGTACATTTCAAATGAAAGGTTGTTGAATTTTTTTAGTCAAAATGATGGTTTGAAACATATAAACGGTTTATAGGCGCCGATTCGTAAAACACTCATGAAATAAGTACCAACAATTTTGCACAGGTAAAGTATATAGGAAAGATTTTCCGGGGATCGAAATTCGGGAAACTTCCATTACGTAGTTGTTTGCATTGTTATTATCCTACTAGGTAGTCAATTGTATTGTTCCGTAGCAATGCGAGGTTAGCACTGGCTGTGTGGAATTGCTTGATAAGACGGATGATGAGATTTCATGTGCTAAGTTTCATAAAATTTTGTGCAGAAAATTGCTAGTGTCAATAATAGTCTTAAAATCAATAACTAATTACATGCTTACCAAATGCGTGGGTCGCGAGAAATTAGAAAAAAAAAAAATTGGGGTTGCGCCAAAAAGTAGTTGCGGACCCCTGCTTTAGAGGAACTATTATGATGCCTAAACATAACTATGACTTACACCGAAGAAACTTGATATACGATATTAGTATTATATCATTTATATTTTATACTATATTCAGGATAAAACTCCATGAAGAGGACAACAATTTAAGCATCTAATTATTCCCGCTAACCAAGCGTTCAACAATGGAAGCGCAGTGATATCTTCAATAGTTTTAGAGAGTGTGACTGGGAGCGATACAGCAAATTACAGCTGCATTTTAACAACTGCTCTAGTCACTTCATCCACGGAGTAAAAGGTGAGTTCTGAAACTGTGATGACATATTTAATTTACAAGCCTAATGATGGCATTATAGTAATTGCTTACATTGTGTTTTTTTTCTAATCAAATAAAGAATTTTGCACCGAAGGTTTGTGCAAACGTATAGATTTGTTGCAAGAGTACAGTTATTGAATTCGTAAATATTGACAAAATTGCAATTGCAAATCTTGATATAGTACCATACGATTGCAAAAGAGACCTTGTTTTTATAGCCGTAGCTCAGTAGCTTGAATCATAAGTATAATCTCAGAAATTGGTTGATTTTCCCGGATATCAGTTTTGTAATGTGCGTGTTTTCTTTTTTCAAGTTACTTTTACGATGTTATATTTATATAAATAAAAAACAACGGCTATTTTCACATGACGTAGTTAGATAGCTGACCTGAGATTTCTTTGGCGTTTTGATACAAATCTACATATCTATCAGAAATTAGTACTTTTGCAGATATAAATACGAATGTGATTAAAATTGCACTGGGGAAAATGTAGCAAATTGTATATATACATGTTTTAATAGACCATGCTTAAATAATGGATGATGCAGGATCACAGACTACAGGTTTAACTGTTCTTGTTTAGAAGGTAAAATTTATCATTTGAATTTTTGAACCACTGTCATTGTTTGCAGTTTTCATAAAACGTCTCTAAATTTTTGTTTTTATCCCGACATTAATCCGGGTCACATTTACTTATTTGCGTAATTTTACAATGGCACAGCATATTTGAAAACTGATTTTTCAACAAACACATTTTATCAATAGCCCCAGATATTGCAAAAAAAAAACATGCTTTGACCGCACGTTTCCAAGATCAGGCCATGGTTAATAAATTTACATGAGAAGATCAAACCAGCCAACCGCATACATTCAAATTGCAAATTTGCATTGGAAATTGCAGAAATAATGTATGTGATGATTTTTTCTGTAGACTAGTGGTCTTATGAGCAAGCCGTTTTGTGCATGTTTTTTGCTAATCACCCGCGTAATCGCCAGGCTGAAATCCTCGACTGCTTCCAAAGCAATTGGTCCGGTAGTTCATGAGAAAAGCGATTTTTTCATAACAATAACACCACAACAACAATAACAGAACGGTCCATATGTGACACTTCGTGTAAAAAAATAGATTCGTTGGTGCAATTCCGCGTGTGCAAATATTCGTGAAATCAAATGTCCGTGGTTCAAATATCTAAGAGTAAGATCTGTATGCGGATGCTAAAATGTGCGAGTGCAAATATAATATGATGGAAAGTGTTCCGCATGCGGCTCGCCGGAGCATTTTTGCGGCTCTTCTCGTGAGCATTTATTATTATTCAAATTTAACTTAAGAGAAACTGTAGTGTATCAGTTTTTTTTCAATTTATTAAGCGTTAGAAGTAGTTTTCATCAATGATTAAGGCAAGTTATGTTTCAGTATGAAAGTCGTTGTGGCGTGGAATTTTAGGTCAGCCAAGCTACAAATCTTACGTCACAATGGTCAAATGTATGTTGGCGTTGGCGGCATTGTTAGCTTGATTGCGGTTAGTCTCAGTTACAGTGCAATATGTCTCCAAGTAAGAAGCGAAAATACAAAGATGAGAACAGGGTAGTCAAGTTAGAATGGGAAGACAAATACGCATTCAAAATTTAAGAAAATAAACCTTTGTGATTAATCTCTCATAGGCGGCTAAGTCATAATAAAGTTGGCAATGTTGAACGGTACCATGAAACGAATCTTAAAATTGTCTTACGAGACTACCCTCGTAAATCAGCTGGAAGGAAACACAGATTAAATGACTTTAAATTAAAACTAAAAAGACAGCAGAAATGTATGATATTATTTGACAAGCAACCCGATGCATCCATTGAAGCTAGTTTTGTCATATCATGGAATATTAATCGTGCTGCCAGTACTGTGACTCTATTTTGTGAAAAAAATATTGCTGATGTTGCCGTAGTCAAGAGCCCAAACGCCGGCTTCGCGTCGCGCAACACAAAGACGCATATCCCAAATTAGTATATATTAATTTAACAGTTACAATGCAAAATGATTTAATGACTTCTAGTTCTAATAATCATGATTTCGAAATTATGCGTCTCTCACATATTTCTGACTTGCTGCATGCGGCTCTCATACTAAAAAATTTTGCCCACTTCTGGTATAGATAATTAAATCTGATCTTTTACAGTGTTAGTCTTTAACGTAACTGCATGCATATTTTTTCGGCAATGTATCTATTCTAAACTATTTAGATTGTTCTACCGCAACCAATGCAAAGCGGTTCACCCCAAATTAGGCGTGGCTGGTCGACTAACTGCGAACTCTCACGTCTCTCATAGTTATAAGCAAGCACAATTATTTGGGATGTGAGCATTTGAAATTATATTCAAGGTGTATTTGTTGAGCTAAGCAAGCCCCAAAACCGCCCCTTGTAGCTAAGCCCAGAACAAGAAACCATCCAATTCCACATTAGACCGCAGTGGCGACGGCGCCAACTTCACCTGTTGAAGTTGGCCCGCACGCCGCAAGCTCATTCAATTCAGTGATGGCTGTTTGACATATTCAAACAACCTTGGCGCGACCCATTTTACGACCACAATTTTATGGCCTATATATATAAAAAAAAAAAATTCTCAATAACTTCGGACATATAAAATTAATTATCGATGTTTTAATCTTAATATTGACTTCAACTGTTTAAAGTCTTGCACGAATCGACATATACTGACTGGTGGTGCACTACCATAATTCTATGAAGTTGCAGTAGTTCTTGATATTTCAATGATGGCCCGTATCTTTGCTAAGGGGTCTAGTTTATTTTTGAGTAACCTGCTTTGAGCAAATACACTAAAACGCTATTTCTATATATGCCAAGTGCTTCCTTCCATTGGGTTCTTTGGTTGGACCAATGTGGTGATTTGGATTGATTTTATCAAGAACTTTTTCACCATTACATCTTTTCTGCGTGTTTATTATGTAAGGAAAATGTTAGGCATCTTCATTGCTTTTTCTACTTGTCAACGACATGAAGGCACGTATCTGAAATCAGTATAATTTGTGATCTGTTTATTTGAATATATGGTGAAAAGTTACGGCATTATAGGAATTTATTTTCTCGCAATCCTTCTACGTTGTATCACACAAGTTACATCATTGATTTTGGTTCATCAAAAATGAGATACTTCTATTGCGTTGTATTTTCTGCCTTGGTATGTTTTGGAAAATCTTCTGTGCCATTAGAAGAAGGTGGGATATGTATATTTTTATATGCTGTAATTGTTCAAGACAAAAACAGTCTGAACACTTGAAGAAACTTTCTTGTTCCATTCATGTTTGAAGTTCACTCAAATAGAAATTAAATGCAGTTATCTATGTATAGTTGTTGAATATTTCAGAAGTTGTGGTCGGTCTGTAATAACTTATATATATAATTCTTTACACTAGATTCAGAGATACCAAATATACATCAAGCGCGGTGAGTCTTTTTATTTTAATAACAATTTTGTCTTCTTTCTGCGATTTCCTATACTATATCATATCTCTATAGTCTTATATGAGAACTTATGGCACAACCGAATTTACTTGTATAAGTTTTACAACAGTCAATTTTTCAGGTTGCCGCATAATGATGGTATCACACGTGAGCAAGTGGTCCTTACTAAAGGAGAATCTTTAAAATTGGAATGTGAATTTATTCCATCTGCTGGATCCTGGTCTTATATTCAATGGTAGCATTTTCATTTCTTGGTGATGTTAAAGCATTTACATAACCTCAAATATTCCCTAACAAATTAAAACATTGCCTAAAAATCCTTGAAGGTGGAACTTCTCTTAATTTATATAACTATAAATTACACCGAAGAAACTTGATATATGTTTTTATCATTCATCCAATTTTCAGGATAAAGCTCCATGAAGAAGAACAACAATTCAAGCATTCAATTATTCCCGCCAACCAAACGTTCAACAATGGAAGCGCAGTGATATCTTCAATAGTTTTAGAGAGTGTGACTGGGAGCGATACAGCAAATTACAGCTGCATTTTCACAACTGCTCTAGTCACTTCATCTATGGAGTTTTTCGTGGCAGTAAAAGGTGAGTTCTGAAACTGTGATTACATATTTAATTCACAAGTCTAATGATGGCAATATACTAATTCCATATATTATGTTTTGTTTTCTAATCAGATAAAGAATTTTGTACCGAAAGTTTGTGCAAACCTCATGGACGATGTATAGAACTGTTGCAAGGGTAAAGTTATTGAATTCGTGAATATTGGCAAAATTGCAATTGGAATTTTGGTATAATGTTCAAGCCGGCCGAATGAAAGCTTATTACAAAATATTCAACCATTCTGGCTGTAGTATATGGTTCTATCTATATATTATATTACATAATCCGCGCGTAGACAATTCTTAGTAAAAAAATCATCCTACTTAGTATACGCTTTCCTTTTTCAAATTTCAAATTCTATTTGTTGAATTCAACGTAATTTTTTGCTATATCTGTCCGACACCGATATGTAGCTGAAGAAGAACACGCTGTTTTTGTGGCACTACAGAATACAGATATGGTCGCAAAAGCGGCCTTGTGATTATAACCGTACCTCAGTGGCTGGAATTATGAGAATAAAATCTCATAAATTGGTTCAATTCCGGAGATCAGTTATGTGCGTTGGGCGTGTTTCAAGTTTATATTATTTTACAATGTTATTATTATATAAATAAAAAACAACGGTTTTCTATTTTCATATGAGGTAAAGTGGTACGTAGTTGACCTGAGCTATCTTCGGCGTTTTGATACAAATCTTCATATCAGAAACTAAATCTTTTTGCAGATATAAATGCGAATGTGATGACGAATACACTGGGAAAGAATGTAGCATATTGGATACATGTTTTGATAGCCCATGCCTGAATAATGGATCATGCATGATCACAGACTACGGATTCAACTGTTCTTGTTTAGAAGGTAGAATTTATCATTTCAATTTTTGAACCAATGTCTTTGTTTGCAGTTTTCATAAAACGTTTTTACATTTTTGTTTTACAAATATTTCACCCAGACATTAACCACGGCCACATTGACATATCTGTGTAACTTTAAAACGGCACAGTATATTTGAGAACTGATTTTTCAACAAACACATTTTACCAAAAGCTTCAGATATTGCAATTTAAAATAAATTTACATGAGGAGATTAACTCAGCCAACCCGTATACATTCAAATCGCAAATATGCATTGAAAATTGCACAAACATTTATATATGTAATGATTTTCTCTGTAGACTAGCGGCCTATAAGCACGCATGTTTTGTGAATGTTTTTTGCTGATTCGTCTTCAAATGTACAAGTACAATACTCCTGAAAATCACATTACATTGATTTAGATTATATTAGAGTTTAGATATACGTATATTGAGAGAAGTAAAATTGCTTTATGGATTTATTTGCTTATAATTATATGATTGACCCACTAATGCCTGATTAGAGTTGTAGGAAAACTCTTGTTTCTGCAGAAAACGACTATTGCATCATATAATCGGCATAAATTGCTTAGAGGCTTTTCAACTCAAATAAATACGATAGAATATATATAATGTATTAGGTTTTTATTATAATAATAAAAATAGTGGAACCCATAAAACGTAAAAATTTCGTTGATATGATATTTCGATTTCCATGGATATAATATTTCGATTTCCTGTTGTAGATTTTCATTAGTACATGATACAAGACAATGGTGCAATAATGATATGATAACGATCACAGTATGATCGAAAGCAGGAAATAGTTGAGTTACAACAATAAAATTTACTTATTACCCTTATAATTTGACATTTTCGATCGAAGGTTTTAAAGGAAAAACGTGTGAGAAAGAAGCTTGCCTGCGTCAAGCTGTTATGGAGGAGGAAGTTGTCGAGAAACAAATGACGGAAAAATCAAATGCGACTGTCGATACAATCGTGCAGGAAAATATTGCGAACATGCTTGTTCATTCAGTAATTACAAGGTACTGACTTCTAACTAAAAATAGATTGTTTTTCTTTGGAAACATGATGTCTACTGATAAAATCATACGCATGGAAATATTCAGTTGCTAGTTGTATATGATAAAGGCGTATATTAAAAGTTAATCATACTTCAAAATTCGATTTTTTTAATCCGTTGTTTTAATTCTGAGTTTTATAGTCAGTGACCCTCATACCATCCTTATTTTCAACTCTTGCGTTTTACGAAATAACTTACAAATAATTATGCTGTGTTCTTAGTTTGTCTTGTTTTCATTTATATGAAAAACTTGACATTAATTTTAAGCATTGACGATACTTGCATAATAGCGTTGATTTTTATTAATATGTGTAATATGACGGAGTGTCATCCGTCTTTGAATCGAGTGTTTGTTTTTGCATCAATTATGCTATCACTGAATACTAATTGAGATATGCATTTCAATTTAAATGTGACGCAAAAAAGGAGGGTCATGGATTTTTAGAAAAAAAAAAGATTTAGCCTACACTAATCTGGGTTGTGAATCTAACGTTCTAACGAAAGGTTACCTTACTGTCTTCCAAGCGTAATTTGTTTATAAACTATTTGCAAATTTTGAGGAGTACAAATTGAAAAGCGCTGTCCCAAGTAGACTGAGTTTCGCAAATAGATTCTAACAGTGGCGGCGCGTCAATGGCCAACCGGGGCAATGCCCCGGTTGTTTTTTCGGAATAATAAAAAATATTCGAAAAATACCTCAATATCGGTTGCACAGACTGTCTACACTAGCCATATTCTCCCGACTCCCATTTCGCTCGCAAAGCCTTCGCCGAACGTCGACGGGGCGACGCCGATTTTGCCCCGGTTGCTCATTGTATATCGTATTCTCTCTTTTATCTTCCACTCGCCGCGTTTGTCTCGTTTGTTTTCTGTTTCTTTTACTAAATCATCGGGGCCGATCGGGGCTAGCCCGAAATTATGACGACACAATGCCGACGTTTCTTACAACAACGTGTTGACATATTCACGCATTCCTTCTCGTTCGTTGGTTGCTTGAAGAGTTGATAGTTTCCTCGCCTTCGTTTTTGTCGCTTGTTTCGCTATTTGAATCAGTTAGAGACCTTTAGTCCATTTGCTTTCGATTTTCCACATTCCTTTTGAGCTCCTCACTTCTTTCCGGCTTCGCATTTCTTAGCCTTAGACCTCATAGTGAATAAGGTTGATGCACTACTTCGCACTCCGTTTTCGCAGCTGCCGCTGGAACAAAAATTAGAGGTACAACGTCTTGGGCCTTATCAACCAAAAAATTGTTCACTGGAACAATCCCATGACGGAGGAAAGGGTCGGCGTACATTCTGCGCAGAAACTTGATATAAAAAACACGAATGGTTGTGTTACAGCGAGGACAAAAATGCACTTTTTTCTTTTTATTGCCTACTTTTCGCTACTGCCCGTGACTCACGTTGGTGTAAATTTGGTTTTAGAGGTCTTAAACATCTTTCCGAGCGTGCCAGGGATCATCAATCTTCTATGGAGCATTCTGGACAATGCAGTAAAATATCCGAACATTCGGAAATGTTAATATTGCAGCCCACAGTTGGATGAAGACGCGCGGTTTCTATTCGTCGGCACAACCAAAACGTCGAGAAAAAACCGCCATGTTCTCGGTCGATGATAGATGTTTTGAAGTTCATTGGTTGTCACGAGCTGTCCCTCCGTGGGCACGATGAACGGGCTGGCTCTTCTAATAGAGGGGTATTTTTGGATATGGTGGAATACACCGCATGCCTAGATACAGTATTGAGAGATCATCTTGATGCCGCAACTGTTCGAAAGGGACATCTAAGGATATCCAAAAGGATTTGCTCGACTCAATGTATTAAAATTTATTTTACAACATTGGCTCTGGAAATTGAGAATTGCCAGTTCCTTTTCGATTCAGTCTGACGAGACAACTGACATCACGTGCGTTCCCAACAGGCTGTGATTTTTTTGGTTTGTGAAAGATGGTAAACCTACCGAGAGATTTCACAGCTTTGTACCAATCGTTGATTGCACGGCTTGCGGATATCGGCTGTACTGAAAGAAGTGTTACAGCCTTACAACGCGAAGTCAAAATTGATAGCTCAAACTTATGACGGGCCGGCAGTCATGAGTGGGTCGAAACATGGTGTTCAAGTTTATATAAAAGAAGATTTTCCTCATTCGCATTTTTTACATTGTTATGCACACCAATTTAACCTCGTTATTAAAAATATGTGTCTTGATACCCCTCTCGTCCGTATATTTTTTGCAAATGTTTCGGGGTTTTCTTCATTTTTTTCCGTTTCGCCGAAGCGCTCTGACCTCCTTCGGCAGATATGTAGCCGCCGTCTCCCAGCTTGTGCACCAACACGTTGGAACTTCCAATCACGCGTGGTGCAGGGCGTGTCCGAAATTAGGTCTGAGCTCATTGAGTGTTTCAATGGCATTCAGAGCTCTCCGGTTTGGGACGAACGCTCTGTGAGGGAGGCGGCAGGTCTAAAGCGTCTGCTAGAAGATGGTGAGTTTTCATTTTTTTCTCGCTTTTTTCTCCACAATATCCTATCACGTGGATGTATTATACGGCACATTGCAGTCAAGGCTAATGGATGGAGCGTCTGTGCAGTTGTGTATTTCAGACTTCTGCGATGCTGTATCTCGTATCCGGGAAACAATAAAATACGACGACACATGGAGTGCTTCTTTACGTCGCGGGCAAACAACGCAGCGTTTGATTTTGTCTGCAAAGGAATGCTGTGACATTCTGGTGAATCAAATGGGCGATTGTCTGCGCACTGAACACCTTGCCGCGTTCTCTTTGATGAACCCCAAAAATTTTTCAAAAATTTGCACGTCAATTTCCCATCCATTTGTTGCCTACTGTCTCCAAATTTTACCCCATGATAAACGTGGGTAAATTGGAAAATGAATTGCGATGTATATACACCAATCAAACTTTTTTGAACATCACATCAACTTGCGCGCTCTATGGGTTCCTCATAGATAACACTCTAGTAACTACCTTTGCGGCGTCTGCAAAATTTCTGGACATCATTTTGACGACGCCTATTTCTTCCGCCGACGCAGAGCGAACATTCAGCACGCTGAAGCGTATTAAAACGTATCTCAGAAACACAATGAAGCAAGATAGATTAAATTCCTTGGCTGTTTTATCCATTCACAGAGACGTTATTTCTGGGATGCATGACTTTAATCAGCGCGTTATTGAGTATTTTGGTTCCAAGAAACCGCGGCGTGTTGCATATATGTTCAAGCAGTAGAAGTCTAGCAGCATATATATCTATGAGTGAGCGACGCATGTCCTTATCTTTGCATTAACTTTCCTTTCTTCATAGTAACGTTTTAAACCTTATTTTAGGTTTTGTCTGCTTTCCCGAAGTTTCTGTTAATATGTCATTGTATTTATCTGGGTAAATATTGCCTTTCCTTTTGAAAGAGGTTTCAAAATAAACTGTCTATATTTATTAATCCCTTGACTTGGACCGGTTTTAAAGACACTTTCTTATCGTTAAAAATTGTCGCTTTTGCCGATTGGTTGTTACCGATGGAATGGTTTTTATACTCATAAAATGATGGGAGAACTTACAGCGCTCATCCTGTCCCCGTAGATGGGGGTGACTTGGTCCCGCAGTAGCTTGCCCCGGTTGCCAAAATGACCACGCGCCGCCACTGGATTCTAACCTGAAAAGTTGCTAGTCCCACAGTCGTTCCACGTTCTCCTATTCTTCGATTTTCTAAATCGTCGTTGTTGTTTTGGTATTGTTGGAATCCCTGGCTTTCCTTCGCAACTGCTGGACCTTTCAATTTCAAACTAATTTTCAATACTTGAAAGCGAAAGAAGTCACTGGAAGGCGATACTTTTACCGTTTTCGGAGGATTACGGGGTCAGATATTTCACCAAAATATTGCTGTTTTATTTTAATTCGCGAGAGAACTTGTTGGTTTATGTATTGTTTGTTTATGCTCTGTGTTTGTCCATATGTTCGAGCACGGCTTTCTAAATGCGGTTTATTAAAATATCAAGAGCTTATTTTCACTGATATTTATCGCTGAAATGTTACTATGTTTTTTGCTCAGTGTCTTGCATAGAAATATTGAATATTGACATTAATTGAAATGGATACAATTCTGATATTTATTGTAACATAGTTTTTTGAAATCTCTTTCCACAGAGATGATCGTTCTTCGTCTTTTTAAATATAGAACTCTAGATTTTTTTTTAATAAACAATAATACACATGGAATTATTTTATACTTTAGTTCCACTACAGAAACTATTATTGCTCTCGATCGAAAACTTGTGTGATTGGTGCTGACGATGGAGTTGAAAAGTGCTATTGTGAAGAACGCGGATCAGGGACTCACTGCATTATGTCATCTGGTATCCTGTATTTTATAAAACATAGCATTAGGATGGACCAAGCTAAGTCACATTTTATTCTTAAAGCCGAATAAATATACTTGTTTAATTTGAAGTTGACGAAACAGTTTGACTTCTTTTTACGTAGACCCTAAAAAAACATAATCTTTACCAAATCATCCATTTGTCTTTATTTCACAAGTTTCAAAGCACTGGGTAGTGGGTATTATAACATATCGCGCATATAATTTTTTTTAATGATTTTTAAAAGCATTGCAGTGACACAACAGAATTGACTTTACTCATACAGTTCTCGGAAAAAAATAGTTGATGTTAACTCAACGCATAATCGTACATATCTGTAATCTGCTTTTTTAAAACAATGTTTGCGTGCAGCCTACAGAGGTTAGCCATGTAACTGAAACTATTTCATTTTGATTACTTTCTTTATGTCACCCAGAATTCCATCATGATTATAGCGATTCAATTATATGGACGTTCATTACCGTGATAGAAGTATTATACTTCTGGATATATATTTTTTTAGATGTTACGAACGAATGCCTAGAACCGAATATTTGTAATGGCCGGGGTACCTGCTACGACCTAACGTACAAATATTCCTGCGACTGTCATAGTTATGCATCTGGGACTAACTGCGAATTTTTTAACGAATGTGATACCTCTAACGTGAGTTTTTTCGAATTTTTCATATTTAACTAGCATTCGTTCCTTTGCATCCTTGCCGTTATTGCCTATGTTTTACAACATACCGGTGCTCGTAAAAAATTATAATTTTTTCTTTCCATACAAAAAAAAATAAAGTAATAATTTTTATAATTTTATGGATATATTTTAGACTTATATTTGTTATGTTATATGTTATATTCAGGAGCAAATACCTGTTTATTGTAAATCGTAAATTTTACGTATAATCGTATAGTTTCTCATTGTTTATACAGCTTTGTCATCGATATGGAGGGACATGCGTTGATTTAGTACAGGGGTACAAGTGTACCGACTGTCCAAGGGGTCAGACTGGCGACAAATGTCAATATATGAAAAGTAGGTATTACGGCACTTTAAACATATGGATAGGCAGTATACAGAGTATTTATTCTTCTCGCATACATAAATATGTTGTCAGTTTTAGTTTATGATATATGAATTTAAAATTTGATTGCCCATCTATGCGTATGGTTTTGACATACCATTCTCAATTAGACGCCCTAATGATGAAATTGTGAGATAATAATATGGGGTCGAATATGTAGAACGCACCAATAAAATTTGGTATACTAAACCAACTTTTATTTAGCCTATTTCTAGTTTTTGGATAAAACGTCTTTAGTTTTGCTGCTATTATGAATGAATAAGCTTATATAATATATTTATCCCTTTTTTCATTCAAATTTGATTCAGTTATTACTAAAATAAAATTTTCTATTTAATCAATGTTTGCTTGCATAGATCCGTGCAAAGTTACATGTGGGCAATCCTCTATGGACTTCAAATGTTACATGAAATTTTTGAATTCTAAACTCCAAAAGATACCGATTTATCTAAATTTACAAACCGAAAATTGTGAATTCAAATCTCGATACGGCTATTCGTCGGACGTGGTAACAAAATCTATTACATACAATGAGTGTGGAACCAAAATAGCGGTAAGAAGTTTTTGATTGACTGACTAAAGTAAGAATCTTTTCGTCAGCAAATCCCAATATACGTTTTACAGCATGATGGAGACACAATTATTTATAGTAATTCTTTGCGAGCCGGCATTTTTGGAAATAAGGAAGAAGAGAATGATGTAATTACCAGATTGGTAGGAAATTTTCGAGTAAGTTGACTGACATACATTAATTTATTGAACTGGTTTTGAAAATTTTAAAAATAAAACAAGAGAAATTGAACATTACCGCTTCAAAATGTCAAAGTAGCGTACATGAATAAAAAAAACACGTGATTTAGATTCTATGAGAAGGGCTGTGCAAGTTTTACTTGAGTCCAAACATGTTATAAAACATTGCATCAAGATTCAGTATGCACGATTCTTTTACATCAAGAGTTGAGGCCTGAATAGTTTAATCATTTATATTCATTTCCGATCACCAAATGTAGAATATAAATATATATAAACCAGTTGATCTATAATATAAATATGTTAAACTTCAATACTGTCTCATTGATTTCAATTAACAAAATCTATAAATCATTAAAAATGAAATACGGTGCATTCGTGTTTTTCCTACAAGTACATTCATGCACAAGAATATTTGTATTAATTAACATCACAAATCATATATTCAAGTTTGACATGGAATGCAGAATTCCGATAGTTTACAACGATACTTCAGCCATGATAAAAGATTATTCACTTGAAAGAAACGAATCAATTCATCTTCACGACGAACGAAAAGTAACTTTGTCAACGGTCGTTGCTTTTAAAAAGTATAAAAATGCTACTATTTGCTTTCGTTTATTACCTAGTGCTACTTTTTCACTCAATCACGTGACTATTTACAAAATTTGCAATTTTCACTTGCAACAATAACGAAGTCAAATTGAGTCAAGTGCAATAGTTAATAAAATTTATGCAATATATTGTAGAATTTTTCTTGTGATTTAGAAAACTAGAAAAATTTGGAAACATTAGTTTCAACGAGCTGCTAAATTTGAAGTAATTGATAATATATTTTTATATTATCAAACAACATATATATACTATTTATTTTTTAGCCGTGATTGGAACTCGATCACAAAATATAATGTGGGAGACCGGCTCTATGTGGAAGTGAGTCTCTATATTCTTGAATATAACAAACCCACGAACAGATACCCGAAATTTATACCTTGTTATATTAGTAGAGTTTGGTCAAAACGCAATATTTTGCAATTCGATGGGCTCCGCCTACAATTTTCATAAGAGTATTAGATTTAAGAATACTTAAACTACATATTGCATGATGGGGCCTACACTGATTACGATATCCTGAGATTTGAATGTCGCTGCTGACGGATCGGTGCTAAACGTTGGTTATAGTGAAATTTTACTATTTAGTATTAGCCAACATACAACTAAAATGTGAGATGCCGGAGATTACTCAACATTTGAAAATGAGTTTCACTAAAAAATAATTAGAGAGCTTTAAAACCTGTGTCTCGCGGGCGGTTTTAAATGTTGGTATACAGTATATTTATTTGTCACGCTCCACTACATATTTATTTTGTTTGTTCGTTTTTACATCATAGCTTGTTCTGCAAACATCAAACCAAATAATGTCACAAAATGGTGTATTGAGACCAACCACGTGTTATGCGACTCCTGACAGCCAGGGAATTGAACCTCGTTATGTCCTGCTAGAAAATGGGTGAGAATATATTAAATTTTTCGAAATAAGAATAACTGAAATGAATTGTGGAAACAATGAACGATTGTGGAGTTTTTAATAGCACATATTGAAGTGAAATCAAATATTTTAATCAGATTAATAATTGAGAATTGTAATTAACACATTTTAACGATTGCTTGTTTTTGTATATAGATGTATTAGAGATAAAACCTTCAGATATGAACAAAGAAACTCAAGAAGATCAGAAAACAATCGCTTTGCTTATTTCAGTTTTGATTCATTTTCTTTTAAAGGAGAACGTGGTAAGGTACGATAGAACAGTTTTCATTTCCAATAATAGCAATCAGTAAAAATGTATAAACGTCTCAGTCACACATGTGCTGATGTGCCATGTTACATTTCGGATATTAACTTGATGGAATGCAATATACCATCAACAAAACTACTGTATTCGTGTTTGTTTACAATTACATGATCAAAAAGCAAATACATTGTATGTAATCGGGAAACTAAATGTAAGTTAGTTCCTGATGTATTGCATGTGTTAAGTACAAATAGTGGTATATCCTAGCGAAATCTGTTGCAAAAAACCTGGCGCCACAATATTATTGTTTAATAAAAAACCTTGTTTATTGATTGATATTATGTTTAAAGCAGCTTTACCTACACTGTAATGCTCGGCTTTGCATTAACCGAACGAGTGAAGGGGAAGATTTCAGTTTTGAAGAATGCATGAATATATGCTCGGAGCAAAAGGTTTTTAGAACATTTTATTCAATACTTTTTTCTTTAGATAATTACTGTTACGTTATTTATTTATTATAATATTGTCAGCAATGGCACAATGGTACGAACGATGAACTTACCACGCTTGCATCCCTTGTTCGACAAGTTTTTCACAACCTAAAGCAATTTTGCGATATGATGCGTGTGTCATCGCATATTGAAATTCCGGGTTCTAACTTCGTATTCATAATTGTATCAAGAATGTACAATATTGGCAAGCAATGCCGAACCGGAAAGTAGTAATAGCTCTTGTCTTGCAGTAGCTTGTTGTACAGACCCGTGTTTAGGGAGGATTATAGGTAAAATCTCTTCAAAATAATAGATAAAATGGGTCAGCAATGCTAAGTCAAAAGGATTGCGGGACTCTCTAAAAACAGTAGGTTCGCACGTCATAAATCCTCTCATCTAGAGTCGTAATAGCAGTGAACGTCACATGAACACGGCCGTTAATATAATATGTAAGTAGGTCGGGGTGAGTCGGACCTCTGGAGTATGATGGACAGGCGAAATCAAATCCTTCTAATAGCGACAACTCGCGTTTTTTCGTCGCTTAAAACGCATCGCGTGGAAGAGCGACATCATGCGAACAACGACAGAACCAAGATTTTACATTTCAAGATCGGCAGCTTACAAGACGGGGCTTTTGGGGGAAGGGGTGTTTCTGCTGGGACACAAAAACGTGAAATGCGAACTCGGATTTATTTTGTTTATTTCCTGAAATTAGATACATAAGATTGAATAAATTCTTTGGTAGACTGCCAGTGCTCATGTTTGGGTAGGCAGGGTCACTTAAGAGGTAGGATGGATTTCGAGTTGGGGAGGAGGGAGGATTTTTTTCAATATAGTCTGTTGGGAATGTCCATGGGCCTTCGTCATCGAGACTTGTTGATTATTTCTTGGTACTAAGTATCTTTTTACAACACGGATTAAAAGCACTCTCATCGCCATATTTATACTGGGTCTTCTAGAAGTTGTGTCCGGCGTAAAGTCTCATCTTACCCAGTCCAATTTTTTCCCACAGACGTTTAAAATACGTCCAAGGTTATTCCAAAAAAATATAAAATAAATACTTCTTGAGGTTTGTATAAAGAAGACATAAGAACTGCATTTGAAAAAGTGCAAAAAATTTGTTGTTTTTTCTAAAGCAGTTCAAACTCTTTTGAAAATTGCCATGTATTGTCCTTTACGTGGGAAAGACGGACACACTGGTTAATACGCAGGAGAAATGCTCTGTTTAAACAAAATGTTAAGAGATCCGATTCTAAGGCATCTATAGGCGTTTACCGTAATCTTATGAGACATCATCAAGTTTATTTTGATGTATGTCCGTGTTGCTCACAAAATGTTCAACTTAACCCGATATTTTTTAGCTGAAAATCGCGCGTAAATTCCGATTCGTTGCTATGGCAACAATGTGCAAATGTGGCAAGATAGCTGGGGGGTGGGTGCATAGATCACAAATAGAACGAATGCAGCTGCGGTATTTTGTAAACAGTTACTCAAAATAATTTATTAGTGGGTCCGACCTACTATAATTGTTGTTGGAAGCCATCTACGATCTGATAAAGATAGAAACAAAAGTTTATACTAATATACTTTTAGGAGGGAGTTGGAGAGGAACGAGTCACGACCGCTTCATCTATCGCAACTCCATCAACAACAGATGATGGTGTATTAGCAAGAATGAAACGATTTATTTCAGGAACAGATGATGATCGAGAACTAATCGAACGCCACACTGGAAATACTGTGTATATTTATGATGTATGATATGCGTATGGCGTACTGTAAAGATAATATGACATTGAATTCAGTTCATCTTATATCATATACATATTTGTATAAAACAAAACTACTGATCATAGCTCATCAAAAATGGACAACACGCTATTGAACATTTAGTTGCTTCCCTGTAAAAAGTAATTGTCTTAGTCTGTTTTGAAAGCATTTTACATGAATATTTCGATTTGTTTGTTATATGTTATATCCAATCCTGTTGCAGTTTCAATGTAAATGTGGAATATGTTCTAAAAAAATCTGGACTGTTTGTTCTCTCTAACTATTTTAGTTTACCTAAGCTCGAAAGTGTCAGAAGAAGTTTGATCACCGCGTAAGCCGATATTTGTCCCGTGATTGCACACTGCACTCCTACAAATAGCTGAAACGTTCATGCATGGAGTGTTACTGTCATATTGAGGCTAGTTGTCCTGTGACTGCATTAAACCTTCAAGTCCTAGGCCGTATTAAAAATGGTTATAAAATATTAGTGGCTTCCAATTGGAGACCAAATAAAATTCGTGAAAAGAAGAAAAAGAAAATAGAAAGAGTGAAAATTCAAGTGTAGAGTCTATAAAAGATTAGGCCCATTATTATTTTGAAATTGGATATTGACGGCTATAATAATTTTTTCAATCAAATATACTTGCTCACACTGAATTACTCTATAGCTCGTGAGAATGTCGACTTATTGGATACGTCAGTGGACATACCGATCGTTTCAATATTATGTTGTTGTTGTTTTCGTCATCATTATCATTAAAAATCACTTTTCTCTTCAAATACTGGACCAATTGCATTGAAATTTTCAGTAGTTAAAGATTTTTTGCCAGAAGGCTATTACTTTCATTCATTCCTAAATTTTCTATGAATCTTATGAGATCTTATATTTCATCCAAAATTGCGCTGTATTATTTTTTAATTATGTAAACACGGTTTTTAATCTGCCAAGCGTGACGACTGACTGTGAAAATTCTTGCGACTGAAAACTCGGAAGTTTTTTTAGGGTACGGTACCGGTAACGTCAAAGGTAAGGACTGCTTCGCTCTGGCCCATGTGTCCAAATATTTGAGCGTTGCTCACGTGTAATATTTCATTCTTTTTAAAATTTTCTAAACCTAATAATATTAGTTGAAGTTTTGATAAAACCACCCGCGCAAATGTCAGGCTCAGATCCTCAACAGCTTCCAACGCAATTGGTCCAGTAGTTCATGAGAAAATCGATTTGTCATAGCAATACGAACCAAAACAAAATAATAACAAAAAGTTCCATATGCACACTTCGTGTCAAAAATAGATTCGTGGTTAAAATGACCATGGGTGCAAATTCCGTGTGTGCAAATATCCGTGGAATCAAATGTCCATGGTCCAAATATCTATGAGTAAAATCTGTATGCGGATGCTAAAATGTGTGAGTGCGAATGTACGAGGGAAAATGGTCGTGAGTTGAATCTCCATTTGTGCCAAAATATACAAGTCCAAATGTCTGGGTGGAGTTTAGGGGTACAAATGTACGTGGCTGTATAGATAATTAAATCTGATCTTTCACAATGTTAGTTTTTAACGTAACTGCATGCATATTCTTTCGGCAATATATCAAAACAATTTAGACCTGTTCTACCGCAACCAATGCAAATTGGGTGTGGCTGGTCGATTAACTGCAACCTCTCAAGTCTCTCATAATTGACGAGAAGCAGAATTATTTAGGATGTGACCATTTAAAATCATATTTAATTAAGATGTATTTGTTGGGCTGAGCAAGCCCTAAAATTGCCCATCGTAGCTAAGCCCAGAACAATAAACCATCCATTGCCACGTAAGGTCGCCAATTTTTTGTTATTGAAGTTAGCCCGCACGCGGCATGCTCATTCTGTTCAGTGATGACGGTTTGACATATTTGAAAAACTTTGGCGCGACCCTTTTACGACCTCAATATTATGTCCCATATAAAAAAAAAATTCATATTAACTCCAACTGCTTAAAGTCTTGCACGAATTGGCATTTACTGGCGGGTGATGCACAACCATATAATTCTATGGAGTTGCAGTAGTTCTTGACATTACAATGATGGACTATATCTTTACTAAGGGGTTCATTTTACCTTTGAGTGACCTTGCTTTGAGCAAATGCACCAAAAAGCTATTTCTATATATGCCAAATGTTTCCTTCCATTGGGTTCTTTGGTTGGGCCAATTTGGTGATTTGGATTGATTTGATTTTATCAAGAACTTTTTCTCAATTACATAATATTGTTTGTGTTTTGTATGTAACGAAAAGAAAGTATCTCCACCGTTTTTCTACTTGTGAACGACATGAAAGCACGTTGCGGAAATCAGTATATATATATAATTTGGGATCTGTTTATTTGGATATATGGTATAAAGTTAGGGCATTATCGAAATTTATTTTCTCTCAATTCTTCCACGTTGAATCACTCACGTTACATCATGGATTTTGGTTCATCAAAAATGGGATACTTCTATTGCATTATATTTTTTGCCTTGGTATGTTTCGGAGAATCTTCTGTGTCATTAGAAGAAGGTGAGATATGTATATTTTAAATGCTGTAATTGATCAAGGCAAAAATAATTTGCACATGTAAAGAAACTTGATTGTTCTAGTCAGTAAGTTTGACATTCGCTCAAAATTTGAAGCAGCTACCCATACCCATGTATAGTTTTTGATTTTTCAAGATGTGTAAGTTGGTCGGTTCTGTAATAGCTAATATAAGCTGATTCTTTATACCAGATTCAGAGATACCAAATATGCATCAAGCGCGGTGAGTCATTTTCGTTTAATAACAAAAGTAATCAATTGATTCGTTATTGCGCTTATATGTTTCTATTTGAGACAACCTGGAATTCTATATCAGGGTTCCCCAACGGCCTTATCGTTAGTCAATCCGAAAGGGATAAATAATAGGTACAAGAGGATTCTGGACATCTTCGGGTTGCAAAGTTGCCGCGTAGCCAGCCGATGGTCGCCTATTTTTCTCAACACCATCCAATTGCACATGCAATTTTCCTTATCCGACATGGACTGGTAACCGAACTAGAAGTTGTGACGATTGATCCGTCGTATTAAATTTTGTCTCCTGGCGATTTCCTATAATATATTATATCTCTATAGTCTTATAAGAGAACTTTTTGCAAAACCGAATTAAATTGAATGTTTAAGTTTTAAAACAATCTACCTTTCAGGTTGCCGCATGATGATGGTATCACACGTGACCAGGTGGTCCTTACTAAAGGAGAATCTTTAAAATTGGAGTGTGAATTTTATCCATCTGCTGGATCCTGGTCTTATATTCAATGGTAGCATTTTACTTCCTTGGTGATGTTAAGCATTCACATCACCGTAAATATTCCTTAACAAATTAACACATTGTCTTAGAATTCTTAGCAGGCGGAACCTCGCTTAGCGCTAGATGATCCAACTTGATGAAACTCGTTAAATATTCATACTAATTAAAACAGGTTTATTGATAAATACAAATGATTAATAGCTTTGCTTGTTTTGCTATAAAAGTTTCGGGTTCGATCAAGATTAGTGTGCTTTAGAGGAACTATAACTCATGATGCTTAAATGTGACCTATAACTTACACCGAAGAAACTTAATATACGTTTTTATCATTCATTCAATTTCCAGGATAAAACTTCATGAAGATGGACAACAATTTAAGCATTCAATTATTCCCGCTAACCATACATTTAACAATGGAAGCGCAGTGATATCTTCAATAGTTTTAGAGAGTGTGACTGGGAGCGATACAGCAAATTACAGCTGCATTTTAACAACTGCTCTAGTCACTTCATCTATGGAGTTTTTCGTGGCAGTAAAAGGCGAGTTATATGAAATTGTGATAACATATTTAATTCACAAGCCTAATGATGACATTGTACTAATTGAATATATTATGTTTTTTTTCTAATCAGATAAAGAATTTTGCACCGAAGGTTTGTGCAAGCCTCATGGACGATGTATAGAACTGTTGCAAGGGTACAGTCATTGAATTCATAAATATTGGCAAAATTGAAATTGGAATTCTTGGTATATTGTTTGAGCCGGCCGAATGAAAGATATTTATTACCTATTCAACCATTCTGGCTGTAGTACATAGTCATATGATATCTGTATCATATTGCATATTCGCGCGTAGACACTTCTTAAAAAATCATCTTACCTAGTATCATCTTACTTAGTATGCTTTGCTTTTGCTGCGAAAATGTCAAATTCTATTTGTTGAATTCAACGTAATTTTTCGTTATATCTAACCTATCCGACTCCGCTATGTAACTGAGGAAAGACAAGCTGGTTTTGTGGCACTACAGTATTAAATGGTCGCAAAAGCGGCCATGTTTTCTATAGCCAGCCGTACCTCAGTGGCTGGAATTATAAGTATATAATCTCATAAATTGGTTCAATTCCGGAGATCAGTTATGTAATGTGCGTTGGGCGTTTTTCAAGTTTCTATTATTTTACAATGTTATTATTATATAAATAAAAAACAACGGTAGTTATGTTGTTATACGTTGTTGACCTGAGCTTTTTTTGGCGTTATGATAGAAATCTAGATATCTATCAGAAATTAATACTTTTGCAGATATAAATGCGAATGTGATGACGAATACACTGGGGAAGAATGTGGCATATTGGATACATGTTTTGATAGACCATGCCTAAATAATGGATCATGCATGATCACAGACTACGGATTCAACTGCTCTTGTTCAGAAGGTAGAATTTATCATTTCAATTTTTGGACCACAATGTCATTGTTTGCAGTTTTCATAAAACGACTATGAATTTTTGTTTTACAAATATTTCACCTCGAAATTAACCCAGGTCACATTGACATATTTGCGCAACTTCGAGACGGCACAGCATATTTCAGAACTGATTTTTAAACAAACCCATATTATCAATAGCTTCAGATATTTAATTTTTTTAAACACGATTTGACTGCACGTTTCCAAAATCATGAGGAGATCAAATCTACCAATCGCCTGCATTCAAATCGCAAACTTGTATTAAAAACTTGATTAATAATGTGTGTGCTGCTTTTCTCTGTAAATTAGCGGTATTATGAGCAAGCCGTTTTGTTGCATTGTTTTTTGCTGATTTGCCCTCAAAGTTACAACACTTTTGAAAATCACAATGGAATGATTTCGATTATATTAGAGGTTATATATACGCCTTCAAATGTACAATATTTTTGAAAATCACAATAGATTGATTTAGATTATATTAGAGGTTATATATATGTATATTGAGGAAAGTAACGTTGTTTTATGTATTTATTTCATTATAATTGTTATACGATTGATCGACTAATGCCTGATTAGAATTAAAGAAAAACTCTTGTTTCTGTTGAAAACGACTGTTCTTCCATCATATATTCGATCTCAATTGCTTAGACTTTGTACCTCCAATAAATACGAAAATGGAATATAATGAATATATGATAAAGAAAATAGTGAAACCCATATTTAGTGGATAGGATATTTCGATTTCCAACTATTTCACTGCAGTCGAAAGTCTGCTAAAACGGCGACACAATACAAGAACATGGTGCAATATTTATATGATAACGATCACAGTATGATAGAAAACAGGAAATAGTTGAGTAACTAACAATGAAACTGCCTTATTAACCTTGCATTCTGACATTTTCGATTAAAGGTTTTAAAGGAAATACGTGTGAGAGACAAGTTTGCATGGCATCAAGCTGTAATGGAGGAGGAAGTTGTCGAGAAACAAGTGACGGAAAAATCAAATGTGACTGTCGATACAATCGTGCAGGAAAATATTGCGAACATGCTTGTTCATTCAGTAATTCCAAGGTACTGACTTTTAACTAAAAATATATCGTTTCTCTTTGGTAAACATGATGTCTACTGATAAAATCATACGCATGGAAATATTCAGTTGCTACCAATACGCTAGTTGTATATGATAAAGGCGTATATTAACGTTTTGATCATACTTTACATTGGAATTTTTTGAACCGCCCTGTTACTTCCAAGTTTATAGTCAGAAGCATCCATACCGTCCTTGCTTTCAACGCTTGCGTTTTACAAAATATATTTGTACCTATCTTATAAACTTGTTTTTGAGTCGTGTACTTATTTTGTTTTATTTTCATTTACGTGATAAACTTGACATTAATGTAATGTTGAAAACCAGATGCACATTAACGATTCTGAGATATTAGCCTTGATTTTTCTTATCTTGTGTAATGTGACGGATTGTCATCCGTCGTCGAAACGAGTTTTTATTTGTTGCATAAATCATGCTATCATGCTTCTAAACACTAATTGGGATAATCATTTCAAATTGAAGGAGGTCCAAATAAGAAGAATGGGGCTCATGCATTTTCAAAGAAAAAAAAAGATTTAAACTACACTAATCTGGGTTGTAATTCTAACGTTCTAACGAAAGGTTTCCTTACTGTCTTAGCTTAGTTTGTTTGTAAACTACTTGCAAATTTTGCGGGGTGCAAACTGGGAAACGCTGTCCTAAATAGACTGAGTTGCGCGAGTAGATGCTAACCTGAAAAGTTGCTAGAAATAAACCTGCGCCTGCAAAATGCTGTATTCGATTATAATACAACTTATTCCACAGTTGTTCCACTTTCCCCTTATTTTTTGGATTTTGTAAATCGTTGTCAGGATAATGTCAGAATCCTTGGGTTTGTTATCAAATCATCCTCTTTGCAACTGCTGGATCTTTCAATTTTTAATATATACTTGAAAACGAAATAGATCAATGGAAGACGATACTTTTTACTTTTTTCTGATTATTACGGGGCCAGATATTTACCAAAATGTTGCTGTTTTATTTGAATTCATGAGAGAACTTGTTGGCATAACTGCCGTTGTGTTTGTCCACATGTTTGAACACTGCTGTCTAAATTACGTTAATTTATTAAAATAATCAGAGCTCATTTTCACTGATAACTTATCGCTGAAATGCTGGTACGTTTTTTCGCTCAGTGACTTGCATGTGTGTATGAAGCCGATGAAAGACCTGCTTATATATTAACTGACATTCATTGGAATATTTGACATTGAAATTAATTAAAATGGATACAAATTAGGTATTTATTAAAACATACTTTTTGAAATCTCTTTCCACAAAGTTGATACTACTTCGTTTTTTGTTATTCTTTTTTTTTATCTAGCACTTTAGATTTTTTTTATGAAACAGTAATGCAGATGGAATTATTTTATACTTTCTAAATAGTTCCGATACAGAAACTATTATTGCTCTCGATCAAAAACTTGTGTGATTGGTGCTAACGATGGAGTTGAAAGGTGCAAATGTGAAGAGCGCGGATCAGGGACTCACTGCATTATGTCATCTGGTATCTTGTATTTTATAATGCATAGCATTGGGATGGATTCAGCTGAGTCACCTTTTATTGTTGAGGCCGAATAAATATATATACTTATTTAATTTGAAGTTGACCAAACAGCTTGACTTCTTTTTATGTAGATCACACTGAGACCATAATTTGTACAAATCATCCATTTCTTTTCATTTCACACAAGTTTGAAATCACCGGGTATTATAACACATTGCGCATTTAATTTGTTTTGTAAATGGCTCTGACAAGCATTGCAGTGACACAAAGAAACTGACTTCAATCGTACAGTTCTTGAGAAAAATTAGTAATATATAATCGTACATATATATCTCAAATATGCAGTTTTTTGAAACAATACGTTATTACAAGAGGTTATCCATGTAACTTATAACTATTTCATTTGTTACTTCCTTCATGTCCTCCAGAGTACAACCTTGGTTATAATCATCTGAACATGCATCATTACCTTGATGCAAGTCTGATCTGGACTTCTGGATATATTTCTTTTCAGATGTAACCAACGAATGCCTAGAACCGAATATTTGTAGTGGCCGTGGGTCCTGCTACGACCTAACGTACAAATATTCTTGCAGCTGTCAAAGTTATGCATCTGGAACTAACTGCGAGTTTTTTAACGAATGTGGTACCTCTAACGTGAGTTATTTCGAATTTTTCCATATTCAACTAGCATTTTTTCCATACAAAGAAACTAAAGTAATAATTTTCGAAATTTTATGGATATATTTTGAACTCATATTTGTTATGTTTTATGTTATATTCAAAAGCAAATAACGATTTGTTGTAAATCGTAAATTTTACGTAATCGTATAGTTTCCTATTGTTTATACAGCTTTGTCGACGATATGGAGGGACATGCGTTGATTTAGTGCAGGGATACAAGTGTACCCGCTGTCCGAGTGGTCAGACTGGCGACAAATGTCAATATATGAAAAGTGGGTAATACGGCACTTTCAACATATGGATAGCCAGTATACAGAATATTTATTCTTCTCGCATACTTCAATATGTTGTCAATTTTAGCTTATGATATATATATGAATCTCAACCGTTATCAATTAGACGCCCTAATGATGAAATTGTGAGATGATCAGATTGGATCGAATATGTGGGACGCACCAATGAAAATTGTTACACTGAGCCTACCTTTATTAATAAGCCTTTTTCTAGTTTTCGAATAAAACCTCTTTAGTTTTGCTGCTATTATGAATGAATATGCTTATATAATATATTTATCACTTTTTATTCATTCGAATTTGATTCAGTTATCACTAAATGAAATTTTTTATTTATTCAATGTTTGCTTATCGCATAGATCCATGCAAAGTTACATGTGGGCAATCCTCTATGGAAGTTAGATGTGACATGAGATTTTTGAACTCCAAACTCCAAAGTATACCAATTTATCTAAATTCACGAACGGGGAATTGTGAATTTAAATCATCTCGATATGGCTATTCGACTAACGTGATAACCAAATCGATTCAATACAATCATTGTGGAACCAAAATATCGGTAAGAAGTTTTTGATTGACTAACTAAAGTAAGAATCTTTTCGTCAGCAAATCCGAGTATTTATTTACAGCATGATGGAGACACAATTATTTATAGTAATTCTTTGCAATCCGGCATTTTTGGAAATGAAGAAGAAAAGAATGATGTAATCACTAGATTGGCAGGGAATTTTCAAGTAAGTTGACTGACATACAATGATTTATTGGGCCGTTTTGAAAGTTATAAAACAGAGAAATTGCATAACATTACTAATTTCAAATTGTACGTGATTAGAAGAACCTTTGGTTTAGATTATATGAGAAAGGATGTGCAAGTTTTACTTGACTTCAAACATGGTATACAATCTTGCATCAACACCCAGTATGCACGATCATTATACATAAAGACCTGAGAACTAAAATGAGTTGAAAGTATTTTTTTTTGTTTGTTTTGAACCGAATAAAAAAAAAGTAAATACGTCGTGTCAACCAGGCAAAATTAAAATCTTAAATGAGAGTTTTCAAATAAAATAACGCCCCATGTACTGTACTTATTCACATATCATATACATATTATATGCTGTTTCTGAATTGCTGAAGCTTGTGCACAAGTAATGCGATAGGCTATCATTTATAATCATTTCCGATCAATCCGAAGTAGAGTATAAATATGTTAAACTTCAATACTGCCTCATTGATTTCAATTAACAAAATCTATAAAACGCACTAAAAATGAAATACAGTCCCATTGTGTTTTTATACAATTTTATACATACGCACAAGAATATGAGCATTAATTAACGTATCAAATCCTATTTTCAAGTTTGACATGGAATGCAGAATTCCGATAGTTTACAACGATACTTCAGCCATGATAAAAGATTATTCACTTGAAAGAAACGAATCAATTCATCTTCACGACGAACGGAACGTAACTTTGTCAACGCTCGTTTCTTTCAAAAAGTATGAAAATGCTACTATTTGCTTTCGTCTATTACCTAGTGCTACCTTATTACTCAATCACTCGACAATTCACAGAATTTGCAATTTTCATTGCAACAATATGGAAGTCAAATATCGGAGATTGAGTCAAATGCAAAAAATTAATAAAATGTATGCAACATATTGTATACTTTTCTTCTGATTTGGAAAACTAGAAAAATTTAAAAATATCAGTTTTAACGATCTGCTAAAAATTGAAGTAATTGATAATATATGTTTATGTACTGTATTTCAATTACTACAGTTAAACAATATATACTATTTATTTGTAGCCGTGATTGGAACTCGATCACAAAATATAATGTGGGAGACCGGCTCTATGTGGAAGTGAGTGGAAATATAAATAACCGACCCGATATTTATACTTTTTTATTATATTAGCAGAGTTTGAACGTCGCTGCTGACGGATTGGTTCTATACGTTGATTATATTGAAACTATACTGTATAGCAGGGGTCGACAACCTTTGTCGCTCGCGGGCCAAAATTAAGGGTTGCAAGTCTTGGCGCGACACACATATTCTAGAAAGTTAAAAACCGAACGGATGGCCGATGAATCACAAATTTTTCACTCATATCAGAAGTTGAAATTTTGATTTCAAACAGAACATTTAATGTTACACTTGTTGTTGCATCACGCATGATAGCTTTTCGACATCAGGCGACAAAGTTGATGAATCTAATATTGGAACATTTTCTTGGTGATCTAAACCGAGTTCTCAGATTGTTCTTTGTTATGTTCATTTTTGAAAATAATTGTTCGCACGCATTTGTACTTTCAAACATCGATGCGATATTTTTACATGGTTTATCAAATTTGGATGTAAATTTCTTTGAAGAAGATACTAGAAAAATCTCTATTCGAATATCGTCTGCGTCAGTGAACTCAGCACTCAGCATCAGCTATTCTACGTGTTACCATTTGTAAAATTATAATTAAATTGTTGGCTCGTTAAACTAGTAGCTGATCACTGAATTGCTAAGTTATAATATAATTTAATCTAAACATAAATTTAATATAATTAATCTCACAATAAATTCTGTCACGTAAAGAATATATTCAACTCCTCGAGCGTGTATTAATTAATTTATCGTCAAAACCGCCGTTTTATGGCTATAATTCAGTGAAGCTTCGCGGGCCGGATCTGGCCTGCGGGCCTTAGGTTGCCGACCCCTACTGTATAGTATTACAAATAACTAAATTGTGAGATGTCGGAGATTACTTAATTTTGAAAATGAGTTTTATTAGATAAAAAAAATCAAAACTTTAAAACCTAGGTCTCGCGGACCTTCATAAATCTTTGATATAGAATTATTTGGCATTCTCCACTACATATTTATCTTTTTTGTTCGTTTTCACATCATAGCTTGTTCTGCAAACATCAAACCAAATAATGTCACAAAATGGTGTTTTAAAACCGACCACGTGTTATGCGACTCCTGACAGCCAGGGAATTGAACCTCGTTACGTCCTGCTAGAAAATGGGTGAGAATAAATTAAATTTTTCGAAATAAGAACAACTGAAATAAATTGTGGAAATAATGAACAATTGTGGAGTTTTTAATAGCACATATTGAAGTGAAATCAAATATTTTAAAAAAATTACTAATTGAAAATTTAATTTTTTTAGTACATTTTAACGATTGTTTGTTTTTGTATATAGATGTATAAGAGATAAAACATTCAGATATGAACAAAGGAACTCAAGAAGATCAGAAAACAATCGCTTTGCTTATTTTAGTTTTGATTCATTTTCTTTTAAAGGAGAACGTGGTAAGGTACGATAGAACAGTTTCAATTTTGAATAATAGCAATCAGTAAAAATGTAAAAAAAGGGGTTAAAACACATGTGCGGATGTGCCAAGTTGCATTTAGAATATTCACTTGATGTAATGCAATATACCACCAACAAAACTACTGTATTCTTGTTTGTTTATAATGATCGAAAAACAAATACATTGTATGTAACCGGGAACTAAATATAAGTTAGTTCCTGATGTATGGCATGAGTTAGGTACAAATAGTGGTATTTCCTAGCAGCATCATTTGCATAACATGGCGCTACAATATTATTGTTTATTGGAAAACCTTGTTTATCGAATAATATTATGTTTAATGCAGCTTTACCTGCACTGTAATGCTCGGCTTTGCATTAACCCAACGAGTGGAGGGGAAGATTTCAGTTTTGATGAATGCATGAATATATGCTCGGAACAAAAGGTTTTTGGAAAACTTTATTCAATAACTTTTTTCTTTAGATAACTACTGCCACCTTATCTATATATTATAATATAGTCAGCAATGAACTTAGCACGATTACATCATAATTTGAAGATATCTAGTTCAAAACAAATTTCACAACCTAAAGCAGTTTGGCGCCATGGTGCGTGTGTTACTGTTAAACCAAACTATGATGTTATCGCATATTGAAATCCCGGGTTCTAACCTCGTATTCATAATTGTATCAAGAATGTACTATATTGGATAGGCAATGCTAAACATAGTGGTCGTAGTAGTAGCTCCTATCATGAAATAGCTTCTTGTACAAACTCGTGTTTGGAGCGAACTGCGTGTGAAATCCTTTCAAAATAAATAAATAAAATGGGTCGCTAAAAAATGCTAAGCCAGAAGGATTACGGGACCCTTTGAAAGCAGTAGCTTCGTACGTCATAGATCCTCTAATCCAGAGTCGTAATAGCAGTTAACGACACATTAACACGGCCGTTAATATATAATTGTTGATGGAAGCGATCTACGATCTGATAAAGATAAAAGTTATTCTAATGTATATACTGATATACTTTCAGGAGGGAGTTGGAAAGGAAACAGTCACGACCGCTTCATCTATCGCAACTTCACCAACAACAGATGCAGAGCAAACGTTAAACAATTATGATGGTGTATTAGAGAGAATGAAACGATTTATTTTAGGAACAGATGATGATCGAGAATTAATCGAACGCTACACTAGAAATACTGTGTATATTTCTGATGTATGATATGCGTATGACGTACTGTATATATATAATATGACATTGAATTCAGTTCATCTTATATCATATACATATGTGTATAAAGCTTATGAATGATCTATAATCAATCAGTAGTCTAGTGATTATAGATCATCAACAATGGACAATGCGCTATTGAACATTTAGTTGCTTCCCTGGTGAAACTAATTGTCTTATATTGTTTTTATAGTTTTAAAAGCATTTTTACATGAATATCCACCAGAGTTGGATCAATTGTAATTTGTAATTGATGTAATTAATTACAGTTTTTCATGTAATTGAGGCATTTTCATTCTGTGTAATTGTAAATCGCTAAAATTTTGCTCCCAGGCTTGCTTCTTTAGCCAAAGATTATTAGGGACTGACAGCAACAGCAGCCCCGTCAGAAAGAGTTTTTCAATTGCGGGTAACTTTTTTACGGCAAGAAGAAATTTATTGGGGTCAGAAACTTTTTGCAGCCTAATTTTTATCAAGTGCAATCCAACAGTTTTTGAGCAAGTGAAACTGTAAATATGAACCAAAATGTTATTGGACAGGTTAGTGGACTCAATGATCGTTTTGACCAAAACGAGGGTATTTTGTTTTGTTGTTCTTTGACATAGTTATTGAAAAGTCGCTTTTCTCTTCGATTACTGGATCAAATGCTCTGAAATTTTCAGTGGTTGCAGATGGAATTTTTTTCTAGAAGGCTATTACTTTTTTTATATCTAAATTTCGTATGAAATCTGATATTTCGTCCAAGATTTCGCTGTATTATTTTATCCATGGGAACTTGGGAACTGTGACTGTCTGGTTTGATTCTTGCTACGCGAAACTCGAATTTTTTTGAGGGTAGCGTCAGGGGTAAGGACTGCTTCGCTCTGTGTTAATGTGTCCATATATTTGAGCATTGCTTTGTTGTAACTTTAAATGTAATTTGATATTTTTTGCACGGAGTAATTGTAATGGTAATTGAGCTGAATTACTGTTATTGATCCAACTCTGATATCCACCAATAAAAATATAATCATAAAAACACAAACTTGTGATAAAATCGGATATATATAGCTTCCAGGCGGCTGTAATTTGAATTGACATTCATGTAATAAGTTAAGCAAAAGCATGTTATAACATATGTGATAGAGTTTTGTATCCGTGGACAGTTTTGTTAGTGTTTGGAGGAGGTCCTTCAAGACCCAAATGAATCCCAAACCAAAAAATGAAATTGTGCACATCGCCAAAATATTAAGTAAATTAAAAATAGAAATATATTTTCGCTGCCTGCTAAATTTTGCGCTTCAGAGATTGCAGATTGGCCATGAGCTGGCATTTAAGATATTATTCCCTATAAACAGGGCCAACTAAAACGACACACTCTGCATGTAACACGGTATTCTTAGAATGTATTGCGGCGTTAGCGGAACAAAATAGATCTTACCACTACTATCGGCGCATCTACGGAAAATCTGCCATTCTGCATCTACTTAGCGGCCCCGAAATTACAAACCTATTCAAGGACAAAGCGGAATTGCATTCAAATAACTGCAGTCTTGATTTAAATAATAATCTTTCTAAATTTAATAAGTGCACTTTAATTAAAACAGAAATCAGGGCACGTTTGAATTTCACTGAAAGATAGAATTTCCAGAACAGAATATCTTCACGCCATCAACCGAATTGCGTAAGTCATTTTTAGCAGTTTTGAGAAAAACTTCCTAATGATATTGCTATGAATAATAATACCACACAAACCCGGGCCCTTATAGCGAACAAAGTGTTCATTGAATAAAGATATACGTCGGATGGTACTAAGAAAGTCAATTTTGCGTTTAACGACCAAGAATACGAACCATTGATCACCTACGCCACAGAATCAGTCTACTGCCCAGCAAACCCCATTTAAAATTTCAATTTCATCCAGCAGTATGTGGATATCATTAAGCTGAGCACCAGCAAAGATTAGTTTCGTAACCACAAAAAATAAGACTAAGGTAAGCAGACAAGACGGCGGACCGCGTGGGAAATATTCTGACAACCCCCAACTTTTATTTGAAAATGGCATCGCGGAATGTACCATTGTCATATACAACCTTACGAACATTTGTATATCATAAGTTTCAAGATGCATTCCAGTCTCGAACGTAAAAAAGCCTTAGTTGCATCACGATAGAAACCTATAAAGTTCACAAGTTTTTTTTTCAAATCGGCAATATTATCATCATTCAACTTTATGTACTGAATAGTTAGTACTTTCGTGTAACCCCACATTCATGAGTTTACGATTTTATTTAAACCCGTATCCGCACGGCTTGTAATATATTTTTGCAACCAATGAAGATTTTGTGTTTAATAAATCGTTTTATTAACATTATCGATATCGATCACTTTAATATAAAATGATACAACACGATCTCTTGCTTTTATTTATTCGACTAATGTATAAACACATAAAATAATAAAACGATTTATTCGTGTTATAAATTTTACATAATGCGCGGCCACGGAAGAATATATATATATTTAAACAAGGCTCAATTATTTGCATCAGCATAGACAATAATATTGAGAAATAACACAGTGAATTATATGTTCTTACGATTTTACTCTATTTATTATACGATTTATGAAATCTAGAGCAAACTGTTCACTTCCCTTATATTTTAAAATATTTCAAATGTGAGAGAAGTTAACTTTAAACCGCAGGATAATATTCAGTCTAACATAAATGAGGATTACATTCAGAGTATGCGTTTATGGCATTCGCTATTTGTTTTATTCACCAGCCTTGAACTATGCATAGTCAAAAATCCTTGAAGAATCATGCAGCATAGTCCAATACTTATAACCCTACATCAATACTAGTCATAGATTCAGTTAACCTTGAAATGAAATTTTCCATCTTACTGTATACTACAATATTTTTTATATTCCGAATTGAAATCATCGTCCATGTTTGTAGTATCAATCATATGTCTGCCATCTGTTTGAGGCATAAAGTCATCATAATCAAGCCCCTGACGTTCGTAAAATAAAATATATGAAGTATCAATGCTAATTTCATCTTCTTTCACCTGGAATAGAAGCACAAAACATTTTATATCGAGTACTTCGCACAAGTTTCAAATAAATTAATATTAGAACAGAATTAAATTAGATTTATACTAATTGTATTTATGGATTGGAGCTCCAGAACAATTTTTTTGAAGAGAGAAACTTGCTAATATGTAATAAAAATGGCGCTTCGATTTACCCATATGGAGGTAACTAAGTTTGTTTGCCTATTTTACATCAAGTGTGTAAAGGGAAGGAAACATATGGGAAACTTGGCTAACACAGACAGTCCCAAAACTCTTAATATAACTTAAGTAAGGAAAATCTGAAGAAAATTATGGCCTAACCCTAACCTGGTACACATACTACTGGAGTACCATAAAAAGTATGATAAGTATAAAGTAGTGATCATATTACCAAATAAGTTCCTCACAAAAACTTAAAAATATATAAGAATCATTTTCCCACCTCTTTGCAACTGCTGTCATTATAGCAGTACCATTTGCTGTTTGGATTCTTTGCATATGAAACATAATGACCACCACATAATATTCCTGTGTGACACTGTTAGGAAAAAACGTAATTAATAAGAAAATTAGAAACCTAAATAACTTGCATGAAAAACATTATGTGATACAGATACTACCGAAACTAGTTTAAATAAGAAAGCAAGCAGTTCTCGCTTTGTTATCTAAAGCGGGGGTCTTCAAACTGGGGGTTCCAGTTGGCCATGAAAGGGCTACTCAAATATAGTTTCAATGATCCCATATGAAAAAATCTGACTGTCTCTTTTTGTCTCAAAAAAACATTACTGTAAAAGCATCGCTTTTACTCACCGAAACAGCAAACAAATCAAAAAGTGGTTTTTCTTCTTCTCTAAATGATGGTTTTCTTTGTCGAGCTGGACCAGCTGAATGACGCCCACTATTACTTGATGTATTTGTATGGCTCATATCAGATCCATCCCCAGCTGGGCCAGGTTTTCCTGATTATTCAGTAAAATATAGAAATTACGGTAACTGGAATATAATAATGTTGAATTAATGGGACCTCAAGGACTATGTGCACCAAGATGGCGCACATCCTGAACATAATATGTGTACCAGGTTAGGGTTCAGGTTGTGCGCCATCTTGGTTCACATACTTTTGGAGTGCCGAAATAAGTCCTATTCTTCATGGATTTCCCTCACTTCACAAAATACATCCCCACTTTCCCTTTATAGATGATGAAGCTGACAAACACAGGAAGGACCCACATCCCATACAATATGATCGTAAAAAAGACAAAATAATGAAAGGAACAAAAATTGATATACATAATTGGAATTCCACATAGAATTTATTTATAGAAAATGGGGCAATAAGACATGAAATGAAACTCTTGCATGCTGGATTACCTCCTACTTTTCCTGAATCATTTTCGTCTGCAAATTTTATTCTTTTATCTGATTTAACTGGATCATCTCCAACTTCATTTAACGAAGACTGTGAAATACTTGTTTCCGAAGGCAATTCTTCTACTACGGCCTCTAAAAATAAAGTAATTTCTGGTATCAAACCAACTGTCTACTTTCTTATCACAAAGATTTTAGCCAGGCAAGTTTTTTTAATACAGAACGCATTAATGGACCTATGATAAAAACAGCCAGCCCCCGAGTTTTAGGCAACCAGAAACTGGCACTTGAGTCAATGTTACAACCAATGTTAACAAAGCGAGATAATTAATTGATAGAATATAATAATTCACATGTTTAATTAATCAATTATCTCACAAAGCTTCACCTTTCATTTTCTTTGTCGTAAATTTTGAAGGATCAAAATCATTTTTTTCAACGTTCACAATTTTATGTGATTTTATCCAACGACCGTTCACAAACTGAAATCTTTTCAAATGAATAATCTGGAAAAATAAGAATGCTGAGTGTGAAAATCCAACAAAAATCGCACAAAAGAAGTATTGATTTAAATCCTCATAGTAATAAGATAATGGTCATGCGAGTTTCCATTATAGAGAAGTAAATTTATCAATAACTATTTATCATCAACCCATACCATCAATCAATAACACTATTTATACTTTGAATATTCCTAATTTACATGGTTTAGATTGATGCTTGAAGAAAATATAAATGATATTCGAGAAATAAAAATCGGCCCAGTATTGTGGTAATATGATTAAACCTATATTACAGTGTTGATAAATAGGGTTCTCATTTAACCCTAATGAAGAGAAAATTAATATCACCGCAATAATCAATATTCCAATACAGTTTGATGTTCCAAATATATGGAGAAATATTGAGAAGGAATAAGCGAAAAATAAGAAAGTCAAATTTTGAGAGAATATTGTTACTTTACAATGCACAAGTGTCATACAAATTCATTGCTGAGGACATGTATACATTTAAAACCATTATTATGTAAATCAATTTTTTACAAGAATGGGTGGTAATCTCCATATGTCAAGTTTTTTCTTGGCAAGTTGATGTTTCTTGCACTTTCCGCAATAATACAATTCATCTGCTCCTAGTTCTTCTTCAGTGGTAAATGCTTTTAAACAATGATCAAGATCTATTGGTTTTCTTTGTCCCTGAGTTCCTTGATCAACAGTTTCATGATTTTCAATATCCTGCAACAATTAGAGGAGAAACACATTAGGAAAAACCTTAACATTATTATTGACAATACTTTTATAACTAATAAAACAAAGACAGATAAGACATTTAACATAATACAGTACTTGGGCAAAAGATTAAATGTGGTAAATTAAGCAAATTGAAAATATAAAATACTGAATGCAGAAAAACTAATCTCCTTGCTGAACTTAATGTCAATACTTCTTAAATCTTCGGAAGGGTGATGCCCCATTACTGAAAGAAAAGTATTTTCATAATTTAGTAAAAAAAACTCACTCTTTCTACAGATGGCTGATATCTCAGATGCAAAGCTGTTGGATCCCAATCAATTGCTATGTATCCCGATTCTGGGAAGTATGATTCATCGTTGCACTCGATAACACAACCACAACAAAATTTATACCAGGGACATCCCTCACCACATAACATTCCACATCTTTTGACACTTCGTAGCAGGAAAGGATATTGTGACTGAAGACTATTATCACTGGTGTGAAAATAAGCAGAAACATGTCAATCACTAACAACAATAGACAACAGAATATATTTCAGAATTTCGATATAAGTACAGAAACATTTCGTTAATATTATAAAGGAACAATATTTGATGAATGAATTGCAAAAACAAATTGTAGCACATCAAACAGATATTCAGCCATTAGATGTTTAGTAGAGATGGGCAATTCCACAAATCAGATAAATAAAATGCATTATATACACTACTATTCTCCCTAAATCAATTTCAAAAATTAAATAAACAGCAGGCACTCATATAGATGGCAGCTGTTCAACCAAACAAATATTTCATCAAACTCATTATTCTACAATACGTACCAGTCTTGTGCGTGATTTGCTACTTCATTAGGACCAAGAGGGCTGACAAATCTGGATACCTGATTCCATACATTTTCATACAATGATTTTTTACTATTGCCAGGCATGCAAGGAACAACTACAGGCACACCGAACAAGCTTCTTTGAATTTTTTGAGGTGATAAAAAGTAGAGTTCTTGATGAAACTAGGATGAAAATAAGTAAAACAATTTTTGCTTTAAGATCAATATTGAAAAATGTTCAGCAGGAACTAGAAATTATTAACTCACCATTTTTCTGTGAAATGCGATGACGTAGCATTGGGATGTAATCTGAGTTATTGTATTCTTAGATGTTGTACTACTGATAGTACTGTCAGATGCCGATAATGGAATGGAACTTCGTATATCACCATTCATTAGTTGCCTATTTCTCAATCCATCTAAACAAATGAAGACATATATAATATTACATGCTCTATAAACACAATCTAGACAACATCTCGAACATTGTTTACTATTATATGCAATTACCTTCTGTTATTGGCACTGTAGTCAGATTGTCACAGTCTCCACCAACAGCAAAAGAAGTTATTGTTGCAGAAGACAATTCATCTCCTGGCATTCCATTCATTTCAATCAAATCTTTATTCAATGAACCTTCTAATTCATTTTCTTTATATATAGCATGCAGATTTGTAATACTTGTCTTCTTGGATTCATGTAATGTCGACCTTGCTTCTGGTTTTTCTGGCAGTTTGTTTGTAACAATGCCTCCGTTGACATGATTTGATTCTTTATGAGTTTTATTTCGAACATTGGGACTTTCAATATCAAGTATTTGTGGTGCAGGAATCTCAAATGCGTATAATCCACCAACAACACCAGTACGTACTTTGTGATTGTCAGATACGAATGACTGAAAGAAGAGAAAAATAAAAGTTGCGATGGAATTTTTTGTTATTCATTTTAAACAATAAATACATGATTATGACTGAACATTCATATATTTTACTGAATATTTGCTTGCCCTGGGTTGGGTAGCCATCAGTCTGGTTATATAAATATAAGCATTCACAATACATTTTATATCCAACCTTAATTCTAGCACCAGAAATCTCCACCAACAACAACCTATCGCATTCAACATCACAGAGTGCTGATAATCTTGTTCGAACTTCGTAATATTTTTCTTCCATGTTCAGTTGTAAACCATATTTCATTGGTCTTAAGCAGTTCAATTTCACCACTAAACAAATAAAACATATAAAGAGAAGCTATAAATATATTTGTAATTACACTATTCAAGTCTAGCCTGAGATGATTGTGTGAAAGAAGATTGTTAGACTAAGGTAGCATTGTGTCTATGTTTCATGTAATGATTGGCCGCTTTACAGCTTCTTCCACCGCCCACGTTAAAAATTTTGCACAAAATTTAACAGATTACCCACAATATTCTCAAACTAGTAACAGCAGGAATCGTAATTCTTCATGAATAATCCTCAATGAATAAATGAATTCTGAAGACCATGGTAAATAAACCGAAATTAAAACTACAAACAAGGATACTTACATATAACATCAAGATACATTGAATTATCCATTGGCAATGGTAGCGACAAAAATGTAAAGGGATCAAAACGAACACTCAAATTATTGCACTCCATACATCGAACCTACAAAACATATCACAAATTTATTAACTTGACATGTGTCATCAATTACTTTATCGACTATTTATCTGAGTCAGAGATGAAATCATATTTTTAAACTCCTAGTCTGGGAGTCGGGCCAGAATTTACACTTTTAATAGTGGAAGATGGAGTGACAATTTTTAACGTAAACACAAAAGTTGCATACAACAATGTTTTGGTGATCAAAATTTTGCAGTTTCGAAGGCAAGAATTTTGTCAATCCTGAATCAGGAGTTGGTGCTAATTTTTTTTTAATTTGACAATTTTAGTTTTCATTGGTAACTATCATTTCACTTAGAAAATGTACCAGCAAATCACTATCTAAAATGGAAGAGTTCTTATGGAATGTGAATATCAGAATATTATTATGATATCCTGAGAACTTGATGAATTATAGTCATTGATATTCGATACAACATTACTTTATGAATAATATATTGGTGTTGCTATCTGTAAAATTTGAATTTTCACATATATGCTATCCTCATTTATATTTTTCTACCAAGAAAACAAGAATCAAACAATACCTGAGATCGAATTTGTCCATGGAATAAATCAACAATAACAGACTGGTTTCTCATCAAATGATTCTCCCATGCCTAAAATACCAAATACATTTAATTATTGAAAATATAAAATGAATAACAATTTCTCAATAATGTATATGACTATCACACTGCTATTATACCTTATTGTTTCAACAAATAATTTATGATAACACTTCAAAACAATGTAATAGGTATTTCCTCTTATAAAATGTTGGATATTGGTGAATATTTTTCAATAGTTTATATTTATAACACAAAGGTATGGTCACAGTGCCTCCTAACAATAAAGCTTGACCAATTGAAGTCAAATTTTATTCCAAAGAAATTACAAATGATTATATTTTAGTACAAATAAGACACCCAGAATGAAAATCATGTGACCTCTTGAGCGACTTCTTCATCTGGTCTCCCATCACTGTCCTTTAATTCGACATAAGGTTTTTCCTCAACTCTGTTTAAATCTTCATGCAATCCATCAAGAAGAAATGACAAAAGTTCTTGTGAATCATGTTGAGAAAATCCATTAAAACGTGGAGCATACTTGCTTATCGTCCACTGTATTGTAAGAAAATCAACAAAAACATTAAATTATTTTATTTTGAAGCAATTCCCTCATACATGGGGTCCTTGACATTGAAATCAGGTATGAACTGAAATAAAAAATAAAAAAAATATAACTCACCACTGCATACTTTGACATACTAAGGACAAAGATACCAATATCAATATACACTTACCCTTAATTTAAGGGGTGCTGTTGATTTGCTTTTACCACTCCATAGTTCTTGTACCAGATCACCATACCTCTTCGCGATATGACCTTTCATACCTTAAGAAAATATTATAGAATGACCCTTTATATGTTGAGGTTAATCATTAGTTAATGGGGCAATAAAATTTGCATGTATGCCTTAGACCAGAGTTTCCCAAAAAGGTATGACCCCTATTTGTTAATCTTAGTTTTGATGGACCCCCATCCTATGTTGTATCAATTTCTGTTCCCAATCAACGAGGAAGGATAATGTTTCATACAACACAAACGGCATTAATGTGATGGATGAAGTTGCTCTCCACTGCAGAATTTATCGATTCCTGGAGCAATTTGTGACGAGCAAACTCATAGATCCGACTCTACGGCAAGTCTCGACCTGTATTTTGTCATCATATTGGTGGGAGCTGAAAATGCTGCCTCACACAAATCAACCATTAAAGATTGATCAAACTCTTCATATCATTGCCGACCCCCCGTGCAGTCATCACGGACCAGCAGACCAACCCTGCCTTAGACCATTGAAGAAATAATTCGAAGAAAAAAAAATAATGTCAAGTTTGAAACCCAATAATAATCTCAATACAAGCATAGATAGGAGTAGGTAATTCGTTTTTAGGACTCAACTTTTTACTTACGTTTGCATATTATGGCGAGTTGTACAGAATTTAGCTACAGGTTATTCCTATGTTAAGATCACCGTAATACTAGATAATAAGACTTAGAATATGACAACATACCGAGTGGGTTACTCCTGTTAAGTTCATAGAAATGTTTATTCATCATAAAATATTGGGTCAGTGGTCGCGTATTGCTTATGCATTGCAATCCAGAATTCATAAAACAGGTATTCCCTATGTTTGATAATCCTGTGACTCCTTTTTCAATTGCTGAAAAAAATTGAACAAAAAGTTACGAGTTTGTGAATGACAAAAATATTAATACAAAGCTGATATGAAAATCCCATTACTGTTTATAACATATTTATCAAAATGATACTAAAACCAGAACATTAATCATTCACACCCAAAGATTTTCCCAATTTCCATCAATTTCAAATTCCCATAACGCATCATACACATTTTCTGTTTTTTTTTTTAAAAAACTGATTGAAATATTTTTTATATAGATCAGTATCGAGTGGTTGTCAAACTTTTTCATGTAGCGGAACCCAAGGCCGGGGATAAAATATGTCAAATAACCATTTGAAAAATGTGAACGACAATTTGTCAGTGATAACATGAAGTTCTTCCACGGAACACTAATAAAAACACTTATCATGTTGGGTTCAACGGAACACTGGTTGCGCATTATGCTAAGCGTTAAATGCACTTATTGTCGCACCCCTGATTACCCTACATGGGTTCGCAGGTTTGACACCTGTGAGGAAGAAGTATGTGCGAGAGGATTGCTGGACTCCTCGTCACCATGAGGTGGTTTATTCAACTTTTGGTCGGTTATGACTTCCTCCACCGTCAAGTCCATGTATCTGAAACAAATAACTGGCTAACTAATTCCTTACCCTGACATTGGACTGATAACCCAAGAGAGGAGGTGGCACACCATGATTAATGAGTCGCCTTAACAGCTTCCCTCTCCCCAGGATAAATATGAAAATCATATCCTTGCCTAAGTAAACATTGTGTGACTATAAAACAACTTACCTGGTTTTGGTTTGGTTTTCTTGTTCTTAGCAAGCTGAGACATTTCTTCAGGCCAACTCATGTCCATGTTTCTCACTAGAATAATAGAAGAGATATTATATTCTGATCATATGAGCAAACTGGATACTCGTACTTTTAAAATATGTGATCAACTTTCTAAACTTTTAAGTACAAGAGGGTGGAAATACTATGAGTGATTAGATTAATTGAATAAAAGTTATTTTTTTTTAAATTTAGGCAGTCAGAAAAAAAATCAGTCTTCATTTTCCTTCTGACTTTGTGAAAGATCAATCAAAACAATGCATATATAGAAAATATTTAATTTTAATGAATTTACAATCATTTTTGCAAATTTCTTAATGAATTTTGTAATGTATTCAGTGCCACATATTCCAAAATATTGTTTCAAAAAGTGTTTGGTTTGATTATGGTCATCCCTCCCTCTCACCTTCAATAAGAACTTGTGAATTATCTTTCACTCCAAAATCTTCTAATGTTGCTGTTTCTTCTTCCATTACAAATGCATTATTCTGCAATATTAATAAAAATCAGGCATGGAATTATAAAAATAACACGAAACACAACTGGTATATATCTTTTTTGGTAAACAAACCGTGTGTAACTCATAAAAACACATATACAATATTTAATAATATTTAGCAAAAATAAATAAACCAAATATTTTTGGGAAAATTTTTCCATTTCCAAATAATCATAACTGCTTTTGTGAATATGATAGAGGTATAATCGAGGTTTTATATTGCAAAATTTGGCAAATCTGTTGATTTATTCTGCTTCTGCATTATAAGTATATTTATAGTATCCAATGTCATCAATAATGCCTCACCTCATCAATATAATTCCACAGACGAATGTTGTCATAATACATATGTATTCTTATTGCCAAGAAAGTTTGTACTTGTTTGATAGTATGTCGACGACTGAATGTTGCACGATAAGCCAGATATCTTTTCGGAGAACTGTTCGAACCTATTAAAATGAATGATTCTTAAATGTTTTTCTTACTTTTTATAAAATGCTATTAACGGACTCCAGTTTCACTGACCTTTTCACTGAATATTTCTGGATAAATTTATGATACAATATATACATAGTTCCTTGAAGTCATATACAACCCCAAAATATTCATTTGAAATTAAGGAACAAAATCAAGACAAAAAGAATTCTTACCAATCACATAGTTAAGTGATGATTTGAGCATGCCAAATGTTGCATTACCAACTTCAGCGATAGCACTGTTGCCAGAAAATATGTGAATATTCTGTTGATTAAGTGGTTGAGTCTGGAATGAAATTATTTTTCAGTTAAGAAACAAAGCAGAAAATTTTTTGACCGCTGACAACATAGTTGTATTATTAAATATTACGATTTAAATCTAAAAATCAAACCAAAGCAGAAAACTGTAAAGAGAAAAAATAAATTGGTGCCTACCTGATGTTTGAGCAACAATACATGAAGTCTGTACAACTCAATTTCTGCTTTATCATTTTCAATTGGAACAGGAACAATACGTGGGAGTACTTGTCGTCCACCATACCTGTAATTTTCAATTTTTAAAGTTTAATTCATCAAAATCATACAGGGTTCCTTATTATAACTGTTCTCATTTAAAATATCTATATTTTTGAATAAAAAATTTCTGTTCAATAATTTTAGTCACACGTAAAGTAGGAAGCCACGAGCACACTTGCCAAAAAATAAAATTAAGAGAAAGAACTGAGATAATCAGCATGACATAAAACCTTGTAGAATAGGTGAAAAATTTGACAAAAAATATATAATCTAAAACAGGGGTGTGCGAACTGCGGCCCGTGGGCCAAATGCGACCTGTGAAGAAAAATTGTGCGGCCGGCGGAGAAATAACAATTTTGAATGGTGTGCCCGCAAAACGAGTATTTATCTTCTTGCGTGGCAAAGCCTATACCAGTCATATCAGCAAAACAAGCTAGCAAAATTCTGTTGCAAAATACACGATTTATACTACAAAAGCATGTTTCTCACTGAATTGGTTTAAAGTCGGTGTGACAACAAATTTCAATAGCACTTTCTTCAGAAGTTTATGCGCTTCAACTCACTATTTCTGCAAGAATCCCTAATAATACCGTAAGATGACTAGCAAATACAAACAATTTTTGTGCTTGCAACTGCTAGAAAGTCTAGATTAAATGAAGGTGCGGCCCGCGGGCTCGCCCAGTTACTTGTATTTGGCCCACCAACGAGGAAGGCTGCACACCTGTGATCTAACACATGACAGGCGAGAACAATGTGGAATGATTTATTGCAGATTTTAAGAGAAATATAAACAACATTACTCTTTCACTTCAGTAGTCATTGTTGTTTAAAAAACATAATATCACCAAAGTAAGAACAAACCAGTGATGAAGAGCTTTCCATACTGGTTCAGGTATTAATTCAAAATCTTCTTCACAAACAATTGTATCTTTCAATTTACCTCCTTCATCTGTGATTGTGGCCACCTAAAATAACGAGTTTTATGGTGTTTGTTCATTTGGTTGACTACAGGGATAATAGACTATCTGCATGGGGTAAATTGGGGTATATTGGTAAATTATTGAATGAAATTTCAAAGTAATATTTGTCTAAAATCTTGGCTCGTGAAGCAAGACTCATGATTTGTCTTGATGGACAAAGTGTAAATTTGAACAATGTTGAATGTGGTTATCCTATCACACACAAACTTGGTTCAGCACTATTAATGTTAAACCACATAAAGCATACAAATTCAATCGTCGATACGTAGTCAACATTGTGTAAATGTGTACATACTTTATGGTTTTCTTCGATCAGAATAGAAGTATTGACAATAGGTCCTGGTGAATTATTAACTTTGGATGCCTGTGATGTCACTCCACCACTGACTGTGCTAATGTTTTCTTTAGATTTTGATTTCTTCTTTGATGGTAAACGTAGTTTGTGTGATTTGTGCTGAGCAAGGTTTGCTGAACCAAAAATAAATATGTAAAATAACATGATATTATTATAGATGAAAATTCTTATTGCCCATAAAAAAGGAAGAGCGTGGGCTGATAATCCTATTAGATTCTCTACAATCTGATATAATTATGGAATACTTTTCCTAGCATCATATAATGATGACATACACAAATGCTGTATTGCCACAAAGCACTACAAATTCATTCTAGTTGCTACCATAATTAGTCACCTGATTCTAGATTTCATTAAGTGAGGCTTTAGATAAAGTAAAGTAAATATTAGTGATTAGCTGGATCGATAGCAAAAGACATAGAGATCTAAATCAGAAACAGACATGCCAGCATATTTTAAACCCACGTTTTGACAATGAGAAAGAATAAATAGTATTTATATAGTGCACATGACAAAATCGGTGACCGTACATTTGAACCCACGTACATTTGAACCCATGTGTATATCCACGGGTTCAAATTATATGCGGGTGCTAAAACCCATGGGTTAGGGTTAGTATGGTTCAACTATCCGTAAAACAAAAAAAAATTCATAGGTACAATAGCATACAGGTGCAATTGTCATGGGTTCAAATGTAATGGAACCGACAAAATCAGTTATGTTCACGATGATAAACATAAACAAACCATGATAAAATGATTCCGAAGCTTCAATTGCAGAAGAAATAGTATCTGTTGATGATGACCTATCATGTGTAACATCAACGTCACTTTCTAAAGCTTCATGTTCCCATTTCCTTGATCTGGATGGCGAAAGAATTGGCTGAAATAGATGAAAATTTTTTAAAAAAAACTTAAAAACATAGAATAAACTTCACCAGAAGTTCTTCAAAACTGCATGCAAAATTTCACGACTACGAAAGCAGGCTTATTCTACCACCTTCAAACAGGTCATGATTGTAATAAACCAGAAAACTCTGTTTGCAAAATATCAAAGCATGTTCATATTTATACACTGGAAAAAGGTTGTGTCAGGAATCCAGGATTCAGGAGAATTAATTTAAAAAAACGGATGCCAAATTAACAGAACAGAAGACATCTTTAGTACTGCACTGCACATTCAGTCTAGATACTGAAGATCATTGCTTAATTTTGCTGAATTTACTGAACAAATCTAATTTTTTTTTAACAACTTACATCATATGTTGTATGTTTCTTCCATTTATTCCACCATTCCTCAGCTACCACATACCATGTTTCTCCAGGATTCACATCATGATAATCACATCTGAGAAAAAATTATCAATTGCAATATCGAATACAATCAAGATATATTCAATAGAAATTGCAGCAGTGGTCAGTTATCACAGGTCAAAGATAGAGCTGGGCATTTCGAATCGAATATTCGAATCGAATCGAATAGTGAATTATTCGAATCGGTTTAGAGTAAATTTTCGAATGGCCGCCATCTTGTTCTACTCTTTCCGCCAATGGTCGAGGTAAATTTCTCAATTTTTTTTTCATTGAAGCCATATTTTTTCAACACAATTCTGACTTGTGACTCTTTTCTGTATTGAGGTATTGATGAAAACGTGTTTTTTTTATTGTCAGTGATGTATTCTATGTTTTCAGTAATTTATGTGTCTGGAGGACCTAAAATACTAAGAAATTTACATACAATTTCATACCTTCCAAGTATTCGAGATTCGAAAAAAATTATTCGATTCGATTCTGAAATCATCAGGTATTCGAAAATGCCCAGCCCTAGTCAAAGGTCATATAAGCTTATAGATTAATTCAAATAAATTGGGTATAAACTAAATTACTACTTACTGTATCATTTACAACCAATGCAAATTGAATTTTATAATATAATATATGACAAAATAGGAATAAGACTACGATAGTTTAAATAACAATTATAATTTAACCATGTTTTTAGGTAAATTCTGCGGTGCTCCCGAAGTATGTGTACCAAGATGGCACACAACCTGAACCCTAACCTGTTACACATACTATGTTCAGGTTGCGCACCATCTTGGTACACATACTTCGGGAGCTCCCATTCTGCATCTGTAATTAATATCAGTTTCAGGGATGGGTAAAATCAAACATGTATTCGAATGCAATAACCTGATTTACTAAGCAGCACCCGCCAGCACACAAGCATTTTTTTGAAACTCAATCGTTGTTGTCGGGCATTATGATTATTACAAATTGAAACGATATCACAGGCACTGTAAACGAAAAACACCATAACAGATTCTACGACGCGTAAGTGCCATGTCACAGTAAAGTAGCATAGGTCACACAAATTAATCAAATAACTTGCAGTAATTTAGGAGTGTGTACAAACCGAGATATTTTCATTAAATGAATTCCAAATAAGGCAGCTGTAGTCTAATATGTACAGTACCAATGGTTATAGCAGGCAATATTTTTAAGAATGAATCGTTCTACCTTTGCATCCAACCCCGAATTATCATTCCTTCTTCTTCTGGACTAGAAGGTCGTAAACCAAGTACAATATGACATATTTCAATTGTGATATTGAGAAATAAATTTGGATAGATATCATCCATTCCCCACATCTGATATTCTTCTAGTGTCAAAGAACCTTCCTAAAATGCAAAAATATTCCCACATGTCTCACATGTAAAAAATGTTTATTAGTGAATAGTGATGTAGTGTAAACATATATGCAATTGAACAACCTTCAGCTTATTTACGGAGTTTGTGGTATTAAAATGATTTCCCTATCTATGTCAGATTTACCATTTGGGAATATTTGGAATTTTGCAACTCTCCATTCAAGTTTTTTCGAAAGAAAATTGCAAATATACCTTCTAATTTATCAAGTGTGAAGATAAGATAGGCTGTTTAACATTTCAATATATCTTTGCTTCCTGGGCCATTTACTATTTATGAGTTCTACTTTTTAGTATTCAGAAAAATCAAAGATTGCACCAAACAAAATTCTTGACAATACTAAACAAGACATTTCCACATAGTTCATGTACAGTACAATCATATACCGTATATCAGGGTTGTCTAACCTTTATTAGACGAGGGCCAGATACAAATAGGATACAAAACCATGGGCTTAACATAGACTTTCTGGTAGTTGTAGACACAAAAATTCTGGTTATTGATCTTGTGACATGCGTTGTTCACTTTGCACAAGCTCAGGTATAGTCATTGCAACGCAAAGGAATTGGAATTACTCGCACATACTAGATTGAATTAAAAACTCGTTTAGCAGCCACACACCATTAAAAAGTGGCACGGGCCGAACAAGTTTTCCTGGTGGACCGCATTTGGCCCGCGGGCCAAAGGTTGCATACCCCTGATTTATATTATCCAATGCACAGAGCTATTAAAAGACAAGTACCGGTATGTCAAAATGTAATTTTATTATAAACCTTCTTCTACAACTTTCATGTTCTACAAATCTTTGGCAATCAAACATTGCAAGCCTGTTTCAAGATCAAATATTTTCCTAACAAATTTGAACAATTATCAATTAAAATTGAAAATACAAAATAATGAGGGAAATATATGATATAGTGAACTCACTCTGTCAACTGCATACTGTAATGCGCTTGATACAACCATGTTGATTTCATCAATATTTGGTTGTTCATTTGAAATTTCATCCGATCTACATTCTTCAGTGCTGTTATTATTTACAGTGCTATCATTTGTTTTCTGTAAGATTTTTGTCCTTGAAGCAGACATAGAAGAAGAATTGTCAAAAAATTTCGAACTGGCAACTTTGATAACTGGGGGAACAGCGGCAATAGGTGACTGGGCATTTCTCACGACAGTGTTTTCAGATGTTGCGGATGTTAAGGTTAAACTTAATCCTTTGTTTGAAATAAGTGTACTTTGTGGAATATTGGCATTTTTGTGCTGCTCTGAGTTCAGATTTCTCGTCATACATTTTACTTCAAGAAAAGACTTTGCCATAAATTTGAGTTCTTCAGAATTTAATTTTCCATCCTGGTCTTTGTCAAATACTTTGAAGCAAACTAAAATGAATGATGAATGAAATTGATTAAAAACAGAGAAGAAAACTTATATTGGCATAGGATAACAATAAGTCTAGGATGCCCTCAAGTATAGTACAACAAACTGTTATCTTAGGGTTTTATTAGGTAGTGTGACAATGATGGAAAAACGTTTTTAAAGATTTAAAAGTGAAACACACATTGTATTGACACACAACACATACGGTAGTTCATATTCATTTAATTTCATATGATTTTCATCTATAAAGCAAGAAAATGGCTTTTTTCACTAAGATGGCAAATCAAACATAAACATATTGAAAATTATTCTTTATTGAAGGTAGGTTCTCACAATACGATGGTAGTTGGTATATAATTATACAGAAATATATCATAAAAGGTTTACACTGGAGAGGGTAGAACAACGTAACTTATGTTAGACTTACATTTCTGTCTTTCAGCCAACGGTCCTCTGCAGCATGCAGAAACCCCACAAGATATTTCTTTAAAATCTATGTGATTGTCTCCATTTTGATCAAATGCATCAAATAGTCCTGCAATAAAATGTTTGCAAAATTATTAATTCCACTTGTTCGTTCCACATATCTTACAAACATATAGTGACTCCCCTAATAAACAAGGCTGCTATTTTCAGAGCGGTAACTTGCAATAAAGATATATAAAAATACAGTGTATGAGTTGCATACATAATAAATGATCAGGCAAAACATGTCTTTGTTACAGACCTTTAACTATAGACTCTGGCAATGGAGGACAAACAATCGATTTGAATAATTGAAGATCAAAACGTCCAGTCTTCGACTGTGATTTTAAAGTCCAGTAATGTTTCTCCAGATCGATAATGTCACTTTCTTCCACTAAAAAAAAGGGGGAATTAAAATACGATGTTGATAGTTACTAAATCAAATATTCAAATTCAGAACTTCATGCATGAATCTATATTTCTTTAATAATAGGTGTGTGTGTGTTCCAGATCAATGTTATGTAAAGATAAGTGTAGAACAGGGGTTGGCAATTACTTTCCTGAGTGGGCCAGTTCCAAATATTAGACTTGATTACTGAGCCGAGTTAGTAGAAGGATATTACATACCGGTAAGTGATTTTAACAAGCAAGATTGTTCCATACTGTAATCAGTTTGCTGCTTGTACAGAGCCAAAAAAATCCAACTTAGTCAATAATGACAATAATATATCGGTTATATAATTACTTCCTGTGATGAAAACCAGAATGGATATACAATAATGACCAATAATGAATCATATATGAATTGAAACGTATTGTATCCGTTTAAGTAGAAATATTTAAATTCTTTGAGCTGAAATAACGTTCGTACCGGTAATTATGTTCTCATGATAAAGCCATGGCTGGGGAGCTAGTTTGAAACAACTCCAACTCACAGAATATTCAAATTGTGGCAGCATTTCTAGCTCCCAGCCTTGGATAAAGCTGATAATATTTCTGATATCTGAAAGTAGTTGTATACTTAATAAAATTTATCATATAAAAAATAACATTGAATTAACTATTTCTCATCAAACAACTCACAGTGAGTCACACCAGCCAGTGTCTGATAAAAGTTTGCCATCTCTGTTGAATCTGTCAAACTGACAGTTACTCCACCTGAGTTTAAGAGCCATTTTGTAACTGAGGTTATGTCTGAATGATTTTTAATCCAGTCACAGAATACTTCAGCTGGAACTCTGTCAGTCTGCAATGAATAACAAGATTGATCAGTAAAATTGAGTCTAAAATGAATTGCTTAAAAATAGTCGCAGTCTTGATCATTACCGTTGTAAAGAGTTCTGCTGCTTCATGTGGTAGAGCTGTACCCTCACATGCAGTCACCATGAGAGCCATACTGCGTCTTGTAACGAAGAGACCAGAGTTATCAGCGTAAACTGCATAGATCACTGTAGAAAGAATTTGAAAATTAACATTAATATCAATATTGAATAATTGCACTCAATAAACACTTATTGCGAAAAATTTTGATCCACTTCTGAAGCCAAGAATCCTCAATGCTCACACTATCTAACAAATGATTGCGACAAAAAATAGATTTCACATGAGAGATGTTCTAGTACAGTGGTTCCCAACCGCCGGTCCGCGAAGCTTTTTTGGCGGCCCGCCAGAAATTTCGTTGTTTTGTTGTTTTTATGTTGTCTCAATCGCTTTACCGTAGACAAAGTTGCATTGGCTTATTACGCAATTCTCTTCCTCCGTCATATTGCGACGTCTTCCGTGACATGTTAGCGCCGATCATTCACACTTTTCGCTTTTTCGGCTCCGATTCATCGCGAATGCGCTCCATCAAATCTCGCAAAATTAGGAAGCCTAAAAATCGGCACGCGTGATTTACCTGATTAATATGACCATCCATATAAAACGTAATGCATATCTCCTTGTTTACACCAGAAAACAGTCAAGAACAGTATAATATTCCAGAAGATATGAACTTGTTGCGACCCCACAGGTGGTCAAGACGCGCAAAAAGCATGGGTCGCAGAGATCTTTTTCAGACACAGTAGGATTTTGAGCCTGTTGCCAAGTTATCGACCACTTTTTCATTGTAATGCAAATTCATTTCGTTTGAGACTTCGATCAACTGCAGAGGGATTAATATGATAGACCCAATGAAAAAAAAGGCTTGATTAAAATGGCAATTCTAATTTACAGTCCAGATTAATAAAGAATTACTTATCACAAATTTAGATGATAACGAATACCCATCGCCAAGTAATCGAGCAATCAAACTGTTGTCCGTCTTTTCAGCCAGTTACTGCGTTATGCGAAAAAACATTTTCATCACTAGATTCAATTAAAACGAAACAAAGAAATCGGCTGCATGCGGCTGCAGAGCTACGTGTTGCAAAAACTTCTTTGAGGCCTCGTTTGCAATCTCATATTGGAAACGAAACAACAGCAAAATTCTCACCGGAGTTCATTGTGCATGTTTTTAATGTGAGATATTTTATGCGTGCCTTTCTTACGCATAATGAGTGCCCAGCACTGCATTTCATTACGCAAATTATTTTATGCTTCACCCATTTTTAATTTTTGGTCGGCACATTACTTGATAGTTTTTCTCCGTGAGCAACGTTTTTAAGTGTGCTTTTTCGTCTAGAAGCATATTGAGTGCCCGACATTGCATTATATTACGCAAATATATGTTATTCTTTTCTGTTCTGGCCATTTCAATTTTTTGCCGGTCCGCGAGTACATTTAATCTAATCTTACCGGTCCGCCAGGGTAGAAAGGTTGGGAACCGCTGTTCTAGTAGACATAGTGTGATAGACATAGTCTTTATTAAAGCAGACTTACATTTCAATCTCTCTTCTTGTTTACCACGAGTCAATAAAACCAGGGTTGTGATCATATCACGTTGTGTCATCCCACGTGAACTGGATGCCATTACAGCAAATAATCTCTACAAATGAACAAAGCTTTTATTTATAATGTGACAATGGAAGTTGAATATGAAATAGAAAAAAGGAAATTTAATATTCCTTCAATCGCACATCTGCACATTGAAGTTGTACTGATTATTTCTATTCATTTCCATGGAAATAATGAGGCAATTTATATACCATATCAAAGCCTAGTAATGAACAATATATATACATGTACCATAGGCCTATCTCACAAAATTGTTTGAAACACGTTTACCTGAGCTAATTTTGTAGGCACAAAGTCACCCAAAACATCTTTGATTAAAACATTTTCTGTCATGGAACCCGAAAATCCACAAGCTGATTTGTAAGCTTTCTGCAGTCTGGCAAATTCAGTTTTAGTCACTAAAAAGAATTGTAATCAATTTGACTAGGTTTTTACTAGGTGTTATACAAAGCAATAATTACATACTTATGTTGACAATAACAAGCACAGTATTCAATAAGATTACTCTTTTTTTAAATATTGCACAAACATTCCTTTACCCAACAAATATATATTAACTGCAAATTATAGCAAATTCTGGTATAAGCGTTGTTCAATACTGTAATTTGGCCATCATAGCAGTGTGCCAGTATGCAATAGCTGAACTCACCTCTGTTAGCAGCATCTTCATATGACAAAATAGAAAGTTTTGAATCTTTCCCTCCCATTGTACATGGAGCACAATATGCTTCAGATCCTGGAAATTCAGTAGCGAAATAATCCAACAGTATATAAATATACTTTAAATCTTTGTTGTGTAGAAACCTGAGATTACATTGATTTCTATCATTCAGTCATGTTGTAATTGAAATTCTGGTCATTCAGGAAAAAACAAAAATTTAGAGATGATGTTCCTATAGTTATTTTGTTGCTGAAAAAATAAAAATTAATCATTCTGCCATTCTGTCATTACGCCCATGCTGCCATGATACAATTCAAGTTATACCACCTTATCACCAGGTACGGTATCTGGTATATTCACTATATTCAGGTATTGAACTATAACGTTCGGACGTTACTCTACTGCTGTACGGTACTGTAGTGTCAGAGTGCAGGAGTGTACGACAGCCATCAGGTCTTTCTCTAGCTCGGTGGCGCAGACGGTCCACGTACCGGTAACGGAATAAATATGTCTGTATGTACGTTAGTAATTCCTCGGGATAAATGTGTAATTCTTATCCTATACAACGATACGAACTTTTTCGACCACAAAACGGTTAACATAGCGTACTGCTGTTCTGGGCTGTAATTCCATATGACATACATGAAGTAAAAAATGAACGCATAAGGATAAAGTCAGACAAAAAAACAAATGTCAACATGTCGAAAACCGACTGACGGAAAATCACCTGACCAGACTGAAAAAATACCTCCATCACGCTAGCAAAATGTTAGCAAAATCCTGCTACTCAAAAACACGGTGTCATAAAAGTGTTTCACTATAAAATTTATGATTAAAAATGTATTAAGCCATACTCTGGGAATACGGCCAAACATTATAAATACAGTATACAGTCTGATGTAAATAAAATTAAATTATAGACTTTGATAATAATATTAAGTATTGCAATAAAGTATTTGTATACATGTCAAAAACTAAATAAATTTTCCAAATACCAGAAATGAACAAGATCTGCCATTGGGGCTAAATAATTATTTTAACCGTGTATTGATACCTTCAACATATTTTTTGGAATTGAAAAAAAAACACAATCAGTTTTCGAACGAAATACTTTCAATACAACGCAATGAAGAAAATTTTGAAAAATCATTAAATTGACCCAAAATTTGAAGAAGATCGGTCTTTGGGAAATATTTTGGGTATGGATAGTTGGATTCATTTCCTTTCCAATCAAATGAAAAAATTTCCAATCATGTAACGAAATTAGAAAAAAACTCGATCAGTTTTCTAACAAAATACTTTAAATACAACGTAATAAAGTCAATTTTCCAAAATCGTTAAATTGACCCAAAATTTGAAAAAGATTCGTCTTTGGGGCTCAAAAAATATTTTGGGTATGGATAGCTGTATTCATTTTTTTCCCAATCAAATTAAGAAACTGGAAAAATACTCGATCAGTTTTCTAACAAAATACTTTTATTAATACGCAATAACGTAAATTTCCAAAATCCTTAAATTAACCCAAAATTTGAGGAAGATTCGTCTTTGGGGCTCAAAAAATATTTTGGGTATGGATAGCTGGATTCATTTCCTTTTCAATCAAATAAAGAAATTGGAAAAAAACTCAATCAGTTTTCTAACAAAATACTTTAAATAAAACGCAATAACGTAAATTTTCCAAAATCGTTAAATTGACCCAAAATTTGAAGAAGATCGGTCATTGGGGCTCAAAATATATTTTGGCCATGGATAGCTGGATTCATTTTCTTTCAAAACATGTAAAGAAATTGAAAAAACACTCGATCAGTTTTCTAACAAAATACTTTCAATACAACGCAATAACGTGAAATTTCCAAAATCGTTAAATTGACCCAAAATTTGAAGAAGATCGGTCTTTGGGGCTCAAAAAATTTTTTGGGTATGGATAGTTGGATTCATTTACTTTCCAGACATGTAACGAAATTAAAAAGAAATCGATCAGTTTTCTAACAAAATACTTTAAATACAATGTAATAACGTCAATTTTCCAAAATCGTTAAATTGACCCAAAATTTAAAAAAGAAACGTCTTTGGGGCTCAAAAAATATTTTGGGTATGGATAGCTAGATTCATTTTCTTTCCAATCAAATGAAAAAATTGGAAAAAATCTCCATCAGTTTTTAACCAAAATACTTTAAATACAACGCAATGAGGTAAATTTTCCAAAATCGTTAAAGTAACCCAAAATTTGAAGAAGATTCGTCTTTAGGGCTCAAAAAATATTTTGGGTATAGCTGTGACGGGAAATGATAAAATTGTTCGATGGTTGGATATTTATACTCTGTGTCCTACGCCGTCTATGGTTTTGGATTCGGCTGCGAAATGTCTGTTGGATAGATCGCATCCAGCAGGATGGCTGAACGAAAGTATGGTGAAGGCATATATGTGTTCAACAATTGAAGCATGTAATAATATTACAGGTGCCGTCATTCGTTTTGAATATGTTGATTGCCTTCTAACACAGCATATTATAGCAGGTAAACCGATTAAAAATGAAAAACTCATCAGGGCGGCTCTTGAAAATCCGAACCAACCTGGAATTTTGGGAGATAACCTTTGTTATCCCTCCTGCACAACCATCATATTTTGATTTGGATCTCACCGCGTCAGATAGACACCACGAAAGATAATATTGCCTCATATCTTCTCCCGTTTATATCGAGCCTCGGAAGGTATGAAGAGAATTTTTCCATTATCCAAAAATGCTTTATTAGGCAAACGGATGTGACAAGCTGTGGTGTATGTGCCTGTATGGCAGTGGACATGATTTGTTCGGACTTCAAAAATGACTTTGGCTTCGTCTCCCTAGACATATTTCGGAGTTGGATGATGTATGCAATTTGTCTTGGATCTAAAAAAAAAACTACATCCGAGAGTACATGCCATATTCAATACTGTATTTGGAAGAGATAGAAGGATAATTGACTAAGAAGTGGAAGCAAATAAACTTGTTGGTTCAATTAACATATCTTCGAAAACTGAAGATATTGACGTAATTTTTGTAATTTTTTTATTATAGGTACATTTTTTGCATATATTTTGCGTATTTCGTTAAATATATGTGCCTATTTGTAGCATACAATTGATTCGCGTGTTTCAATACGTCCGGGCTGTATAGCAGGAATTCTTCATGTTCTCACTAGATCTGGAAGCTTGATTTTAAACTGCAAGACTTTGAATTTGATCGTTAAAGTCAGACAGTCAGTGGTGATAATGGAAGTCAAAACAGTAACTCAAAAATCACCAAGCTCACTAAACGTGAAATTTAGTTTATTGCGTTGTATTAAAAGTATTTTATTAGAAAACTGATCGAAGTTTTCGCCAATTTCTTTATTTGATTAGAAAGATGATGGAACCAGTTATATTAAAAGTATTTTTATAGGAAAGTGATCGATTTTTTTTTCAAATTTCTTTATTTGATTGGGAAGACAATGAAACCAGCTATCCATACCAAAGATATTTTTGGAGCCCCAAAGACAGATCTTCTTCAAATTTTGTTTCAATTTTAACGATTTTGGAAAATTTACGATATTGCGTTGTATTTAAAGTATTTTGTTAGAAAACTGATAAAGTTTTTTTGTCCAATTTCTCTATTTGATTGGTAAGAAAATAAATCCTGCTACATAATAACGTTCAATTTACAACTCTACATTGCCGTTGCTATTAGTTGGAAATATATCACAAAGTGAACACAATTTTATGACATCGTATATTTTGATGCGGGATTTTGCTAGCATTTTGCTGATATGACAGTGGCGAAAAAATAGACCTCTGTGAAGGTAGCAGAAAATCACGAAATTGGAGCTGACAGAATATGAGGAAATTCCTACACGTAAAAAACCAATGTTCCCAATAATTTTTTGCTAAGAAGTGTATATTTTGAGTGATTTAAGGATAGTTATTGGACACGTAGTGGACATAACGAGAGTTTCAAAATTTTGTTGTTATTAGTATTATTTGTCTCCGTCAACACGTTTTGAAGAAATCGCTTTTCTCTTTGAACACTGGACCAATTGCTTTAAAATTTTCAGTGGTTAAAGATAAAAATTTTCTCCCGAAGGCTATTACTTTTTTTTCGCTATGACGTCATCAAAATTACGTGTCCACATATTTGAGCATAGCTCTCTTGTTAAAGTAAAACAATTAGTCATAACACTATTCATCTTTGTAACACGCTAAAACAACTGTAACAGTCCCAATTTCAAATGCCAATTTTCAAAAGAGTTGTTCGAAATTGATTTAATTTCAATAATGATTCATTTTGGGGCAGGTATTTCTCGAAAATCTCCGATAACGCCAGCATAACGACATATTGGGAAAAAAGAAGAAACCTTATAGATTCGAATTCACCATGACAGAATAGTAGCAGCACGATTTGAACTGGCCATATATAATACCAAACATAGCGTATTTTCAGGTAATTTTAGGAAAAATAGGTTTAGGTTTTGTACTTTCACTAAATTCACTAAATAGGTGAACAATCATCTTTTTTAGTTTATATTACACCGATATTAAACGCCTAATACATGTAAACCAGGTATCTGGGCGAATAAAATAGGAAAAAACATTTTACGCCCCTCGTGGATTCTTTTGGAAGTTTCAAATAATTGCAGTTTTGAAATAGTGATTTCTCGGAAACCTCCAATGAAGCCAGCATAACGACATATTGGGAGAAAAGAGGAAACCTTAGAGATTTGATTTCATCATGGAAGAATAGTAGCATCACTTTTTGAACTTGTCATATATAATACCCAACATAGCGTATATTCCGGTAATTTTATGAAAAATATATAGAAATCATAGTTAAAATTGGTTTTGTATTTCTACTAAATTTACTAATATATTGAACAATTATCTTTTTTAGTTTCTAATACACCGATATTAAACGTCCAAGACATTTAAAACAGGTATCGGAGAGAATAAAATAGAAAAAAACATTATACGCCACCTCGTGGATTTTTTTGAAAATTTTGAAAAATTACCGTTTTGGATGGGCGATTTTTCGGAAACCTCCAATAAAGCTAGCATAGCGACATGTTGGGAGAAAAGAAGAAACCTTAGAGATTCGATTTCATCATGGCAGAATAGTAGCAACAGGTTTTGAATTGGCCATTTATAATACCAAACATAGCGCATATTGTTCGATATTTCAACAATTCAGATGTAAAATATTTCGAAGTGATTTTGTGTTTCATCTAAATCGATCAAATGTTATAATTTCACCGTAAAATATATTCTAAAGCATATATAAAATGTAGGTTGGATATATATATGTTGTGGCAAGTATATAATATAAATATGGTCAAACTATTTTAACGTCCTCTCGTGAATAATTCCCAAAATAAATCAGAAGTGATAATAAAGATTGTCTAGCAGCGAATTATTAAAACATTTAATAAAGTAGGTGGTAGAAAAATTGTCATAAATGTTATATCAATAAAATAATTTCACATCAGCACGTTTCCATAAAGTTGTACATGATACTAAACGCATCGTTTATCGTGTGATTATAATATATTTAAAGTATTCGTTGTTACAAATTTTAAAAAATGGGGTTAACCGAATATTTAAGAAATTGAGTTCGAATATATTATTACAAATTATGACTCCAATTCCGATGTATTTTTATGAGTATTATTGAACGATTTCTTCCTCCCACCCGTGGATCATTTTAAAAACGACCCGATATCAAAAATGAGTCGTAATGCTGTCAGTTTTCGAGAAAAAGCTATTCCAAAAACGATAATTTAAAAAAAGTTTTGTGAAGAATCCACAAAAGGGCGTAAAACCATTCTACTATTATATTATACTTAACGAGACTATACGCAACTTGCACCAACTATTTTAAACGTGAAATACGGAGTTAGAAGAATAGTATTTCAAAATATTCACTTGATAGTTTAGTAAATTTAGTTCAACCAAAAAAAACCATTGAAATATTTTACGTGCTAAATACTGAAAAATTGAACAATATACGCTATGTTTGTTATTATATATGGCCAGTGCAAAACGTGCTGCTACTATTCTGCCATGCTGGAATTGATTCTATAAGGTTTCATATTTTTTCCCAATATGTCGTTATGCTGGCTTTATTGGAGGTTGTCGAGAAATCGCCATCCAAAACTGTTATTATTCGAAATTAAATATATCCACGAGATGGCGTGTAATGTTTTTTGGTAATTTATACTCTCTTCTACCTATTTTGAATATATTAAACGTTCAATATCGGTGTATTAGAGAGTAAAAATGATAATTGTTCATTTGTTCAGTAACTTTAGTTGAAATAAAAAAAAACTCTTTTAACTATGATACATGTATATTTTTCATAAAATTACCGGAATATCCGCTATGTTTGGTATTATATATGGCCAGTTCAAAACGTGCTGATACTATTCTGCCACGATGAAATCGATTCTATAGGCTTTTTTTCTTTTTTCCCAATATGTCATATGCTGGCTTTATTGGAGGTTTTCGAGAAATCACTCATCCAAAACTGCAATTTTTCGACATTTTCCAAAATGATCCACGAGGGGACGTAAAATGTTTTGTTTCTGTTTTACACTCTCCGATACTTATTTTGAATGTATTGGACGTTCAATATCGGTGTATTAGAAACTAAAAAAGATAATTTCTCAAATATTCATTAAATTCAGTAGAAATACAAAACTAATTTTTACTATTGTATTTATATCTATATTTTATAAAATTACCTAAAACTATGCTATGTTTGGTATTATATATGGTCATTTCAAAACGTGCTGCTACTATTCTGCCACAATGAAATCGATTCTATAAGCTTTCTTCTTTTCTCCCAATATGTCCTTATGCTGGCTTTATTGGAGGTTTTCGAGAAATAGCCCTTTCAAAACTGTAATATTTTGAAATTTCCATAAGGATCCACGAGGTGGCGTAAAATGTTTTTTTTTTGTATTTTATACTCTCCGATACCTATTTTAAATGTATTAGACGTTCAATATAAGTGTATTATGAAGTAAAAAGATAATTATTAAATTATTTATCAAACTTAGTTAAAATACAAAACCAATTTTAACTATGATTTATATATATTTTTCATAAAATTATCTGAATATACGCTATGTTTGGGATTATATATGTTCAGTCCAAAACTGCTGCTACTATTCTGCCACGATGAAATCGATTCTATAAAATTTTTTCTTTTCTCCCAATATGTCGTTATGCAGACTTTATTTGGGGTTTTATACAAATAATGTTTTGAACTTGACTCGTACTAATCTTTATAACTTCGTTTTTTATGGAATACCTCAAAAATGCATTTTTTGCTTGAATGGCCCTGTTCTTTAAGCATTATTTTAAATTCTAATATATTGTATTTTGATGTGTAAAGCTTGTGGTAAAATCGTAAATATATACTACTACGGTAAAATTATATTTCTTATAAGGCTTTGTAATTTATTTTTGTATCTATAAGAGAACCTTATATGCGTGTGGAAACTATATGCAATGTGTCAAAATATTCTGGCTAAAATTGCTGCTAGCTTCACAGTGGTAGATATAGGCTATCTATACACGGACAGACAGATGCAATTGAAGCAAGGAAATGATAGAGAACATTTGGCAGATATATCCTAATGCTGGAATGACTGAATGATGTGAAGGGATGAGAAATTACTGAACTAGCATCGGTGATATTTATTTTAGCAGTGTTCTGGTTGCATTGATTCAACACAATTTTTAATGGTATGGATTATAAACCCACTATAACATGTGAGTATAGTATTTCTGTATTTTGGTGTTTCTAATCTAGGATTTGCCTACCGTACATCTGTACATGAAAACGGTTTGTTATTCAACATTAAATCATGTTTTAATGCTGTAATGAAATGTTATTATTGGGCCAATGTATTGTTTGTTTTATTGAACCAAATGTTGGGGCATCTAGGAATTGGAGAACTGTGGCCTTCTGACCTAAAATGACTGTATGCATGACTGTAATTCAAACGAACTTAGTTATCATGTTTTCAACATATATTCCTGTATTTGAAGCTGAACATACCAAAAAATTGGGGTTCATATCCACAGTGCATTATTCATTTCTGTTGAGGAATTTAGGAGATGATACATATAATATTTTATTTCAGATTCATTTTCTGAAAGTGGAGATGAAAGTCTTTTCCTGACACTTTCTACTCATCTGTGCAAAATATTGCAAAACCATCCTGTAAAATGGAAAAGATCCTATGGTCGAAATCCTCATCAACTATCTCTTGATGTCAAGTTTTTACCTTTAACAACAGCACTATTAAAAAGAAATGATCTCGTCACAAGACCCTATTTTCATGTGTTTTGGACAGATTGTAATGTAAGTTTGTTTTTAGCATTGTTTCTAATTATTTACAATATTTTCTAGATTCCTCATTCAATGTTATTGTATGCTCAATTCTAGCAATCATGGCAGAAAAAAAATTGAGAATGTTGTTTGGGAAAATCTGTTTTAAAACTATTCTTCTGATATCTATACCCAAACATGTTAATTTGTTAATTTAATTGTTTCAAGGATGTTGATTTTTATCGATCGTCTGTCAAGAGTGAAATTGCATCATGGTTGAGTGAATTATTTGGAAATGATATATTTGACTGGTTGATCGTCATTGTAGCGGGTGATGCATCATCAAAATCTAATAAACCGAAGTTGGCACTACCGCGAACAACTCTGGCAGACAAGATAAAAACTGATTTTTGTTCAAAAAATCCAGACAGGTAAAACCACCTAAAGAAAAGGCACTATTTGTACTTTGAAAGTTTATCAATTTTATCTAATTTGAAATCAAGGATCCAACAACCGTTTGATGTTGCTCAAAGTCTTTGCTTAACTAGTTAGTAAAATCTGAAAATGTATTTGAAATACTGAGTTTTGTGTTCAGGTAAACATGAAGTGCAGCCTATCATTGGTACTTTGTTTTCAGACTATATGTTTTGCAAGATCCAATGAAAGATTCGTCAAAAGCAACTGATTCTTGGTCATCATTAGCAGCTAAAATTGCGTCGTTTGCAGTGTTATGTCTAGAAGATGCTGTTACTAAATATGAAGACAGAGTGAGATCAGAAAGGGAGAGAAGAAATGAAAAATCATGGAATTTTTGTAGCTATTTTATAATGCAGGTAAGACGGGAAAGTTTCTTGGGCAGTCTTGCCATTAAAGTGTTAATGATGAAAAGAATCTCTTTATTAGGAACAAAGTAAATGTTGTGTATATTTTATCTACTTCTAGACAGACTGACATTAAAAGATAATATTTATTTTTTATCTATATGATGGCAGAAAATGAATTAACACTATACAAATAAATAATTTTCCAAATCTGAACTTATTTACTAATATATTTTTGTGCACATTTAGGAGGAACTTGCATTTATGTTTGAAATGCTGTCTCTCTATGAAGAAGCTCTAATACAGTATAATGAATTGGATGCGATGTTCACACAATATCTTCTCAATGCTCATGCAGGAGGTGAGTAAAAGTGTATGTTGACAAATAAATTAATTTGGTAAGTTTGTCCCATTCAATACACAGTCAATTATGGAATATTAAGTGTTTTTTTTTTCCTAAACAAGTTCAGAATGAAAAACTATCATGCATAATTTTGCGATCGTTGACTGAATAATTATTTGTTACTTTGTTTTGTAGATGTTGCGCATTGGTTGTCAAGCTTTACTCGTCCTATTACTCAGTGGCGTTCATTATCACTATGGAGGCGCATTGATGGGGAAACTAGACAAATGTTGGTGGAAGATACTGCTACATTAATAGACATTCGAAATTATTTGTTTGCACGACACTATCATCTACTAGTTGTCATTGGAGATTTAAAAAGAGTCACAGAACTAATGCACACATTTCTACATTCTACAACGTTGGAACTTGATATTCTGGAGGTGATAGATGAAATTTGTTTTGATAACTGATTTATCAAATTTGTTGTACACTCAGTAATTCTGTATTTGTAATTTTTTTTATCACTAGAAACCACTGATTCGCTAAGATCTATAATTTGCAAGATCATACTTGCAACAGAGGAGTCGTTTAATAACATTTGACAAAAGACTTTAAAATCAGCATTGGCAAAAAAAATAGCTAGGTTGAGCTTTTATCATAGAAATTTAATCAAACGGAGTTATACAAAGAATAGGTAGTTTAATATTTGGGGATGCTATCATTAGGAAACTTATAAGAATCAATTGGGCTTTCTAATATCAAACAAATTGCTGTTCATTCTGAGAATACAATAAATCTAAATATGGACGATTTTAAAAATGAATTAAACACTTTTGTTACTTAATTTCCCTAACAGTTCATCTATTTTATTAAGGTTGAATTACCAAATGGTGCAAAGGAATGCTGGGCATTCATGAGTTGTATGGAGTTAACGCAGAGTTTGAGTAGAATTTGTAAACAATTTCAAGAATCAACTGTTCAAGGAAGTGATGTTAATTCAGGCATGATCATGAAAATGACCAGTGATGAATTAAGATTACAAATTGCAAATTTATGGAATTTAGCAAGGCGAAAGGTAAAAATCAAAGCCAATGGCAGTAAAACTGTTATCTAACTTATATTCTTACCTGAAATAACACTAATAATTATGATAATATTTTAATATTCTGATAAAAAATAATTAATTGGATGTGATGTTTGTATCAGGAGGCAAATCTCGGTCTGTTGTCCTATACTAGATGTAGAATATCGCGTTTCTTGTGCTATTGTTTCCAATCAAAAAAAGGAGTTTTGTCGGCGGTACGCGGCTAGAGTGAAAAACACAAAAGTGGTACGCATTCAGTAAAAGGTTGAGAACCACTGAATTTTAGCCATTGTACTTTGTACATAATTATTCTGCACAGGATTCAAATATGCGAAGGACATTAGATAGCAAGCTGTTCTTTTCAGCATGATGAGCTAAACATCGTCTTTAGAATAAGGAATAATGTGATTTCGCTGTCATTGTCAAGTTTTCAAATATATTTCAGCTTTTCAAGTTGGGAGAATTGTGTGGTTTGTCACCTGGAAATGAAACAAGTTCAGAAGATTTACAAACTGTTGTCAATTTGATATCAGGGATGGGAGAAGAAGAGGAAAGAGATGGTCTAGTTAAAACGTCATCTCTGGTTTGTATTTCTCAGAAAATGCTTAGCATACTCTATGCACAAATATGTCAGTGATATTTGGTTTTTAGATATTGAGAGAAGCATTATCTTCCAAAGAAAACTTCCGAACTCAATATCTTGAATTATCAGAATTGGCTATGGGAACATTTAAGCATATGGACAGATATAGATCTGCAAGAAACATTGGGAAAGATCTAGCAGAATTTTATATGTGAGCAAGAATATCATAGTGAATTTGTGAAAAAACAAAAATGGTGTCAATAAATAAAATATTACATTTTTATTCATCAGGAAATCCGATCAACCAGAAAAGGCAGAATCATTTCTTCTGGATTGTGTTCGTATGTATCAAAATGAATCATGGCCACTTTTGATAACAGATGCCAGTGAAAAGTTGGCAAATTGTTATAAACGTCTGTGCAATGTTCGTAGGTACACATCATTTCTATATTTATATATATATACCCAATACTGCTTTTCATTTCTCATTAGTTTGGAGTAAAATAGCAGTTTTCAAATAGTTTTCAATCCGATTGCATGTGGTCTTATAAATTTTTTTTATGTTTTCAGTATCATCATATGCTTAACAGAATGTCATTATCAGGGCTGGCAAAGTGCACATTCTGTCACAGGAATATATTAGCCTACATTTTAGGAAAATAGAGTCTAACGCTTTGAATTAATAATATTTCCGGTCATATTGAATACACTCTCTGATTGTATAGTTATAGCTAGTAGCTCTTGATCTTAGTTAATACTGTTCTTCTTTTGATATCTCCAAAGTAGAGGTTACACATGGAACATTGAAAGGTTTGTCACATACCGTATGTGCTCGCGAATAGGCCGAGTTTAAAACTCAAAAAAAAGTTGCCAAACTAAGGGACCGTCTTATTCGCGCATAACTCAGAATGCACCAAAAAATCAGCTCATTTGCACATCAGAATTTGATCACGCAACGAGATGGTATTATGCTGACTTGCCGGTAATTCCAAAAGCTTCAAAACATACCAAGTTCTCACGATAAAAAGCGTGCACGGACACACACAATCGCTTGTGAAGGTGGATTGGTTGTTTAACACGTGACGCTTGTACAGTCTGTAATTAGTTTGTTTTCGCTTGTGTTTCTTTTACATAACAACAACAATGTCGATTTACGGCCAGTTGTTTCGTGGTGAAAACGTAATTATTTGGTGCGCTATCGCCGTAGAGGCAATTAACGGCGCGCGACTTTTAATCACCTTTACGATATGTTATCCGTTAGAGGGGGTGATAAGGACTCTTATCGAAATTAACCGCGTTGTGGACGATCAAAGGAAATTGTTTTATGCTGACTCAGGGACTCTCTTAAACTCCCGACAACAATCCCTTCCATTAATACAAATCACGACGCATGAAAAGCAATATAGATATTATTAATATGAATTTACAAGTAAGAGTTACGAGTAAGAATCTACGGCCGTCGCTAACAAACAGAAATGATAAACGTGAGAAATATTTGTGTTACAGCAATTTTGTTTTCTTTCTGCGCATTTCTTAAGGCGTCTGGCGTGTTAAGATTTGTAGCGATTTATAAGAATGTGTTAATACAGCGCTATTTCTTTCCTCGAAACGGACAAGGAACGAAATTAATCGCCGTTGTGGCGATCAAAGGAAATTGTTTTATGCTGATTCAGGAACTCTATTTTAAACTCCCGACACAATCAGGATGCACTGAAAAGCAATACAGACTTTATTTAACATAAATTAACAAGTAAGAGTTACGGGTAATAATCCACCTACCGCCCTCGAACGATAAACGTGAGAAATGTTTGCGTTACAGTAATTTTGTTCCCTATGACCCTATCTACGTTTTTTTTGAGGCGTCTGGTGTGTAACGATTCGTAGAACCGGCTTATGTGCGATTTTTTTATAAAATCGCCGTTTTTAGGGAGTCTGCCTATTCGCGAGATAGGCGTAATTTCGAGTAAATACGGTAACTGACATGTAAAAACGAAATCAGGTTTTACTATAGTACTTCTACTGTCCAGAGTACGATGCATATCTCTTTCAAAAGAGCGATCTTGAAACTATCTCCATCTGTTACCGGTTGACGGTTAAAGTGTTTTCCTTGAAATTCCCACCCCTAGTCATTTACTCATTGAATAATGAAAGTTATTAAAAATGCCTTCAAAAGCAAAAGAAAAGCTTTAGTTTTTTTTATCATTATCATGGAGTCAAGGATTATAAACTTGATTTTGAATTCTTGATACCATCTACTTTGATGGGACTAGACAAGCAGAAAGTTAGGTTTTCACAAAATATTTTTTTTTAACTTGGTTTTTAATATTGCCTCGTAACATCCTTTTTCAATATTTTCTGTAATCTCTCCATATCTCGCAGGTATGTTCGACTCTGCTGTGTTTTAATGTGTGATCAATATTTATCAGAAGAAAAACAACTTTATTATTGCAATGAACTTCATTCTAATTCAACTGATTTCGGAGATAACAGTTTACCAATAATGTTGACAGTGTTTGCCAATGTAACGTAAGTTTATTAGTATTTATTATATTTTGTACTTTTGTCTACTTTTTTGTTATTTTCACCACTGTTGGGAAATCTTGGGAGATCTATAATCATAGTTTATATGTAACTTTTAAAAATTCATTAGACGAAACTTTGTTGATTACCCGTGCCTGATAATTTTTTATGTTTATATGATATGTATAAGATGGTTCCCGTACAATTGAACCCACGTACATTTGAACCCACTGCAATTGCACCTGTATGCTATTGCACCTATGAAAATTTTTTTTGTTTTGCGGATATTTGAACCCATACTAACCTAACCCATGGGTTTTAGCACCCGCATATAGATTGAACCCGCGGATATACACATGGGTTCAAATGTACGTGGGTTCAAATGTACGGTCACCATATAAGATATAATAGTAAAAGTAATATATATTATATTGGCAAAGCTTTTCTTTACCAGCTAATATTTGTACCACTTCTGTTTTAGATCCGTTCAATTTGTTCCTGCCCAAACAACCTTTCGATACAACTCAAAACAACAAATTGTATTGCATGTACATTCAAAAGCACCAAAAAATATGCAATTTAAATCTGTGCAGTTGGGTTTAAGAAGACATGAAAACCACGATGCAGATGAGAATTTAGACAAATCTGCTGGTTGTATTACATTAGAAGAGCAAGATGAATTTGATGCTTTCTCCTATGGCACTGTATGTGGTTTTTCACTTTTATACATTTCATGAAATTGAAAGGCTCTTTAAGTGGTTGAATTAATGTATGTACGTAATTATTCTAGCAACTGGAAATTTTGAAATGAAGAGGACAATGAGAAGTAATTAGAGTAATGAAACTTATATGTAATCAGAATATATACCAAGTGATTCAAGAGTCTTGCTGCACACTAACACAAATATATTTCTGTATCGTTTCGTCTGATCAAGGTTACAGAAATATATTTGTGTTAGTGTGCAGCAAGACTCTTGAATCACTTAGGATAGTTATTGTTACCCTCGCTACAGCATCCTTGCATCATATGCATACGGATCCGCCGGCACAAAAGCATAACCATAGAAGAAGGATAAGTAGTTAGTCTTGCAGAAACCAAATCATTAGTAGAATATATGCGGTACTTCTTTATATTGATGGAAGTTTGTTTCAACCAAAATCTCATTGTTATCTTGCAATATTGGCTGTTTGGCATAGGAATAATATCTGCAGAGGCCAAGTCTTTTGACTTTTCAGTTAATGTTTGGCCACTGTGAATCCTGAATGACCTATTTCTGTTCGTGGGGTTTTGCTTACCGAATATGGAGATTTTTTGCTCTATAATTGTATACATCAGTGATTCTCATGGTAGAAATTCTTGAGGACAAACTTGAGGGATATTGAAATTCACCATTTTGCATAAATCATTCTGACTACAGAATTAAATCAAATGGAAATATTCACACGGGTGGGAACGAGTTATGGAATTGTCCAGCTTCTAATTGATTGCCTTGATATAGTCAGATGAGTAGACTCAAGGCTGTTTCGGACTAAAATGAAGCCTTCTCTCAACAAGGTGGTGGCATTATACAAAGTTTGCCTCCCTATTCAACCCACATGATGGATGAGAAACACTGGTGTAGATTAAAATTTAGGATTTAGCCTTTTGTAAGTGTTGTCAATTGATTCGTTGTTCCATTTTTTCTATAATGAACTAAATTTTTCAGTTTTCATCAGATGAAGAGACTGAAGGTGAAGCAGAATCAGCAATTATCACAAGAGATAAATCTTCTGATTCCATCAGTAACCACATTAAAGCACAAAGTAAGCCTAGTCAGTTGTCAGTCACATGAAAATCAATATTGTTCATTCATCGAAGCATCAACATTCTAAATCTGTAGTGCGAATATTTGACTGTAAATTGTTTGATTCAAAAATTTATTTTATTCTACTTTTACCAATCAAATAAAGTTATCTTCTGTGTATAAGTGTATAATAGTAAACATTTACTGCAGCTCCAAAGAATCACATACACCGAAAACGATTGATATCAACTACTAGTTATGACATAATAAGTACAGTCACACAAACAACAAACTTGGGCCCAGACGGATCAGTGCAGGTATCGTAAGTTTTGATTGTTTTAGAGTTGAATTAATAATAAAATTACTAGTATACAGCGCTGCCTGAATTACTGCACCACTATGGTGAAAATTCTTTTCAGAAAAATAATATATATTTATTGTTATGATTTAAATGCACTTGTTTGTTTTCACAATGACTCCTGTTAATCATGTTTTATTCAATCTGATTTATATCTAATTAACATTATTCATGTTGAATAATTCTTTGTAGTTGAGGCTCAGTGACATAGAGAAATTATTCATATTTACAGGGTAGAAATTATTTTTAAAAGTCACTCTGATCAGCAGTGAAGACATTTAAAATGTCGAAGATATCTACTTTGAATTTTGCAGTGTTAAATTGACTTATTTTAGTTAATCATTTTGCTTTAATTTTTTTAATTATTGTGTTCTATTTCTTCGATAATTATGTGTGTTTCAAATAGCTTGTGACTTTGGAAAATCCATTCACATTACAATCAAAATATGTTGCCAACAAACTACCTCCCGTTATCCATATTGCATATGAGCTTGAAGAAAAGGTAAGTCATTGTATAAACCTCATACTAAAACTTAACATACCTAATTATAATGCTTTGAACTGTATTATTCCTTGTTAAATTCCAAGTGCACAACAACTTAGTCAGGGAAAAAGGTGGTAAATTGTAAATTCAAAGTTTTTCGGAAATTTTTTTTTTAGTTCTGGACATTTTAGTTTTGAGAGAATATCTTCAATGTGAGTAAAAGAATTTAAGTTTGTCCAATGTCTACACTGTTCAACGTCATCAGTTTAGCAATTAGTTTATTTAAATTGGAATTTTATTGAATTAATTTAATCTTTCACAGCAGCAGATATTTGAATACATGTAATCTATACAACCTGTCTTTCAGACAAAAACTACATTCAAACTTTGACTTTCAGGATGACGAAATATCATGGGCAGGCATTACCTGCCGAGCTGCTAGGAATTTACTACGACGGCAAGACAGCTGTCAATCTTTAACCAGTATTCATTCAAGTATGACAAATATTGTCATGGAAACATACAACCATAATTTAGAAGTGAAAGATGTTCTCATCCGACCTGGAAATAATAGCATTGTAATAGACATTGATGTAAGTGCAAATCATTACGAAATAGCTACTTACACTGTCGTATTGTAGTTGAGTGGTTCTCAAACGGAGGGGCTCGTCCCACGTAAGGGGGCGTAGACAAGTTTTTGAGGGGTAGTGAAGCTATTTAAAATAAAAATATTTGTTAGATATGATCATGCCCGCCTTATTTGGATATTCACATTTCTTTATTGTTTAGACTCTGAGCAATAAATTTTTCCTCGTTTTTAAAACTTTCGATTTATTTCATTATTCACGTTCCGTTCCATCCACGTATTTTCAGCATTTTTTTCGAATAAAACATACTTTCACCTTACTATCTGTTATTTGTAGCTTATTGTTAGCTAGTTATTTTTGAGGTGGCGTGTGAGACTTGACACATTCTAAAAAGGGGACTCTGATTAAAAACTTTGTAAACAACCGTTTTAGTTGATAACATCAACACAGTTTACTTTTTTATATTATAATGTGAGCTATAACTATATTTTTGTTCTCTGTGCATTTGGTTGCAAACTTCCAATTTTATTTTGCATTTGAGTCTGCATTTAATTGTTTTCAAATTTTTACAGACTTCAAAAACAGGGCAATACACTTTGAGGCAAATAATATTTTCAGTCAACAGTCTACATTTTATATTACCGAGAATATTACCCGTTATTTCATACAGTGTTACAAGGGAAAAACCAACTCTAGTATTGGAACACGAGCCGAGGTGAGTGTCCTTAGGCTTATTGATTCAATAATTATGTTGAATTATACCCGTAGAATTATATAGTCTTTTATCAAGGGTTAGACTAAACCTATGCCATAGTATTTATTCTTTATGAAGAAGCCTATGTTTTTGATTAACATATCCACTTCCCATTTTTAAATCACTTTGACCCATGTTCCAGCTTTAGTGACTACACCACCCTTGGGTAGAGTAATCAATAAATCACAGCAGGCTAAGATAAAAAAAACTAAATTCCTTCACATGCATTTTGTTCACGAGCCAAATCAGTTTAATAAATTCAAAATTGTCTGTATTTTCCTTACCACTGTATTGCGCTCCCATGCAATGCCAGCATAGTTAGCACCAATTGCTGCAACCAGTACATTTCTCATGTATGTATTTTATTTTTTAGATTACTCTGCAATATTGAACAGGTTATCACTGTTGTGTTATCATTGGGAGATTATCATATCGACGCATCAGATAGTGATCAAATACTTGTGATAAATTTACCAAAACAACTGAAAATATGTAGAATTGATTCACTTACTGTTCAACTTGAAGATGGTATGTAAAGTTCTATACTGCGTTACTATATTTAAATGAGAATACAATTATCTCATGTGCATTCGTAGATATTGCAATATATCCATTTTCGTAACATTTCAAATGTTTGAATACATTCAAAACTGGGTATATTTGATATAGTGGTAGTAAATTCTCGTACAGGAGTAATTTAGAATATAGATATATTTAAAAATTTATTATTTTAAACAGAAAAATTGCTTAATTTTAATAGCCTACATCACTGGGAAATGATTGAAAATTAATCAAAAGTGTGTTTTCACCGTCACCAAAAAAAGAGAAATTTTCTAAAATATGGTTTCTCTGCATTTGCAAGTTAATTTGCTGAATTTCTAAAGACTTAATCTTAATAACAAGTCTTATTTCTAACTTACTATATTTTGTATTACAGGTACCAAAACTGATCAGCCTTTGCCAAATATAAAAAGTGAAGGAACAACATGCTCGATAACTCTTTTGTCAAATGTTCCAGTACATTCCAAAATATCAATAAATATTATATGTATTTGTGGACAATCTATCACAGTCCACGATTTGGGTCAGTAATTTCTTTTCTGTCTTAATCAGTGGTTCTTAAACTTTTTGAGCCGCGCCCCCCTTTGAAAATATTTACAAACTTCGCGCCCCCCCTATTTTTGCTTTGAAAAAATGCTTTTGTGATGGGCAGGTTGCTATTTAATAAGATGGCACTATAAGAGTGTTGGTCTCATATCGTCATTGCTCAGATTGTTTAGTCATAAAATGCTTCGGAGTACAACTTTGCCATTCACTGTCGTATGTATAAAGCCAAATAATGGTTGGTCATCATACATTCTCGTATTTCCCCTCAGTTTGTAATACCTGGTAAAGACAAACTAATTTTTAAGTAAAACTAAACACGCAATGAACCTATGCTTTAATGTATTTTCTGCTTAAACGTTTACATAAGAACCTAAAATTTCAATCAATTGTTTACTTCATCACTATTGAGCGATGCCAAAATTATTTACTGTGTGTTAAAAATAAGCAACAATTACAGACTTCTTGGCTTGCCTAACGTTTCAAACAAAATGGAGAAGTACAAATGAATTTATGTAAATTTAAAAGCAGTTCATTTTTTAATAGTTATTATGAATGTGGACGTTTCCTCGGCCCTTGACCACTGAAAAATAAAGTCGCTAAGGGGTTTGCGATTGCATTTTGTTTAAATCTCGATTGTTTTCGTAAGCGTGGCCCGCTATGCCGTAAAAATCTTGATTTTGGTGATTTTTCTCCCTAAATCAGAAATTTCCCTCGACATATTCTTGTGTCGCGAAGACGATTATAATTACTTTTTTTATTTTCGAATAGAACCATGACATCTCTGAGGAAAACGAGTTAGTTTTTATTATATAATCATCAGCGACGAGATGCTAAAGATAGAATAAAGTAGTGAATCTGCAACCAAATATTTCTTTATTGTAAAAGCGAGATTATAAAATACTAAAAATAAAACTGAAAACACCATGAGTTTTGTTTTGGGGTGGACCGCGACAGATTAAAAACACTTTCTTAGACATTGCAAATCTCATGAATTCCTTGTGCCTGCGGCACACCAGTAGTGTTCTAAAACTACCGACTTGAAATAAATTTTACTCCGTGGGATTTTATCGTAGACTAAGGAATTAATCGAGCATTGCGATAAAGCGGAGTAAGAGTTGCAGGGACACCTCATAATGGTGACATTGGCAAGAATACAAATCAAAACAAAATGTAATCGGGCACTTTGCCACACATTTTTATGGTTGCGGATTACCGTGGTATTTTGGAGTAGTGGTGCTTTTATTTTATCGACGCAATCGCAAGATTTAATTTATCACAATCAAATGAATAAAGCAACCATTTTAAATGAATATTTTATTCAACACGGAAACCATTACATATCCGTTGACAAAGTTGGGTTGGCTCTTATAAGGACTGGCGTAATGTCGAGGACAGACTCAGGATTCGTACCGCGGGGATTTCGAGTCGATGAATATGTATTTTAATTGTACTAAATTAAGTATACTTTCTGGGATATTATACCAGATTTTTCTAATGAAGTCAACGAATTCGCATCAGTGCAATATATATCAAAACGAAATATAATCGGGCAGTTGATCACACTTTGATATGTCCGCGGATTGGCGTGGTATTTTAGATCGGTAATGAGTTTATTTTGACATGAGTCGCCGCAACCGCAAGTTACCTTGAACACAAATGAATTAAAATAGCGAGACATTTTGAATTTTTTTAGTTATTACGAGACGGAAAAAATTATTATACAACGAAAAAGCCGGTATTTTTAATGAACGCGGAGACCGTTTCAGGAGCCGTTACATGTAAATTTCCGATTCCATCTTGTGACCTCTTGCGCCCCCCTTGTGAGCATCTCGCGCCCCCCTAGGGGGGCGCGCTCCCCAGTTTAAGAACCACTGGTCTAAATGATTGTCTTATTTTACCCAAGCACAGTTTACCATAATTGATCACTAAGATAATTTTTATACATAGGCCTATATATAGCCAAATTTTAAATCTGTAAATTGACAAAAATATATGTTTATTGTATTACATAAATCGATGGAGAATGGAGATTGCAGTGATAACTTTCACCATGAATAATTTTTTTATCACTACCTTAGATTTGTGACCTGAAGTCCACTACTCAATGTAATTTTTACAAATTAATAAAACTTTAACTACAATATGTAATTATATAACACGGCTTTGCACTGAAACTAATTTTGGTATAAAAAGATCCCACTACATTTGAAATTGTTATTTCTATTTATCCAATAATGTTTTGAAGTAGTTGTCAAATTATGTGCAATGTACTATATTCAGCTGTATTATTAATATTTAATGTTCAGTCAAGGCAATACTTTGGATAGCTATAGGTGTATTATTCACAATCTATTCATAGCAAAAACAGAATAATTTTATTTATTTATCAGGTTTCAAGCATCACCGGCGTACACAAAGTGCCCCTCCGACAATAATTCATGAAAAATTATTGAAAGATTGTGATGACACTGACAGTATTAATGGTGATGCTGCCAAACAGGGAAATAAAGATGACTTATCGGTTCGTGTTAGCAGAATACCTCATTCACCATCAATCAGAAGAGACAATCGTGGTGGCGAATCACCTGTTAAAAAGTTTTTATCTTTTGTGCGTGAAGTCGCAGATCGTGTTGAAAGTAAAAATGCCAAATCAGAGGAAAGCAACAATGTCGTTCCCTCACAGCCAATTATTGTTGTTAAAGATGACTTTTTAGAAGTGACATTAGACGATCCAGCAGAAATTGTACAAAATACAACTCTTGCCAAATGGTTTAATTCTGATAAGGATAAAACACCAAGTATTTCATCGAACACTGAAAAATCATATTCAGACAACAATAAGGATATCAGTGAAAACAATAATCTACATCTGGAAACTATCAGCCTTAACAGCCTGTCTCCCTCAAAGGTAGTAAATAATTTGGAAAGATATTTTATTGCTATTTCGCTGTCAGTTTATCAGTTGTATGTCAATAATCAGTATTCAATGGATGCAAGGGATTGTTATTCAACGAAACATTGAAGATATGATAGCAGCAGTATTTTTTTCATATTTATTGTGATTTGAATATAAACTTACTTGTTCTTGCTTGGTAGTACACTAACAATTTTTCGAACCTTATATTTTTATTTTTAAACAAACCCATCATATGCGAGTTGGATTTCCGTCTTTTTTTATTAATCCTCAACCATAGTTGCCATATTGTATTCTTTCCAATATGAGATTTTATATGTACTCAATTTTTTTTTTTGTTCAGAGGTCGACTAAATCATTCGGCAAGCGTAGAACGTCCAAATCTCCTGCTCATCTTCCACATCAGCATGACAATATGTTTGCAGTACTTGAGGAAATTGAATGTGATGATAATGAAGTTTTATGTAATGTGTGTTGAAATATCATTTTACTTTGTTGCAATATCAAGAATGATTCAATACTCATTACACCAATAAGAATACAATACGATTAATGGAAATTTTTAATTTCAGGTTTCTTTCGATCTACCATGGAATGATTTGCCACGTATACCCACTTGTGTGACTTTCAATAGATTGTTTGAATTTTCTCATAAACTGCATTGGACTCTAGAAAAATGTAACAGCTCGTCAGATTTTGTTGTGATGATTTCTGTGAATGTTCGGGTCTTGTCACCTTGTTCTTTTTTGATTAAAAACCACAGTTTAAAGTTTAATAATGGTGAAAAAGTTTCTATAACACAATTAAATGAAGAAGATAAAAAGGTGAGCAATTTATTAAAAGATTTGAAATTATTACATGTATCATGATTGCCGTTCATCAAGCAATTGGTGTCACCACTCCCACAAAGAAAAAAGTATACAGTTGAAATGACAATATGGTAGATACTTCAGTTTCAACTGCTGATGATTTATTTGCCACACAAATACAAATGTTTGGTTGTTATTTAATCCAATTGTTACTGAATAGGTTCTTAAAAGTCAAAAAATATCTCGTGAACTTCATTCGTTTCCGGAAATATATTTCACAATACAGCGGCAATAAGGTTGGGTACTAAATCCCTTGCAATAAGTATTGTCTGCATACTTGCTCAATATTCTGCTTCAGAAAAGCACTCTTTTCTCTGTCTTTGCAAACTAAATAGTAATGAAGTATGTGCAATTTTATTAAGATAATACAGCCTGCACAAGAGATTAATTTCGGGTGGAAAGTTGAATTTTTATCATCAATTCCTCCTGAATGTAATGCACAGTTTGATATGGATATTGTAGATACTAATCAATCTTCTTCAAGGACTCCGGCGGTTTCATATAAATTTGAAATTGGGCATACACGGGTAAGTTGAAATTTTGAATTAAAAAGACATGAAAGTAATCATGCTTTTACATTTAGTCACTAGTCACTACAGAATAACAGGCAACCTTGCACAATTTTGTCTGTGTTAAATCTTAATTGCATGTATAGTGAATTAGTGATGAAATCATTATTTGGGCTATTCCAAGTGACACTACAGGACAATTCCAGAAATTTTGCATGTTGTTAGATGCAATATATTTTTACATTTTCAGCTACATGTTTTTTCATTGTCCAATCAGTTGCTTTATTGAATATGTTAAAAATTGCACAAAAGTTACACCCAAGACTTACTTAGTGGATATAAGAAATACAGTAAAATATAGCGTGATATACAGGATGGCAAATCCACCATGCATTAAAAGTACATTGTGACATTGTGTTGTGCTGTAAATTTTTGCGATGGTACAGCAGGAGCCCATGATATTTTCTGGTGCAGTAGCTGAAGGACCCCTCTATGTGTTGCTCAACTTATCTAATGTAACACTGTAAATCCATGCCAATAATGTGTATATAGTATGTGACACTACAGGACATTTTTCCACTTCGGAACAACGGCCTCTATCATCTCTTAAAATTCCGGTAATAAATCGTTAAATGGGTGAAGAAATGTCCGACAGCACTGCAAACATTTAAACTTTATTAACTTAAATTCAGTGCGTCTATTTCATATAAAATAACTGTATAACACTATCAAACACTTTATGTCCTGAATCATCACAAAATATGTCAATTATACCAAAATTTCTACATTTCAGGCAATTTTTCAAAAACCATCAAAATCCTGGGTGTAATTTTAACTTTTTCTGTGAAAGGAATGCAGTCCAATAAAATTCCAATGTCTTTTCGAATAAAAAATAAAAAAAATCACTTTCACTACATTTTTGAAAAAATTGATGGAATTCAACTTTTGCTTGGAATGGCCCATTTAAGCAAAATTTGAGGATTTTGAGATGTTTCTTGTTGTTTTTACACCCAAAAGCAAAGTAGATCGGAGTACTAAGTCATTTGTGTTGTTTAATTTCTTTGAAGACTATATACACAATATCGACACAAATTGGTGAAGGTTCAAAACTTTTTTGTGGAAATATGGCCAAACTGGAGATGGTTGTGAAACGTCTTCGCAGAGATAATGAACATGAACATACAAGAAGTGGACAACAACTTCTTATGTATCACGGTAAGTGAATAGGTTTATGGCATGAATTTGGCCTTTGTTCAAAAGTTAATTCAGAATAAGGCCTATCATTTTGTGCTTGGTTTGTAGTAAAGTTTATATTTATTTGTATTCATTTTTATGAATGTCCTTCCATTGAATTTAATACAGTATTTTAGTGCAATGTGCGGGTAATTAGCATATGTGTATAAAAGCTGCACTATAGTTTTTGCAAAGATTTTAACTTATTTTTCTTGTGCAGTTGTTGATACTCGTGGAAGATGGGCAGTTTGTGGGAAAAGTACTGGTATTCTGTCCCTACCTGTTGCACAAGTTGATGGGGTGGAATGTACTGCTTCTCTTGAAATAATGCCACTCATAGAAGGACTACTACATCGACCAAATGTTATTTTACAGCGATATCTGAAAAGAAGATCTAGCGAATTTGGTTAGTGATGTTTTTTATTACTCTAAAGCAGGGGTTTTCAACCTTTTTTCTGTCAAGTACCCCCCCGAGTCACGAAACAATTAACGCGAACCCCCGGTAATCTGACACCGAACAAAGTTGTGATATATTGACTAACAATTTGTTGAAACAACAATTTATAGTCCAGATGTAACTACATTTAATTTCCATCTTACTATTATTGCCCTAGTCGTCCGCCTAACTAATGAATTCTTGAAATCCCTCTCAAGTTTCAATAGGAATATCACTTTTTCCAATGCTCGCAGCACGCTGTCTTTGGAAATTTCAGTTTTCTTGCAAAGCTGTGAATTTCACATTGTTGCGTCACAATCACAACAACGCAAGATCAGGGAAAATCTACGTTTCAATTGGCATCCAGTTTCAATTGGCACGCATTTTCCTCCGGTAGTAATAAAGGATATTAAAAAACAGCAAAACACAAAAACTCGACTGCCATCCAAGTACCCCCTGAAATCTTCTCGTGAACCCCCGGGGGTTTGCGAACCCCAGGTTGAGAACCCCTGCTCTAAAGACTGATAAAATAGCATTTCTGTTTTCAGATGACGTCACATATTAGGTGTACAATTTATATAGTTTTTGTGAACGATATGCGACGTTTTCATTGATTTTTTTAATCAAATTTGACTTTTCATTCCAAGATGAACAGCTGAGTTCTACAGAGAGTCCAGTTTTAAAGCCGCCACGTTTAATGGACTTCAGACGAGGTGAAGTTTTGAACCTGGATGAATTCAAACAAGTTGAAGTGTTGGTACCGTTTGAACTCGCAGAGGACAATGGAATTGATAATACACATCCTAATTTATCAAGTAATACAAAACTATAGTATTATTATGTTGAGTATTTTTGTGGGATATTGGCGGCATATAAAGCATGGGGAAGGAATATAGGCCTGTTCTCAGCATTGTGAATTTTTAGTCCTTCGGTCTTCATCCAATATATCTATCGGTTGTAAGTACTTCTGGCAGCAACTACATGGAGCGTAGTCTATTGCAGGGGTGCACAACACGAGGCACGCGTGCCAAATTTGGCACGCCATACGCTCAAACGTGGCACGCGAACAGTTTTGTGAAAAAAAAATATTTATGATATACATTAAAATATCACGTTTATATCAAAATCGGCAGTTTTTTCAGGACAATTGAATTGTTTCAATAAATAGATATTCGTTATTATGTAGTGTTATTGCAATTTGTTTGTTTTACTGGAGTTTATTTACAATACCACAATTGTGTCTGGCACGCGACAACATTATTTTGAAAAATTTGGCACGTATCCTCATTTGAGTTGTGCACCCCTGGTCTATTGGGTTAGGGATTTGAATAAAATGGTTATGTACATGATTCAAAGACTTTTACAAAAAAATCCATGAACGACCTTTTGTGGTTCACCTTCCTCTGCGTTCGTTTGGTGCAATTGAACTACAACCTGCCTATAGTGTTACAATATATTGTGTGAGGTTTTGAGATTTTATTTTGTTGCACCAAGGTGTTCCTTCATGTTGTACTAATTATTGAGTGCATGTTTGGGATTTGCATCGCAGTGCTAATTATAAAAACACTATTCTGCAGCTCTTGTTGCGTGTCGGCCAGTGGCCGTGAGTTGAAGCAGGAAACGTTACATGGTTCCCCAGTGATATAAGTCTCTGCTTTTCATCGATCTAGCAGTCTTAACAGAAAAGTGTTTGTCAACAGCTATCAACTCTGGCTCGTTGCCTTATAGATAGTTTATTTCGAAAACTCCATAACAAACATATATATTAAAAATGGAGAATTCTGGAGAGCAATCAAAACCTATAAAAAAGTTTAAAACATGAGAAGTATCTCATGTGAAACGAAATACACGATAGTATTAAACTTTTGGGCTGTTGTACTTTCAACAATTACGTTGATAATGACCAACAATCTCATGCGAAGATAATGTGGGGAGTGGAATGTTATAAATTTGCGACGATAGTCCTACTCATGAAGCCATGAAAGCTTTAAGAAAAACCAAGCCATGAAAAACTACATGCTATATTGGGCATTGCGGAAAAAGTGATAAGTGTTTTAGTTTAATAGACAAACAAACGCGAAACCATGGCGGCAAATTCGGTGTGCGGACACTCATAAAAGCAATTATCAGAAAAAAACACTAATCACACGTGAGCAGGTCTGTAGCCTAATTGATACATTGACGTGGCCAACATTGTTAAAACATTACCGGTATACACACAGAGAATAAAACAAAAATATGCCATTAAATGAATATTTAAAAACGTTGCGCATTGGTATGGTCATAGTAAGTTACACTACAAATTATTTACACATATATAGTTGAATACTCATTTAGTGAGGCGCGGCGGTGTGGCTCGATGGGCTAAGCGTTAGGAATACGCTCGCCACCGCACCTCTAATTACTCTGCGTGGGTTCGCAGGTTCGAATCCCATGCAGGAATGGTTATGTGCGAGAGGATTGCTGGACTCCTCGCCGTCGTTGGGTGGTTCACGTAACCGCTGGTCGGTTACGGCTTCCTCCACCACCAAGTCCATGCTTCCGAAAACAAACAATACAGTAAAACTAATCCCATACCTGACTAGGATTGGTAACCGGACGAGAGGCCGTGGTTCGCCATATGGATAAGCCGGCTTTCCTCTCCCCCGGGGTAAATATGTAAATCATATCCTATCCTAGTATTCAAGCGGAATTTCTAGCTGTAGCAGTATCTGCTGATAGTCCGCAATTCAATATCATAATCTTCTTCACAAAATATTCCTTCAGTGCTGGTTCATTGTTTACAATTTAGTCTTTCTGCACGTTCAAAAATGCGACCGCAACCGACGACTGCCAAACGCGTATTTTAAATATGGTTACTCGTCGTTTTGCTGTCCGTCTCATTCAATGTGGATATCCTTATCACAGACGTCAGTGGTGTCCGACCGGTATGTGGAACCCGGGTATCCACAACATATTTTAGGTGGTCCATGAGCTTTGTGGGCATAAGGAAATCTCACATAGCAAAATGCCTGATATTTGCCAATAGGGAATACGTTTTAAATTATGACAAATCCAGGCTGCAGCGCAACAAAAGATGATATTCATAGGAACGAACAGGTACGTTTAAAATGAGAATAAAATAATTATAACATCATTATTTTCTTTGTAATAACTATTACAATTGGTGGTTGAAATTGATTCTCCCCATGATATTTTAACTTATCCTTGCACCGATTGCATTTGGGAACATGGGCGTATTATTAAAATAAATTACGGTATATATATTCGACAATGAATTCTTCACTTAAAAATATTTGCCTCGGGAATTTGAATAATTACCCGATCGTGTTTAAACAAATTTAATCCAAAATTTATCTACCATCAAATCAGATCATTTTTTGTGCATAATGTATAGTTTCTAGATACCGAAAGTTTGATAAAACAGCACCCGTCTCAATTTATTTATTCATGTACAGGGTGATTCAAAAAAACGGAACCCATAGATTTATCAATCGCTTTCGTAAAAATGGAGCAAATCATTTGTTTTTGTTAACACTTGAACTTCTATTTGTGTATGATTGTAGCCTACCCCAAAGTTTCACGAATCTAGGAAGTTTTGCACAGAAGTTATTTTCTGTCTAGACTAGAATTATGTTCCAAATGACTTTCTATCAATGCAGACAGACTTGTATCCGTTGCGTCGCAAATTTGTCAATCACCCACCTACCGTAGGTATCTGTACTTCTGTATGGTAATGTAATATCAAAAATAGTGATTACCTGAGTACAACACCTCCGAAGAAAATTTCACAGGGACTATTACACCCCATAAAGTGCGTTGTTGACATAACTTTTGTGCAAAGCGCCCTAGATTCCCGAAACCCTCGAGTTCACCCATGTACAAACAGCAGTTTAACCGTAAACAATATTTAATAAATTTTCTTCCTTTTTACAAACGTTATTAAAAAATTTAGGAGTTCGGTTTTTTGGGCCACCATGTATTTGCATTGGGTGGTAATTCGCTCAGATGGACGTAAATGGTCGTATCGTTTCGGAAATTCCGGATTCATGGTAACCGGACAAGAGGCCGTGGTTCGTCATATGATTTAGCCGTCTTATCGCGAGACATAAAATCAATTATCTCGTAAAAAAGAAAAATATACGAACAAATGAAAAAAAATTGCCACACCGTATATAAAAGTACCTGTAATTATAATAAAAATAAATAAGGCAGTATGATCAAGGTAGGAAAATAGGTTATCAAATATTCAAGTAAGATTTTTTTATAGTCGTGGATTATAGGCAAGGAAATATATTTGAGGTTGTCGATCACTGGGTCAGTTCAAATTCATCATGGATGATCCATCAGTCTGCAAGTTTTTTTCTATTAAGCGGATAAAACAGCCGTGGAAAGTCAAATTGGCTATGGCTTGTGTAGTCTGTCCTGAGTAAATTAGAAATTATTTTCAGACCAGAAGAAGTAGGATCAATGTTTTTCTGACCACCTTCGACGCACTCTGTCTTTCTACAGGAGTGTTGACTCTTCTACGGCCCATGGGCCGAGGCCACGGCCCATCTAATTTGGCCACGTCGCGCAATGTGGATCACGGAACGTCGCGCAATGTGGATATCATCTATTGGCAGGACTGCTTGGTGTCAAGTCCAGAAGCCATCTTACTTGTGCTTCACTGTTTGCGGACAGCATTTCGTTGATGGTGAGTCATAATGTGCCGTTATCAATTTTTTTTAAATGTTCATAAGCTCCCTCATTTCAATGGAAAGCAGATGACAAACTACTGTTATTGTTAGGCCGGGGCGTAGGCCTACTTGCAGACTTGACTCGTGTAAGGTTATTAATCAATAATTGCCATAAGGTATTGTTTCCCTAGTTAGCAGGTAATCTATTAGTAAGTGTGAAAAGTTGAATAGATAACTAAAGTTTGAATTCTCCATCTAAGAATACGCTCGCCATCGCATCTCTGATCCCTCTGGGAGTTTCACAGGTTCCAATCCCATGCGGGGATAGTTATGTGCGAGGGGATTGCAGCTCTCCTCCCATTGAGGGTGGTTCACACGACCGCTGGTCGATTACGACATCCCCCACCATCAAGTCCATGCTTCTAAAACAAATAAGTGGCTAACTAATCCCGACATAGAATGGTAATCGTACGATGTTGCACCTTGCAATCTGTCCCCAACCACAGATAAATTCTATTCTAAAAACTACCCACATTGGTAGGCATAGTTGCATTTTAAATTGAAAGAAATCTTCATTAATGGTCAGAAGGTGTTGTCTGATTGTTTTATTAGTTAGCAGGTAATTTATTACTGATCTGATACACAAACTTGGCACTGTCAAATGATGATTAGTGTTTAATTTATTTTCAGGAAAAAGGGAAGATAACCCTTTATCAGCTGCTTATATGTCCCATCGATATTTGAATTTTCGCCATCTCCAGAGAAGAAGAGTTGGCACAATGGACACTTTATCTCCACCAATCCACAGTAATCACAAGTTACTTTGTCATTACGATAAGCATCAATAAATGGATACTGAGGATGTATTATCAAGTCACGCAAGCTGAGGTCTTGTGCCACTGTGGTCTTGTTGCAACGTATACTTTGCCATCCATCTATTCCATGGTCGCACCCATATCTGTAAGATAATGGATACAGATAGAGTTGACCAATGACAATAAAAAGACATTTTGGATCAGTTGTACAAGCATCATTAGGAACAGATTTATCTCTTGGGGAGTCAATTATTTGTTTTCAGAAGCATGGACTTGAATGGTGGGGAATGGTCGTAACCGATCAGCGGTCATGTGAACCACCCTCGGTGGGAGTAGAGCTGCAATCCTCTCGCACATAACTATCCCCGCATGGGATTGAAACCTGTGAAACTACCAGAGTGATCAGAGATGCGGTGGCGAGCGTATTCCTAGATGGCGAACTCAATTGATGTCGGGTTATTTTTTCCAGGCCCCACGGTGTTAAACTTTAGTTATATATTCAACCTTACTGTCTTACACAAGTCAAGTCTGCAACTGCAAGTAGGCCCACGCCCAGGCCTACCAATAACAGTAGTTTGTAATCTGCTTTCCATTGAAATGAGGGAGCTAGTGAATATTTAAAGAAATTGATAACGGCACACTATCACCACATTATCACTCACCATCAACGAAGTGCTGTCCGCAAACAATGAAACACAAGTGAGATAGCTTCTGGACTTGACACCAAGCAGTTCTGCCAATAGGCAATAGATGATATCCACATTGCGCGACGTTCCGGATCTTTTGAAATCAGTGGAATATAACTTAAGATCCATTTCGTTGTCTATATATTATACGTACAGCCAACGGAACAATACGAAATAACCATTTTCAACAGCCAAACAAAACGGAAACGTATAATCCGACTTGCAACTGACAGGAGCCAAATGGACGTTTTTGTTTTATTGTCGTCCAGTAACAAAGTCACGTGACCCGTGCAAGTCCTCTATATAAAAATAAAGCAAAATACCAAGCAACAGAAAATGATACTGCTGTAGTATGTGTACCAGGTTAGGGTTAGGACAAAATTTTGTTCAGATTTTTCACATTATAGTTCTATTATGAGTTCGGGGACTGACTGCGTTAGCCAAGTGAATGGTCCCCTTACACAACTTGATGGGCCGCGGCCCATAGCGTGATGGGCCGTGGCCCCGGCCCATGGGCCGTAGAGGAATCACCACTTCTACTCGCCCAAAGCTCAAGCTGCTTCATTTAGGCCAACGACTAACATCCCGATTTAGGCTGAGCTATACGTCTTTTTTCATTTTATTCCTTTGAGTAGATACTAATATTACTGAGACTTGAATCAGTTTAGCTTTCCGTGCTAGCTTTATATCTATCTATAATTATAAATCATATCTATCTTCTAATCTAATATTAATAAAGATCTTCCGTAAGTTTTCAATAAATCTATCTCGTTTGAAAGAATGATTGATTGATTGATCCAACCTTCGGGGTGAACGCTTGAAGGATTTCAACTGAAAATACGCTTCAAAATTCTCTGTTCATTCGTGTTGTTGGCAGTTTTGCGTGGATAGATATTCAGATTCAGATAATTTATTAAAGCACGAAAAATTGACAAACGTGTATAATGACAATCGTACAAAATGTAATGAGCGATATTTCAGCAGTGGTTTTATTGCAGATGGTAAATATCCTGTTACATTTATGTACGGTACGGTATTTACTGATTTAAGCACGGCTGCACGGGTACCGTACAACAACTTATGATAGCTTAAATTCGTGTCCGTGTAGTCGACTTGTCCGTCAGCCCTGTACCGGTATAACGTTATATCACTGTATCATTTGTTAATACGGTATGGTATTGGTAACTAGGCTATTTGTTAATGTGCTTTTGTCATATATAGCCTACAAAATAACCTAGCCTACTTCTATGCAAGAAATTAGTTCACCAGATGTACCATAGATTTGCTTTCAATCAGCAGATCAAGCTGGCAGAATGCTAGATTTGTTTTTTTGATATTTCAGTAGACAGTACCAGTATCCATGTATTTTCCAGGGTCAGTCGTAGGTTCAAGTCTTATTCCAGTATTCAGTTTGCATTACTATGCTAGCCTGTCTGCATGTTGACTGATTATGTTAGTAATCTTGAGTTGTTTACATATCATTAAGCCATCTTACTGTCTTATTGGGTTTACTCTCCCCAGGATAAATGGGGCCAGTCTGCGGACGATTTCATTCAAACCGCTATAAAATAAAAACCAATCTCTCTAGCCCGTTATTTTTTCCACCGTAGGTGCATTGGCATTTATTCTACACGCTATCATACCACTCGAATTAACATTCTACAACCAGGGGTTAAAGCTATACAAACCACCAAAGTATGACATACAGAAGACGTGTTTGCGACCGAGCGACCACGGATTTCAAGCCTTGAACATTGTTTCTGCAGCGTCGAGACTACCACATACGCAGCTATGCGTGGAAAAATTGGGCTTTTAATTGCATTTCTGACCGTCATATATTTTAAGTACACAAAGATATTATCGACCTATTGGAAATGCGCACCCCTCCCCCCCCCCCATCCCCCTTCTTTAAATGTAGAAAAGCGAAACTTTAAAGATGGTTATTAAAAGAAACAGCGCTCTCCCCACCTGACAAGTTTCATCATTTTATTTCTTCTATTGCTATGGCTTTCCTACGGGGACAATGGGTAGTTGACAACATGAAAAAATGGTCCGTTTTTTTCTTCGGTCAGGTTTCGTTATTTATGGCCACATTTTTGTGTAATTTTGCAGAGCTAAAGTGGGGATTCTGTCACTAGATCCTGAATTGAATGTTGCATTCTTTAAACTGTTGAAAGGTTATAATTTAATAACAAAAAAATGAAACTTTTTATTTATTATAGTTTAGTTTGTTTATATTATTGATTTATTTTCTGCAGGTTATTACTAAATGTATAAGTAACAGCTGCAAAGCTATTTCAAAATGGCTGATAAAACTGCTCCAGACACTCAGCTCAGGTTGGACTGGGTTTATGGTTACCGTGGGCACCAATGTCGAAGCAACCTCTTCTACACAAAAGCAAATGAAGTTGTTTACTTTGTTGCAGGAGTGGGAATTGTTGTCGATCCATCACGACGGAAACAAAAATTCTTCCTTGGTCATGATGATGACATAATTTCTCTTTCGCTCCATCCTTCTGGTCAGTTGGTTGCAACTGGTCAGGTTGGTAAAACACCATATATCTGTGTATGGGAATCATCTACAGTTAAAACAATGTCTATTTTGAAAGACCAACATACACATGGCATTGCTGCTCTTGCATTCAGCCCCAATGGAGAGCGTTTAGTTTCTGTTGGTCTCGATACAAATAATCTCGTGGTGGTTTGGGATTGGAAAAAAGGACGGATGCTTTCAAATGCTAGAGGTCATACTGATCGAATTTTTGATGTGCAATGGATTGATCAAGCTCAATTTGTGACCTGTGGTGTGAAACATATCAAATTTTGGAATCTGTCTGGAAACTCTTTAACTAATAAGCGTGGTGTACTGGGGAAATTGGGAGAAGTACAAACTGCTCTTTGTGTCAGATGTAGTGCCGATAATGTATATTCTGGTATGCTTTCTGGTGATATTTATGTTTGGCAAGGACACAATTTAACTAGAATTGTGTCACATGCACATATTGGGGGCATATTCTCAATGCATTCGTCTGTCGATGGTTATGCCACAGGAGGGAAAGATGGAAATGTAAGATTATGGGATGCAGCTTTCAACCCTCTGGCAACCATAAGTCTTGCAGATTGTGCGCTTGGATACAAAGGTCTCTCAATTCGAGCTATCTGCTGGCAAGGAACGCATATTGTTGCAGGTACACATGATGGAGAAGTATTTGAAGTTTCTGTACGTGATTCTTCACATCCAGACCTAATCACCAGCGGACATGGAGAGGGTGAGATGTGGGGACTAGCTGTGCATTCCAACAAACTCATTGTTGCAACTGGAAGTGATGATAAAAGTGTTAGGTTATGGAGCGTTCCTGACCGTGCCCTGTTGGCTCGATGTAATCTTTCTTCTGCTGTCAGATCTTGTGCATTCGGCAGTGAATACTTGGCTGTAGGTTGCATAAATGGTTCAGTCACTGTATTGAAGTCACGGGACATGTCTGTGGTAACTGAATTCAAAGACAGAAAAGAAGCGATTCATGAGGTTAGGTTTTCTCCCAAAGGATCATATTTAGCTGTTGCAAGCAATGATAATTTTGTAGATGTGTACAGTGTTCAACAACGATACCATAGAATAGGTACTTGTGGGAAATCCTCAAGTTTTATCACTCATATTGACTGGTCAACTGATGAACAGTATTTGCAAACGAATGATGGAGCAGGGGAGCGATTGGTCTACTCAATGCCAAGTGGCACACATGTTACAAGTGGTGATGTTGTACGTGCTGTAAAATGGGATACTTGGACTTGTGTGCTGGGTCCAGAAGTTGCTGGAATCTGGCCAAAGTATTCTCAAATTAACGATGTGAATGCTGCATGTGCAGATGCAAAGTTGGGGGTGATTGCAACTGGTGATGATGCTGGTTTGGTGAAATTGTTAAGATATCCATGCCTGAAAAAAGGTGGAAAATTTCGCAAGTATGTTGGTCATTCATCACATGTCACGAATGTTCGTTTTACTCATGATTCGGAATGGCTACTTTCAGCTGGTGGTGCCGATCATGCTTTGTTTCAATGGAAGGTTATAAAGGCGGGAGATGTGGTAGATTCTTTGAATGCACAAATAATGGATGTACCCGATGCTTATCTGGATTCAAATAGTGAAGACAGTGATTCCTCGTTGTCTGATGTTGGAGAAATTGATTCTGAAGTAGAAAAAGAAAGGGAAGGTAAATATGATAACACAGTAGATAAAAATGAAATAAAAAAATTGCAAAGATTACCCAAAGGTTCCAGAAAGCGAGACGGTGCACCAAGTGATACTAGTTTATCACTTCAATTTGTTTTTGGATACAGAGGCTATGATTGTCGTGACAATGTTTTTTACACACAACAAGGTGAAATATTATACCATGTTGCTGCTTTAGGCATTGTAATGTCAAGGGAAGATCGTAAACAGAGATTCTACAGTGGTCATGATGATGACATTATATGTCTCACTGTACACCCAGCAAAAGATTATGTGGCAACTGGCCAGGTGGGAAAAAATCCTTCAATACACATTTGGGATGCTGAAACAACGAAACCTATTTCTATTTTGAAAGGATTTCACACCCATGGTATTGGCTGTGTCAATTTTTCAGGTGATGGAAAGCGCCTGGTATCAGTAGGAATTGACAATGATCATATGTTAGCCATTTGGGACTGGAGGAGAGGAGAAAAACTTGCAAGTGCGAAAGGACATCAAGACAAAGTGTTTTGTGTGAAATTTGATGCAGCAAATTGCGAAAACTTGATAACTGTTGGTATCAAGCACATTAAGTTTTGGCGTCATGTAGGTGGAGGTTTGACCAATAAACGTGGTATATTTGGCACAAATGGCAAACTGGAATCAATGCTTTGTGTTTCACAAGGCAAGCAAGTTGGGGTGACATACACAGGTGCAGCAAATGGGCAGGTCTATGTTTGGAATGGAAATAATCTTACTAGAACACAAAAAGCCCACGATGGTCCATGTTTTGCAATGCATGCACTGGATAAAGGTTTCGTTACTGGTGGTAAGGATGGAGTTGTGTCACTGTGGGATGAAACATTTGATAGATGTCTGAAATCATACTCGCTGTCAAATCAAGCTTTATCCACTACTATTTATGGTAAAATGTTGGAAGATAATCCTTGTATACGTGCTCTTACACTTGGACATGGCAAAATTCTCGTGGGTACAAAGAATGGTGAAATTTTGGAAGTTGACAAAACCGGTCCTATTTTGCTGCTGACTCAAGGTCATGGTGAAGGAGAGCTGTGGGGATTGGCCTCACACCCTTCTCGTGGTGAACTTGTCACAGTTTCAGATGATCGAAGTGTTCGTACCTGGAATGTGGGACCTAACGAAATGCAAACTTATGTCCACGCATGCCTAATGATTAGAAAATTGCCAGTTGGTGGACGATGCTGTTGTTACTCACCTGATGGCAGTGCTGTTGCTGTTGGTTGCAATGATGGAAGTTTCTATGTTCTGAATTCTAGGACTTTGGAAGATATGGTGAAGTTTCATACTAGAAAGGAAGCAATTTCTGATGTTCGTTTCTCCCCGGGTACTGGGAAGTATTTAGCCGTTGCATCACATGATAATTTCGTAGATATTTACAGTGTATTAGGAAGTAAGAGGGTTGGTGTCTGTCAAGGTGCGTCCAGCTATATAACACACATAGACTGGGACATTTCTGGAAAACTTTTGCGAGTCAACACTGGAGCGAAAGAGTTACTGTATTTTGAAGCTCCAAGAGGGAGAAGACAAACAATAGGTGAAGAGGCAAACATTGAATGGAGCAGTTGGACAGGAGTCCTGGGAAAGAAATGTGCTGGCATCTGGCCTCCTTGTAGTGATGTCACTGATGTTAATGCTGCATGTTTATCAAAATCTGGCGAACTGGCAACTGCTGATGATTTTGGTTTTGTGAAACTATTCTCATTTCCAGCACTGAATAAACATGCAAAGTTTAAAAAGTATACAGGTCACAGTGCTCATGTGACAAATGTGAGATGGTTATTTGACGATAACCACCTTGCTTCAATTGGGGGAGCAGACACATCATTGCTTTTATGGCGCAGGAACAATATAGCAATAAGTACGAGACAAGAAACTGCTGTTGGAGTCTCTCTGTCCCAAGCCTCCGCCTCTCAGCCGGATGTCAGTTATCATGGAGACAGTGAAGGTTCTGACACTGACTCCGAAGAAGAAGGTGGTTATGATAGTGATGTTGCTCATGAAAAGAATATGGATTATGAAGATAAGATTTACAAGACAAGGGATATGCAGGGTATACAAGGTTCACTGGAAGGTGACACCAAAAGCCAACCTGTTGTCAACCGAGCAATGAAACAAAGCTACAAAGTAAGGCCACGATCTGGACTTGCTATTGACAAGGTAAAATCTCTTTCTCTTTGGCATGTTTTTGGATACAGGGGATTTGATTGCCGGGACAATCTTCGTTATGTTAATGAAGGAATAGTTTATCATGCTGCAGGTGCTTGTATATTCCAAGATCTTAGTACAGGAGAGCAGTCGTTCTACCTTGAACACACAGATGACATTATTAGTCTCACAACGAATCAACACCCCAAATTTTCTGGAGTCATAGCTACTGGTCAGTTAGGAGCATCCGCTCCTATACATGTTTGGGATGTTGGGACAAAACAAAATTTTGGTGTCTTGCAAGGACCTCATCAACGTGGAGTTTGCTCTCTGGATTTCAGTGCTTCCGGTAAACTTCTGCTTTCTGTTGGACTTGAGCCAGAACATTTTGCAGCGATTTGGAGATGGCAAGAAGGTGTAATAATGTGTAAGGTGTCATGCTCACCACATCGTATATTCCGAGCACAATTCAGACCTGATTCAGATGCGAACTTTGTTTCTGTAGGTGTTAAACATGTACGGTTCTGGCAGGTTTGTGGTGGAACTGCCATTGGCCAGAGAGCAGTTCTTGGTGCCACCAAAGGCATCAGAATGCAGACGATGCTATGCATTGCTTTTGGTGCTGATAATCTCACCTTTACTGGTGCAATGAGTGGAGATATTTATGTATGGAAATCTCATGTCTTGCATAGGACTGTTTCTCAAGCCCACGAAGGCCCTGTATTCACCATGTTCACTACTCTGCAAGATGGCTTAATAATCACAGGTGGCAAGGATAAAAACCAGAAAGAAAGCAGTTCTGTCAAATTGTGGGACCAAGAGATGAGACGTTGTCGTGCTTTTGTTATTCCCGCATCTTGCATCAAATCGGTTTGTCGCGCAAAAGGAAAATTGGTTGTTGGTACAAAAGATAGTCAAATATTCGAAGTTGCTGAAAAAAGTGGGTCATGTTCTGGCTTGGTGCGGGGCCATGCTGAGGGATTGCTATCTGGTGTTGCTTCACATCCTACATCTCATATGTGCTGCACTGTTTCAAAAGACAAGACAGCAAGAGTTTGGGATCTGAATGAAAAATTACTTCTTCATCGACTTCCACTTCCTGCAGGAGGCACTTGCTGCTGTTATAGTAGCAGTGGCCGGCTTATGGGTGTTGGAATGGATAATGGACAAGTTCAGATATATGATGTTGCACTTGCTAAACTTTGTGATTCAAGACGTGATAGAGGAGGATCTATTAATGATATGAAATTTAGCCCTGATGACAAAATTCTGGCTGTGGCATCTGATGATCAATGCGTTGACTTCTATGAGGTTAAAGATTCAAGTCCGCAAAGGTCTGGTTATATACGAAATACAACTGCATTACAGCTGGACTTCTCTAGTGATAATAGTGCTATTCAAATCACAACAGCAAAGTATGAAAGACATGTATTTAAAGTTCCTACAGGAGCGGAAATAACTGATCCTAGCATCATAAATGATCTTACATGGGATTCCTGGACAAGTATTGTTGGCAAAGAAGTTGTTGGTATATGGCCAAGGGACTCTCAAAGTGCGGATATCAATTGTGCTCATGTTTCACATGCAGGTAATGCTTTAGTCACTGGAGATGACAGTGGATTTGTTAAACTCTTTGCATTTCCATGTCAGGAAAAGTTCGCTACTCCCAAGAAGTATACTGGACATTCTGCCCATGTGACTGGCGCTCGCTTCCTCTGTGATGACAAACACTTAGTGACAACAGGTGGCGATGACTGCTGTGTATTTGTTTGGAAATGTGGAGTGTAGAATATAGAAAAATTATGCTCTTCAGGCATAGCCATTCCACACTTCTAGTCTTGTCACCCAAGTCCTCAGAGATTTTCAATATTTAGTTGTTATGAACATTTTTATACTTGTACCTAATATACTTTTTTTGGAATTTGCACGCAATATCAGCTTCTCACCTAGCAGTGGCCGTTTATACAAAGCCTTGTTCAGAGTGAAAAGTATTTTGGAAACTGGTATAGATTGAACCATTCAAACGCACTTTTACACATACTATTATGAACTATATGAAATTTACGAGAATAATCCCTAATTCAGAAATCATGTAATTTTATTGCTGATATTTTCCCAAGAATGGTTTCAAAAATGTTTTAGTAATAAAATATATATATTGGATTACGCCATTCAGGGGGGTAAATAGTGAATACTGTATAAATTTATTTTTCAATGTATTAGATTATTTAATACATTTCTGCATCTCAGACAAAAAAAATTTCCCTTTAATAATGATATTAAATTCGTTCATCTGTTAATTTGTTTCAACAAAGACAATTTAAATTATTTTCAATAATGCTTCAAATTTGCATGCAATTGAATATGTAATAGGTGCTTTTATTTTAGTATTTCTGTGTTTCATATAATTTTTACCAGAATCGTGCAGTAGTAATCGTTCAGCAAGTCTCTCTTGTATTTTTGTAATTCATTATGCATTTACTACATGTTTAATATCCATATAAAAAGTTATGTTCACTATGTAATAATCATCGTCCTCAACTTGATTTTTTCTAAATCATGATTTCTTTGCATTCTCAAGTCACTTGTTCGTACAAAAATTTCTCACTCTGATCCAATGTATCATATTTTTAATATTTTATATACCATGTTAGATTAGTTATATATTCTGTAATTTTTTACATTTATTTGCTTCTGCGGTGCTATTTCTGATCCTGATCAAATCTTAATTTAGCAAATGATCAATAAGGGCAATAAACATATTTAATTATGGGTTTAGCACATTTCCCCAATTTTACACAATATGACAATTAAATTTTTCTTTGCAAATACACAATCCTATATCATTGTGAAAATACAACTGCTAGTTATTAAATGTATGATTCGGTTCTTCCCAAATATGATGAACTTTACCTATTTCCCTTTTCGCTCTCCAAAACCACTGAACAAAATGCATATGGCTGACAGTTTCCTTCACTTGGTCAAGTAGTGTTAGGATTAGATTTATATCCACTGTAATTGTTGTTTAGCTATTTACAAATAAATGATGTCACAAAATTTCATGTTGCCGAATCATTGTTGGGATGTTGTTAGTGGACGTATTCCTCAGTGATTAAGGGGGTAGAATGCACGTATTCACCAAGAGGAGAGGACGACTTTATTGTAGGATACAAAGACAGCAATCTCTCATCCGCCGAAGTAGTAACTGGTTACTACTCATTGACTTCTATAAAGCGTAATGAAGTCGGCACTTCATCGTAGGGTACACGACAACAACCTTCATCCGCGCAAGTTTGACTAAGCGTGAGGTTTATCCCGACAGAGGAAAGACTAAATAATAACTTTCCAAGTATATCTATAGGGATAACAATGTTATTTTGGTAACATTTTATTGAAACTGAGACCAAGGGATAATGGTTTTCACATCATTAATATGAAACGAGGTCAAACCAGTTAATATAAACTTTCTTAAAACTATAAACTGACATAGCTTTGAGTTAAATAGCCCCAAGCCATTTCACCTTGACTGTCCAGTTATAATATAATTTATCCCAGTTCCACACTTGGTAGGTTAGTACATAGGAGACCCCGGGCCCGTGAAGGGAAACCTAGGTGCTCCGTGAGCTATTCGTTCACTTATCAAAATACTGTTGTTGTTTTTAAACAAAGAAGGAAATACATCCAAGTATTAAATAAAGTGATTTTAGTATACTCATGGACAATAATTTTTAAATACCAATTTGTTTTTATTTTTATAAATTTATTGTGGGGCTCCGTAAATAATAGTCAACCCATTCACGGGCTCCGTAACACCAAATATTTGAAAATAAAACCACTGATTTAGTATATAAAGCTGTTTATTATTCACTGATTAAGGATGGTATCGTATCGCACATTGGAGTTGGAAGCTGATATTATAAGCCAGGATGGTCCGACGTTGTCGCCTTCGCGGGCCAGAAAATTATTTTTGTATTGTTCGCGGGCCACAATAGTGTCAGAAAAAGATAAACAGGGCAACAAACACTTAATTGTGCAAACAATTGATCATTATTTTTCATTTATCAAGTTAAAACATGCAAAATATATATGTTTAATATATATGAGATTTCAAACTACAGTATTCACAACGGAGAAAGTGCTCCCGCAAATATACGGTAAGTACGTTCGAACATCGGTGGGGTTCTCAAAGCAAAATTCCTCAAAATTTGAAAATGCTCATTGCTCACATGATGGCAAAATGCCGTTTTAGATTATATTTGTCATAACTGCAGATAATCACATTTTACCAAATGTAAGGTAGACTACAGGAGAGAAATTACTATTTTATCTGACATATTAGAAGCATTATTGTAATACTTTGGGCTGGTTGCAAAAAATCACCGTAAGAAATTATATTCTCAGGCCATAACATTGATATTGTTGGAATATATTGCCAATCAAAAAGATACAAAACCAGTGAACAATTTGGAATACCCAAGCACAATATTCAACTTTGATTATTTTTATGACGAAACAACACCAAGTGCGATTTTTTGATTACCCTTCAGAAAAGGCGACGCGGACCACAGATAATTACGCTGCGGGCCACATGGGACCCGCGGGCCTGGGTTTGGACCACCCTGATATAGACATTGTTTTGTTAAAATGTCTGACAAAGACTTGGGGGATTGAGCAGTCGCGGTGCTACCGTTGCTAGTCGTCGACGTCTAACAACAGAGGAAACCTTTGCCTCAACAACAAACGAACAGCAACAAGTTCCAATATTTCTTTTCAATCTATATATCCGCTTTAGAGAAAGAATCCTGTCCGGATTAAAAATCTCATTACCGGAGCATGAATTGCGCGAAAGCATATGTGTATAGATGAGAAATATTGCAATGGCATAATGATAATTCATGTCGCCAAACTGCATTGACTGACGGTTGCTTCCAATCAATCAGAAATAAACAGAGTTTTGTTACAAACAATTGTAATGCCCATGAGAATTAATTGGCGGGACTACCAGGAATAAATATGAAGAGTCATTGGTTGAAAAAAATGGTGACAAAATATTTTCTATATATATATATATGTAGGCATGAACATGCATTTGTGCATGAAGGTCAACACTAATAAATATAGATGCTCATTGACAGATGTTAATTTGTAGGCTTTAATGAGAATCACAACGAGCAATGTGATTCTAGATCTGGGGATATATATCAAGTTTATTATTCCAACTAGTAAAAAATTAATTGAACAACAATTGAATGGAACAGAAATTTTATTTTATTATGAAAAAAAGACGATGGGTCAAAGAAATTTAAATTAATGCCTGCAAGCCCCAATGAAAAACTTGCAAGTCTCATAATCCTTAGTTGGTATTAACGCAACCGGAGTTTGGAAGAGACTTCCACTTCAGAAAAATTAGACTATATTTTCCGCTCAGCTCACAACCGCGTTAACCACTTAATGCCGGAATTATGATCCGCTGAGAGAAAAAAATCGCCGCTTCGGTTATTTGCTAATTCAAGGCCGTAGAATACGAATTCGAACTTATTTTTTTTATTTTACCCCCCATTTGGGAGAAAAAATTTTGTCACGAAATCGATACACTCGTCCAGGTGATGAATTTATTGTGTCAATACTCACACGTATTGCGACTGATACGAATGGAAATATAACAAATTCAATTCAAAATAAACGAAATCGGACAACAGAAAATGTTCAGTGGACCGTACTGTTGGTCATTAATATACGCCATGGTACCACGCAAAGCAATTTTTGGCTTTGTTTAAGCATAAATATACTCCGCATTTGGTACATCTGATTACCGGCTTGCTATCACACCCAGGGAAACGACATCGCTGTCTCTTAGCTCCTACCACAGGCCAATGGCCAGTGGCGTCGGTTTTAACCTCATTGTTGGGATGTGGAGTAGCTATTCTTCTGATTCGTGGTGGGGTAGTAGACAATGGCCTGCCTCGCTTAAGCGGAGTCGATATTTTCCCAAGCTTGCAAAGAGATTCTGCCACCGAACTTCGAAACGATAAAAGATCTCGCTGCTTGTTACTCGCAACTCCCAGGGACTCACAATCTCTTCTGTATAGGATCCAGCTGTTTACAATAGCCAAATCAACCAGGTGGAAGAAGATCCTCAGGTAGTACTTTTTTGACCGAATGCGTATTCTATAGTAGGCTATAAGCGCATCTAACAAGTCTACGCCTCCCATCTACCATAAAAGGACGAGTCACCATTATGTGCTGTTTCGTGACGTTGTCCCATCTTCGGACTTCTGATGTGGGCATGGCGCTGGCAAAAGAACTGGCAATAGTTACACTTCGTTTATCATACCCCTTCACAACTCTTATTTCAATGTCCTCAACACATGACGTCTTTTCCTGATAACATCCCCGTCCTCTATTTTTCAAATCTTTGTCAGATTCCAGCTCGCATCCCAATAACCGATTTTGTCTCGCCGTCCCTATACAATAGATCTTCCTTTTGGCGAGAACGGACATCAAAGGTATGGACGTAAACCAATTGTCAAAACAGAGTATGTGATTTACATCATTCTCCACATTATCGGTCAGTTTGATGACTATGTTAGCACTAGCTCCGAGATCAGGGTAACCAGAAACAGGATGTATCTTTCCTGTATATATTTCAAAGTTGTGTACCAAACCATCTGTTCCACACAACATAAAGATTTTATACCCCATTTGTGGGGCTTTTTGGGAAGATATTGTTTCAGCCCTGACCTCCCAGTAAACGGAACCATCTGCTCGTCGATACATAAAACTTGCTCTTGATGCAGTGGTTTGAATTTTGCTTTAAGCATTTCTAACGGGGGTCGGATTTTAAACAATCGATCTTGTTGAACATCAGAATCGCCATGAAGTAAATCGTTGTTATTGAAATGGAGCATCTTTTTTATTCTTTCCCATCGATCACGGGTCATTACATCGGCAACGCAGTTAACCTTTGTTTCCACAGCCCAAAACATACGTGTTCTCGGTAGACGAAAAATAGACATGTAAACGACACAACCAAGAAACTTCTCCATTTCTGGAATTGTAAGGTTTAGTTGTTTGGAGGGATCGCTTTGGCTCGCATAGATATTGGTTTCCGCAACTATTTGGTGCATTACATCCGAGTCAAAAAAATATTTGAAATATTCAATTGGTGCTCGCACTGTTTCCGATTCATACTCACGGCCTTTCCATGCAGGCAGCTCTCGTGCTTATTCTGGGTCACTTTCCTGTACAATCCTCCATACGGGCTTCCTACGTGGGATATTGATTCCAATACACACCTCGACTTCAACCACGGAAGAAACTGACATCTCGCCTGACCCTCTTGCTTCCTGATCACTTTCTCCTCCCTGGTCAATGGATATATCCTGACTAGCAGCTTCGTCATCTGAACTTTCTGACAACAAGGCATAGTCTCTAATCTTTTTCGGTCGTACATATTCATCTTCGCTACTGCTGCAGTCGCTGTCTTCGCTAACATCCCCACTAGGTGGAAAGCGGATTCTCCAATTCTCCTTCTCATCCATTCTTCATTATTTGAATAAATTACTTCTACCACTAAACAATTTGAAGAAATTCCTGCATATTACTTTAGCCAGTCAATATCAGAAGCAAATCTTGATCAAAATATTATCATTACTTTAGGCTTTAGCCAGTCAATATCAGAAGCAAAACTTGATCAAAATATTATCAGGTTTAGAGGGAAAGACATTATTTTAACTAATTTAACATCACTATATATAAATTTCGATAACAGAGTTACACATACTTAAAAACATATTAGATTATGTTCCTATTTCTGCTCTTCATTTCAAGTGTCTTGGTTTATGAAAGACAACTTAAACTGCAAAACATGGACGGATGGGACGATTTAGTGACAGTTGGGAAAACTGGCGTCAGCAGTAAACAACTAATTGTTAAGCAAAACTCTTTTTACCAAATGAAAGTACACATAACGGCCTCTTACTGTGATTTTTTTCGACTCTCTGGGGTAAAGCTTTATACCCCAAAAAAAGACGACGAAATCCGACTGCTTCCGACATCACATTTCAACCGACATCAATGTAAACAAAGATGGCTGACCACAAAATATGAAACATTTGGTGGCGCTAAATAGGCTCAAACGAGAGAGTGGGTACAGACGATTTCGGGACAATCGCCGCTTTCTCTCTAGCTATCCTGGTTCGTACTATGGGGTGCAATAAAGTCAATGTCCTGAAAACGACCCCGTCGTCGTTAAGTGGTTAAAGTTACTACCATCCAACTCCATTGTTATTTCAAATTTCCTAAGGCGTTTAAATAGATTCATAAATTTCGTTTTTGCAACGACTCTTTCTTGGAAGTTGAATTCAATTTTGTGTGGGGAAAGAATGAACTGCAATGTAACATCTTGTTTTCGGAACTGGACGAACCTTGCGGAAATAACATTTTTAACGTTTATCATCAGGTAAAAAACAGCTTGAGAGCATATATATTCCTGTTCCAAGTTTGTGTTGATGAAGTGCTTCATTACAGTGGTTATCAAACTTTCCTTCGAACTCGCAATACAATAAAACGTCAAGTTACTAACGAATTTATTGCAAATCATTTAAACATGTAGATTCATCACGGTTCATGATGTCTTATATACCGATGGCGGAATCGAGTCCGGAATCAATTCTTAGAGTTAAAACTTGGATTGCAATAAAAGTATAACGTTTCGTGACTATATATATGTATAACCCGCTATGTTAAGTTGCTACGACGCCGCAAACTTCACTTTATTACTTTACTCTCCTCCCACTCGCTCGTTCGCGCGGGTCAAGGACACGTGTCACATTTCATTCGTGTATTTTTTCTCTTACCTAGTCGTTCATAACTCCTATTTACTTGAAGTAGAATGAAGCTTACTGTCTCCAAATTGCGATCGAGACTCGCAGAAAGGCATGTAAACGAATTGAACTTTTTAGATTGCAATAGATTTTTGTTTGCTACGACAGTGATTTTCTGGACTCACAGTGGACATTCAAACCGTTTTATTATTATGTTGTTTGTTGATGTTGAATTCATTTTAATATTATTGTTGTGAAAATATATCTTTTCTCTCCTACTGGTACTATTGCTTTGAAATTTTCAGTGGTTAAAAATTGTAATTTTTTCTGTAGAAGGCCATTACGTTATTTTATGTATTTCAAAAATTTTGTGGGCTCTCTCTCTTTGTTCGATTTTGTCTACTGCGACAAATTGAATACCCATACATACTACTTAGTTTTGGTTATCGTATTCATATATAAATTTGAATATCGCTACCTTGCTAGACTTCATATGGTATTGTTTAGGTGGCAATGTTTTCTCGGTAAGTTATGTCGAGGAATCAAAAATTTAGGAATCAAGTAGTCATACTCAGCATCCTTAGTCTTAAATTAGATGGATGAGTCTCAATAAGGTTACTTAATATTCGAAGACATTTTGATCTTGAAGTTCAACCTTCAGATTTGCAGAAACTACCGGCAATTGAATTATCCAGCTTGGGGCAGTGAATGCGCATATCTTCAACTAGATTACGTACGTGTGAACAGCATTTAAGTCGTTCGTTTTCGTCTCAAATAGCGCCTTGTTCATTATTAGGTTAGTTTTACCCCGAAGCGCGCGGTATTTGTAGTCGCTATTTTGCACTAATGCAAGACAAATATGCTCGTAGTCTGCGCAACAACAGGTTTCAGTTTATGATGCAATGTAGGAATGAACTGATGAGTAGGTACGCATCTTACTCGTTCTAAATCCTACCGATGTTACCGGGTGTCTCAAAAATGTGGTGTCCCACATGTCCTCAACTCAACAAAGTCGCCATGAGCAATAACCAAATAATTTCAGACTAAATTAAACAACATTCAGTAAAATAGAAATGAGAAAACACATGACAAGCTGTAGGAAAACTTTCCCCGCCACCAAGACTGGACAGTGCGTTATTTGCCACATTGCGACGGACGACCACATTGCGAGCAGACCAAAAAAGCTTACTGTGATGACAAATAAAAAATTGATTGATTGTGGTGAAATAAATAAGATAATTCACACCGACTTGATTTAGCCCTTTCTTTAACAAGGTACACAGACATATTTTATATTCGGAATTATTGCAATAATGAATAAAAATAATATAATTGGTGGTAGAATTACTGCATTGAAATTAAAATTTTGATCTTCCTCATAACCCAAAATATATTTGCCATCTTGTTGTTATTATTCAGCTCCAATTGCTTCCAATTACACAATTAGTAAATTTCAAATAATATCAGACTTTTTGATTCTGATTCCATTGTACCAATCCTCAGCAGTTTGCGAAGCCTTGGGGTCACTCATGAAAGTTGCAAGCGCTACAACTTCATCACCTTTGCAGTAGTAAGCACAAAATTTTCTGTCTTCCATACTCCCTTTAATTACTATGTCATCATATCCCATACCATATCCTGTGTTGGAAGAAATAAAGTAAATCAGAAACTCTCATGCATCAAAGAAACATTTGGGTCATGATTTCAATTGTTTGAAACAGTGCAATAGACTCATAGGTCATAGCCATGCCACCCAGCGTAAAACTTATTGAAGTATTTTTATTGGATGACTTGTATGATTGTACTTGTCGTCAAGTAGGCTATTGCCTTGGTCAGATTATTAACAAAGCTATTAAGACTATTTTGTTGGCAGTTGGAATATGATTTGCCCGCTACCTCACAATTGATGCTTCTTACTAGATGTTGCAAGTTGATTTGTTCTGAGATTTCGATCTGTACATGCTAGACACTGTTCAAAGTATTAATACAAGCGTGTAACAATCACTACTTATTAGTTCAGTCAGACCTCAGTGTATTCTTCCCAGAAATACTCAAAGCATGGAATAAGCAGTTCCACTGGAACCATGAATTTACTTTCCTCGCACCATGACATCTCACTGAAATCACCCTTATAATTTAAGGTAAAGCTAGATTAATATCTATGCACTAACCTGTATATCTGATGTTCTTTCCTGGAGCAAGGGCTGACCAGAAAAATGGAACAGAATTAACTTCTGTAGACCTTTCAACAACCATATTTTTACCAACAACATTACCATGGTGATGTGCCATCTGCCAGTGCTGAACGTTAGCAGGCTGCCAGTTGAGCATTCTGTAAAAAGTTCAGTACTAACATCAATCATATGAGGACACAAATGCAATCTCATCAGAATTATTGTTTAATTGTTTGCAAATGTTCAATACCATCATCCCGACATAATAGTTGAAGAATTTAACATCACATAACAACACTGTTGTTAATATAAATTCATTTTAGAACACTGTGCAGACATTATTTTTTGTGAAAACGTTACTTACTTCAGGGGAAAGACTGTTATATCCCCTGCAGCATAGATATTAGGAATATTAGTTTGCAAGTATTTATCAACAGGAACAAATCCTCGATTGTCTGTTTTGATTCCAGAACCTTTTAAGTAAGTTGTCGATGGAACAACGCCAACACCAGCAATAACAATATCAGCCTGAGACAAATTATAACACAAATTATAGAACATAGCTGTTTAACTGTGATGCAAATAAAAATAATCGTCATGGATTAATTAAGACAGAAAGGAACAAAAGCAATTACATCGATAACAGTCCCATCTTTTAGTACAGCTTGTTTGACTACTCCGCCTTCTCCACGTAGTTCAGTGACAGAAGCATTCATGAAGAACTTGATACCTCGTTCTTCGTGAAGTGATTGCATTACTTTCCCAACCTGAACAAGAAAACAACAATTTCATTTTAAACGTACTACCATTACACTGGATCAATTTTATGTGGTACAAATAAACTACCGTAATACAATATATGCCAATAACTCAATGTGAAAAGTTCAGTATTAACATCAACCATATAAGGAACATATCCAATCCCATAAAAACTATCGCCAGTTTACAACAATAACAATTCTTGTGTGGCTAATTGAAACAGGACAACTATTCCAAATAACTTGAAAATTAACTCAGATGACAAATATTGAAAAAGAAGCATGATGGCGAAAACTAAAGTTAACGAGTGGCCACTAACTTTTATGCCCAGAGCAGTCTGGAAAGGGGCTTCAAAGAATTCACACACTGTCACTGAAGCAGCATTTCCAACAAGAGACGAGGCTACTTCCATTCCAATAAATGAAGCTCCTATTAAGACAACATTTTTGTTGTTAGCCTGAAAAAAGAGTAAACACAATCATAATGTATAAAAAAATCAATTATATCAGAATTCATAATTATTATTCTAAGTTATTGAAATGTTTTTAAACCAAGATTTTGAACATCATTATGCAAATCTGATTTTGCTTTAACATTGATGGAGATTTCGTGAAAATAATAATACAAAATTTTATAGACTTTTTCGGAGTAGTTTTATTCAGAGAAAAAATTTTGTTTGCATATTAGTCATCAAGTACGATATCGATCAAAATATCTAAATCAATGGTTTCAACCTTTTTGATGGAGCGGAACCCCATCTAACATACCAGAGCACAAGGAAACCCTGTTCCATAGTTTATTTGACTGTTCAAATTGGAAAAACTATAAATATATATAAAAACTAAGCAATTTTGATGATAGTTTCAAAGGAGATATAACATGCATTTGATTATATTTAAACAATATATATTTAAAATTGGACTCTTGGATTTGAATATAAACTTTTGGAACCCCTGTGCTGTACTGGCGAAACTGTACTGTAAACCCCAGTTGAAAACCACTGATCTTAATAAATCTATGGTTTTTGAGATGAATAAACAAGGTATTCACATAAATGGAGTCAAAAAAATTGATCAAAAAAATGACTTCACAAAAGAATAGATCAAGATCATTGGCACAAGACCAAAATTGTTTTGAATGTTCAAACATTATTACCTTGTTAAAAATTGTATTGGCATCATCTGGTGTTCTTAAGATGTGTACATTTCCCAGCTCCCACCCAGGTATCGGCAGAGTTCTTGGATTTGCCCCTGGAACATACAGATAAATTCCTAATCTAATAATTCTATATATACAGTGATAAAAATTATGTCTAGCATTTACAAAAGTGTAGCAAATCAGAATATGCATTACTGTTTCATTGATATTTACATACCTGAAGCCAACAGGAGTTGATCATAAACCACAGATTTTCCATTAGAAAGTCCAACAGATTTAGATGATGAATCAACATTGGTAACTTCATGTTCATATAGAATTTCAATTCCATATTTCTCATAAAATCCTTTGTCTCTCAGGTAAATTGAATCAGCTTTGACATCTAAAGATTTGCTCAACTTCGGTCTGAAATTGTTAATTGCTTCAATTAATTCATATGCTTTGACATTTGCAAGATACTATTCACATTTTTATCAATACTGCAATACCCAACTGGAATCATAAACATAAAAATCATGTCAAAGAAACTAGCAGTGTATATGGTCTGGCCTTCGATAAAATAACCAACAGAAAATCTCAAATAAAGGGCTAAAAAGAACCTCATCAACTTGCAGACTTGGTTCATACAAATGGAGGCCTAGTGTACCCCATTTGTTATTTAGGTACTAGCATAAAAAGCAGCCTGATGTTAATTGAAGATATGGCGCAGTCATACCGAAATAATGATAAACATTACAACAGTCAGGCTAGATCAAGTTTGTTCAACTAATTGAAGGTTTGGGAAAGAAGACCCATATAAAGGTTCATTTGTCTCAATGAATAATACTTATGTATCTTTAAGTCTAATAAACTTTGAAACTGTTCCATGTTCAGATGTTTTACCTGTCATAAGGAGGATGTGATTCCCTGGTTAAAATAGTGATTTTTCCACCGAAAGATTGCTGACGTAATGATTCTGCACATGTTTGAGCTGCTGCACCACCACCTACTATAACAACTCCATGACCTTATAAATTGAAACAAACTATTATAAATCAAGGTAATGAATTCAGACGAACAGCAGCATATTTCAGTTTGCAGTCACGGAAGTGAAATACAGGAGTGCGTGATTATTTATATTTTCAATTTCGCGCTTTTATTATCAGCACCAGGCGTGACAAAATGATACCGCAAGCGTGAGGCATTAGGTACACTGTTGAAATTTCACAATCCCCGTAATAGTATTTCACAACATTCGTGGACGATTGCAGGATTATGGAATCAAAATGATATTGTTATTACATCCGTATATTACAGTATGATATCAATTAAAATAGAAGTTACCTTCGTCGTCTTGACGTCCTATCATATGCTTTTGCCTTTTGGGAGAGGACAAAGCGCACTTCTGAGCTTTAACTATCACATCATTTCCTTGTACAAAAACATCGAAGCTTTGCAAACTATCCAAACCTGGGAAATCCTCTATATCACCAGTTTTCGTATTGAAACACGCGCCATGCCACGGGCATCGTACTCGTCCTTTTGACAGCACTCCTTTAATGAGAGGTGCGCCATAGTGAGTGCATTTGTGACTTACGGCGGAAAATTTATCGCTGTCTTTTATCAACAGCACTTTTCCTAGATTATCAAACTCTATCTCTCGCATTTCTCCATTTTTCATGTCCTGCACCTTGCACGCCGTAACTTGGAGCACATCATTACCGCTGGCCATTTTTCTAGCGATGTATTGTGCGTTTGATATTGGAGAAAGTAGCCTATGTACAGGAATGAAATCGCGATTTATTGATCTAGCAAATTTTGCAGCAATGGCGCATAAATGCTTGCGCATATCTCAAATCGTGCGCTGATGGCCGATCAAAACAAACAATGATAAATTCAACTTTTCAGCAGACAAAGTTAGCGATTCGACAAAGGGTTTGAACCGGTATGTTAGTCGTTGGTTTGAACGCGCATTCAAGCCGGCGCGCCATAGTATTCCACAGTTGCTCACAGACACAAGCGTACGACAACGACGACAGGGATTTGGAACGCTAAAATATTCTCAAATATTAGCGCCAAATATCTCGCAATAGTTGGAAATGAAAAAATGTTGTAACCAAAATTCACGAAGGGAAATTTCTATCGTACCGACACATGTAATTGCGAATCAATCAGACTCAATAAACTTATTTCGGTCAATTTCTTCGATGGTGAGTTATCGCGACAAGTTTAAGCATTGTCCATGTGTACCGAGCGATAAATAGCGAGTTTCCGGCCTCCGTTCGAGAGTTGAGATTGAGTTTTGTATGTTTTCTTTGTTGCATTACTGATTTGGATTTCAACTGTATACTTTTAATAAGGTTGAAGTGTATATTTCAATATGTCAATATTTGGATTTCAATTCAACCGTACAACTCTGCAATATAGCCTACGAACATTTGTCATTGCAATCTATTGTGTAAGGACACGCAGAGTAGGGCGACTCCCTACACTTGATAGAACTACGCCGAGATTTGTCAAAACTGCGTGTTATGATGGAACTGGGCTATTTATAGGCGCTATAAACATGTATAAAACTAACGATTATTACAAATTTTAACCATTGAAAATTTCAAAACAATTAGTCCAATAGTTAAAAAAAAGCGATTTTTTCATGACAATAAGAAGAAAAAATACCAACAAAAACAACAACATTATAATAACATAAGTGATGATCCATAGGTCTTTTTCCTGTCCAATAATACTATATTATATTTAAATTATATATATAAGTCGTAGTAGTAAGGCGGCATTCGGCTGCGTATATGATGAAGCATCGTCAGTCCTAAACGCCCATATGATTATGATGTAGTAAAGAAAAAAAAATTCGGTTACAATGCAAAATAAGTTATGCGAGTTTATTATATATACATAATATACATTCACACAGTGATCCGGAGCAATCAGTATTTGCTCTTTGTTTTACTTTGAATTGTGATTGAAAAAAGAGATTTTAAACTTGATGGCATAGAATTCTTCCGAACATTTGATATAAGAACGCGCAGGAGACAGCGTTGGCAAAAGTTCATATTCCATATATATAACTCGCTGGTTGTGTCGGAATAATTGCACTTGTGACCAATGATTTGAACCTCACAGAGTTGCTCACGTACATTGCATTATTCATCGTGATAAGTTGCTTTCCAAACGCGTCAAATATGTTGCGGTTATGAAAATTGTCAATTTTATTAACTTGTCTGCTGGGAAAATTCACAAAGAGCAAGTTTAATGGTAGTGGCAAACCTATTAGATATCTGACAATATTTAAACAATATACATATATATATTAATATAAACTCTCAGGTTTGAATGGAAACTTGCGGAACCCCTGAAATGTGCTGGCGGAACTTTAGGGTGCCGCGGAAGCCCGGTTGAAAACCACTGCAATAAAGGGATCATATGGCACACATTCAACAAATTACTATTGAATTTAGACGCAAATTTAAATCAATTTACATTATTTTTAGTGTAAAACTTGCTTCTAGTAATCAAAAAAAAAAAGCACAAGGTTTGTTTCGGCATCCAATCGATTGATCTGTTTAGTTGTAATTGAAATTAGCACACAATGAAGTTTCTTACGTAGTTTGTTGAATACATTAACTACAATATGGTTTCGTTGTGTGTGGAGACAACGATTCTTTTCGATACTTAACCAACGAAATGGAACCAAAACTTAATGTATACCAGTGGCGGCGCGAGGTCATTTTGACAACCGGGGCAAGCTACTGCGGGACCAAGTCACCCCCATCTACGGGGACAGGATGAGCGCTGTAAGTTCTCCCATCATTTTATGAGTATAAAAACCATTCCATCGGTAACAACCAATCGGCAAAAGCGACAATTTTTAACGATAAGAAAGTGTCTTTAAAACCGGTCCAAGTCGAGGGATTAATAAATATTGACATAGTTTATTTTGAAACCTCTTTCAAAAGGAAAGGCAATATTTACCCAGATAAATACAATGACATATTAACAGAAACTTCGGGAAAGCAGACAAAACCTAAAATAAGGTTTAAAACGTTACTATAAAGAAAGGAAAGCTAATGCAAAGATAAGGACATGCGTCGCTCACTCATAGATATATATGCTGCTAGACTTCTACTGCTTGAACATATATGCAACACGCCGCGGTTTCTTGGAAGCAAATGCTCAATAACCGCGCTGATTAAAGTCATGCATCCCAGAATTAACGTCTCTGTGAATGGATAAAACAGCCAAGGAATTTAATCTATCTTGCTTCATTGTGTTTCTGAGATACGTTTTAATACGCTTCAGCGTGCTGAATGTTCGCTCTGCGTCGCGGAAGAAATAGGCGTCGTCAAAATGATGTCCAGAAATTTTGCAGACGCCGCAAAGGTAGTTACTAGAGTGGTGTCTATGAGGAACCATGGAAGCGCGCAAGTTGATGTGATGTTCAAAAAAAGTTTTGATTGTGTGTATATACATCGCAATTCATTTTCCAATTTACCCACGTTTATCATGGGGTAAAATTTGGAGACAGTAGCCAACAAATGGATGGAAATTGACGTGCAAATTTTGAAAATTTTTGGGGTTCATCAAAGAGAACGCGGCAAGGTGTTCAGTGCGCAGACGATCGCCTATTTGATTCACCAGAATGTCACACCATTCCTTTGCAGACAAAATCAAACGTTGCGTTGTTTGCCCGCGGCGTAAAGAAGCACTCCATGTGTCGTCGTATTTTATTGTTCCCCGGATACGAGATACAGCATCGCAGAAGTCTGAAATACACGACTGCACAGACGCTCCATCCATTAGCCTTGACTGCAATGCGCCGTATAATACATCCACGGGATAGAATATTGTGGAGAAAAAAGCGAGAAAAAATGAAAACTCACCATCTTCTAGCAGACGCTTTAGACCTGCCGCCTCCCTCACAGAGCGTTCGTCCCAAACCGGAGAGCTCTGGATGCCATTGAAACACCCAATGAGCTCAGACCTAATTTCGGACACGCCCTGCACACGCGTGATTGGAAGTTCCAACGTGTTGGTGCACAAGCTGGGGAGACGGCGGCTACATATCTGGCGAAGGAGGTCAGAGCGCTTCGGCGAAACGGAAAAAATGAAGAAAACCCCGAACATTTGCCAAAAAATATACGGACGAAGGGGTATCAAGACACATATTTTCAATAACGAGGTTAAATTGGTGTGCATAACAATGTAAAAAATGTGCATGAGGAAAATCTTCTTTTATATAAACTTGAACACCATGTTTCGACCCACTGATGACTGCCGCGCCGTCATAAGTTTGAGCTATCAATTTTGACTTCTGTGATAAAGGATTCCGCTTTTGTAATAAAATTTTTAAGTCATAGTTATAATGAAGAAGGACTGGAACTGAAATTTGAATGAATTAACGGCGAAAAAATAGCAAAGAGTTCAGAATACAAAAGCATTGAACAGGGTGGAAAAAATTGTTGATTGTCATTTAGTGTGAACTACGTTTAAAAAAACGCCTTCAAGATAGCCTCTCGGGCTGGAATACATTGCTGTAAGCAAATTTCCCTTGAAATTTCTTTTACTGTTTTGCAAATGACGGTTTTCAGTCCGTCAATGATGGTTGTTGGTGGGTGCTTGTACACCTCGCCATTGAGATAACCACTCATAAAGTGATCACAATAATCATCGTTCTGTCAATCCCATATCACCCGAAGTTTTATATCAACATCTGAATAATTTCCCGTGGAATTTCATTTACTAGTTTGCAAATGGAAGCTTCCAGGTCACCAATGGTTGTTGGTCACTACTTGTACACCTTGCTCCAAGATAACCAGATAACGTCAAGTCAAGTTTTTTTTCCCGAACCAGTAAAAAAATATAAAATCGTACACAAATTACGAGGAAATGATATTTACAGTTATGCTGGGAAGGAAAGCCGCGGAAAAACCAAAACTGGTTATCGAGCAGCGACACCCAAGGTTCTAACCACACAGAAAATAATCAACGTTCTGGTCATCCCATGCGAATAAATCATGCACCCCACCATGCTCACCATCATGCAAAAAAATCAAATGCTTTGAAAAGTGTCTTCGGAAAACATACATTCATTTTGTCCAAAGGGCAGTTGCTTCATCTTGGCTAAACTATACTCCTCCTCCAAAAAAATGGTCCCCAAACTTCAGAATTCGCCACCCGATACCACACTTTTTGCTCGCTCTGAAGAGGTTTTTCGTGTAGCAGTCTAGGGTTACTTTCTGCCTAGTACCGAAAAGTTTGCTCATTGACAAAGCCAGATAAATGAAAGTGATCGCCGTGACTGGTAATCAGATCTTCATTAGCAAGAATATTTTCAGTTACAGATTCACTGTGAGTGAGAAAACGTTCCACAATAAATGCACGGTTTTGTCTCTTCAAACCATATTTTTGCATCAAAGATTTTCATAAAATTTATAAGAAATCATCTGTTGTTGAAATCTCTCGAAAACAAAATGTCAGTTCATTAACATCATAAATTTACTGAAACATTTGAATACTACAACAGCATTCTCATATTAAGAGTTTGGAAGAGTTTTTTCTCTTACACTGTATGAAAATAAATCAACGGCAGATCACATTCGACAACAAAACATTTTTGATTTGGCCGAATTATTTAGTTTAACTAGTAGTTTGTTGTTCTGAGAATGCCTATGAGTGATTTCCACTAAAAATATGCCAATATCGGTTATCAGTGTTGATATTATTAGCTCTTTTTCAGTATCAGTTTTCTTTTTCTGTTATTTTAAGATTTCATTTTCAACTTTGCAAGTAACGAAAAGAGTGTATCAAATCAGTTATTGAAAGCTTTTTGCAAAGCTCAAAGATTTTTCAATTATTTATTTTGTCGGTATCATGAATTGTCCCTTTCTTTGTGAGATATACACTAAAGCGGGAATTTATTTGAAGACGATATTGATATTTGCTTCATGAAATAATTGGAAAAGAGGACTAGTGCAAAATTGGGATATGGAATTCGGCAAATGTAGGCGACTTTTCTCGATATATTATTCATTTTAGTTTGAAGCATGAATTCAAACGTTAGATACAGTTATAATGACTGGACTCAATTTTGAGAAAAACCATTGATTAAAAAGGTAGCCTACAAT